AAAGAACAACTACCTAACAAGGCAAAAGAAAGATTACTTCGAAACTTGATTTTTGCAAATCCCCCCTCCTAATGAAACATATCCAAAAAGCGGTTTCTTCTAAAATCCCGAATTTTTTGCAAACCTAAGGAAATAAAACGAAGCCCATGTCTCCTCCGGGTCCCACCACGAAAATTGGGGGTGTGTGCTGTTGGAGGGCCCCCCACCCGTTCAATCGGAAACGCGTCTTTTTCGGTTGAATGGCCATTTCCAAGCGGGACCCCAGATGAGGCAAAAGAGACCAAAGGGAAAGGGGTTCCGTGTGGAATTTTGGACAAAATGAAAAACGGGGGGGGGGGGAGGGGGCGAGATAAAACAAAAAAATCGGGCACGAGACAATACAAAAGACGGTGACAATCGAAGAGTATTTTCGGGAAAAATGTTATTGAATTGATTAGCAAAGACGACGTAAAGAGAGAGAGAGAGAGAGCGAGAGAGAGAGAGAGAGAGAGCGAGAGAGAGAGGGAGAGAGAGCGAGAGCGGGAGAGAGAGCGAGAGAGGGTGAGAGACCGAGAGAGAGAGAATGAGAGAGCGAGAGAGAGCGGGAGAGAGCGGGACATATCGATAGAGAGCGAGAGAGAGAAAGAGCGAGAGAGAAAGAGCGATAGAGCGAGAGAGAGAGAGACGGACAGAGGGAGCAAGAACTCGAATCAGCTATTTCCAACCTAGCTCAACTTTTTGGTCATGCCCAAAACTCAAGGACATCCCCTGACTTCTCTCAGCTTGCGTGACCACCGCCCAGGACCGAATTAAAACGGTGGGAGACTCCCACCATCAGATGTGCTGTCACAATAACAAATAGACAGTCATCACCGGTCAGGCGGCTCGAAATGTGGTGCTTCATCGGGGTGAAAAACTACTGTGATTTTCCCATCGAATAGAAATTAAAGACTACACTTTAAAAGGATGGTGGCAGGAAGGTGGCTATTAAAGTGAGCACGAGGGAGAGAGAGTGAGATCGAGAACGGGAGAGAGTGAATGAGAGAGAGAGCGAGAGAGAGAGATAGCGAGAGTGAGAGAGAAAGCGAGAGAGAGGGAGAGAGGGGGGAGAGAGTGAGAGTGAGAGGGAGAAGCATAGCAAAGAGAATTCAACCATGCGTTTTAAAGGTACCTAGAAGCCCGGAATCCATAGTTAATACGCTAAAAAGTCCAAAATACGGTAACTAGCTGCAAAATTACAAAAAGGCAATTTTCACGCGTTGATCGCTGTAGAAATTGATCGAACTGCAGAAATCTGTCTTCACCGTCCCTTTAAAACGCCAAAAACGTACTACCAAGCTACAGGGACAAATTTTAACACAACAAGCTGGCTGGCACCAATTTCAGGCAGGTGTATTTTTGCTAGCCCGCACCAGGTGATAACGAGTAGTCAAACCCAGCGTAAAATGCTATAAAACAGCCCCCAAAACTTGAAAAAAAATCGAGGTACATGTGGGGGATAGGGGTGGTGGGTGATCCCCGAGATTGGATAGGGCAAAAATCGGGGGGAGTCTGAGGGGGGAGGGGGATGATGGGTGCGGGGAGAACACTACGGACATACGTCACGATATTGTATCGGTGGATATCTCTCTCTCTCTCTCTCTCTCTCGTCTGTTCCCCATCTTTTCAATCAGTTTTAGGCGGATCTCCCCTTTTGGTTACAAACATCTGTTAGACTAAAGGAACCTGGAAGTCTAGGAAAAACTTCGAAAAGTGCCAGTTTCACTAGGAAACAACCGTTAAAATCTGCAACGTGGGACCGTCCCTTTAAAGGGACGGGCAAGGCCTGGTTGTAGATTTTTCTCCGGTCTCGCCACACGCGACGCGTCTATCTAGCCCTCGCCAGCGGGATCTAACCGATTACGCAATGGAAAGAAATAAACGGTGTTGCGTGTAGCGGAGCCGGAAAATCCATAAGCAAGTGTGAAATCGCTACCTAGCAAAATCCATAGCCCAATGCCTTACTAATCCCTTTAAACGGGTTCAAGCGGCCGAAAAATGTCTGATTCTGGTATTGTAGCTGCTCAAAAATTTTACAAAACATGTCTGTAGATGGTTTTTCGTTTAGCCAATGCTGGAAACTTAGCCTCAAAACTTTGATAATCTAGCTTCGTCTCTATCAAAATCTAGAAAGGCTATATTCTAGCCTTGTGGGTCCCTTTAAAATCCTCGCGCACCTGACAGTGTTATTTGATGGACGGGGTGTCGGCGAGGGATTTTCAAAGATTTGGGGGTGATTGATGGGCGGGTGGCGACAGAGATAGAGAGAAATATCCACGAGAACCTCGATCAAATGGTCAAATCATCAAAATCGCTTCGCGCCCAAGGTTGTAACTAGCAAAGTTTGAAAGTCAAGGAATTCTCAAAAATGCTTTTAACCGTTTCGTCTCAAATTTCCAAATCCTACTATATATAAAAAACAGTGTCTGTGTGTGTGTGCCACTTTGCATCCACTTCCGTCTGTCTGTCCGGAGGATATCTCAAGAGGCGAAGGGTAAGAGGATACGTATGATACGTCATTAGGTGCGTAATGGTCTAGGGATGACTGCACGCATATCAGCTTTTTAAAAATTGGCCATTTTCGCTATTAAATTTAGGTTTTTGTAAAAACCTCTTTGTTAGGGATAATTAGCATAGAGCGGAAGTGGGTGGTCGCCTATATAAAGAGGCAGATAGGGTTTTTTCATTTTTTTTTTTTGTTGTCTGAATGGAGGACAATTATGCAAAGGGCAGAATATTATGGAGTCCGAGACGGGGCAAGGGTTGAAAAGTCGCGAAGCGGCTTTTCAACCCTGGTTGCTACTTAAAAACAGGAAATTCAGATTATTAGCTTTGAAATTCGGAGTAATTTCGAAGAATTCGGCACGAACAATTGCACGTATAATTTTAAATACGGCTTATTCGTCAATAAATACCAATAGTTTAAGTTTTATCTATATTTATGTTTAAAAAAATTAACGAGCGTAATCTGGCGTAATTGTTTACAACCTAAACCTATAATAAAATTGATTTCCCGGGCGTAATTTGGAGCAACACGGAACTAAAACATTATTGATTATGGTAAAAAGAAAAATACGCTCTTGAATAATTAATTTTTACCGTAGATTTGGGTAAAAGACTGACACGGAATGGATAAAATCGTTAGTACATTTTTTACAAATTACGCCTGGCCGTGACTTGGAACAACACGGAACTAACGAATATCAATTGGAGGGAAAAAGAAAAGTCTGTAGTAAGTACGTTTTTCCAAATTACGGCTCTAAAAACCCGATTTTCCCCTCGTAATTTGAATAACGCGGAACTAACCCCTATCGAATCGAGAAAGCCTATCTGACAGCATGCACCATGCCTCAAATCGACAGCAGGGTGCAAGCAACGAAACCGTCCAATTGACAGCAGAAAGATGGGTATTGGAGGGGAGGAGGGGGAGAAGCCTTTGCCCCCTGACAACCTCATGCTCATACTCCCTGCCATTGTTTTCTCCCCCACTCCCACGATGAGCCTGACCCCCCAATAAAGGAGCAAGTGAGGGAACGAGGACAAATTGCAGCAGATGAGTACATAGATGAGTAGATAAGCGTGTGGCTTTTTTGATTTTTCGGCTGGACCAACGGGTACGGTAGGTAGGTCATAGGATGGGCTTTTGTCTAGAATTTTGCCGATACTATGTCGGTTTTGCATTTTTTTGCATTATCCCGGGGGACCTACGTTTTTTTATAACTCGAATCTTCCTATTAACGCGCTAATAAGGGTTTTAATTTTATAGTAAAATTTGATAAAATTTAATGTGGAAAACGTGTCCAAAAGAACTTAAAAACTGTTGACATTTTGGTCGAAAGACCTGCCTTTTAGGCGAAACAAATAGATATTTTCGTATTTTTAAAAATTTTACGGTTTTCCGCTTTGGAAAAGCAAAAATGGATTAGAAAAGTTTCTTATATTCATATTAGAAAATTTGTAGAATAATGGAAGTTGGTTCTTCGCAACATCACTTTAAAAACACAAAAAAAATTGTTGACAAATGGAAGAATCAAGAAATTTTTGCCTTCATCAGTTCTTTAAAAAGGGCTTATAGATTCTGTCTTGCCCGTTGACTTTTAAGGAATGCTGAAAACAGCAAAGGAGCTTGACTCAAGGAGCAGGACAATTACAGAAACCTTGAAAAAAAATAACTATCCAAAAAATATGATAAAATAATTATATAACTCGCATCGTTTGGTTAGTTACTGTTAGCTAGATAAGAGAGCTGATGGTGAAGCCTCTGGGGCGAGAATGAGAAGGCAAAAAAAGGGTAGAGGTAGAGGAGTATATGATCGACCACGGTTCCACCATCCAAATCTTGAAGGGAGGAGAACGAGGAGGAGCAGCAGCTCCTGCTCCACCTCCCTCCTCACTTCATCTCTGACCTCCCAGAACACCCCCCCCCCCCGCACAGAGGTGTGTGTAGATGTCGATAAAATCTGTGCGAGACTATACACAGAAAACAAGGCTCTGTCCATTTCTCTCTCTCTCACTCTCTCTCTCTCTCTCTCTCTCTCTCTCTCTCGCTCCCTCGCTCTCTCTCTCTTTCACTAGCTCTCTCACTCTAAGCTCAAAATCGGACCACTATGGCTCCATCTTTTGGAGGTGAGCATGAATCGCCGACCGTACCAAGGCGGGAACCGTACAAAGGAGCGAGAAGGTCACGTTCGCCTTCGTCTTTAAAGATGCTTGAACTGTTGGACTGCTTTTGGCGCTTAGGTTGTGGAACTTTGAACCTTTAAACAGCAAATTTTCTATACTTTTAAGGGCAGGGTAAGAGAGAGAGAGAGAGAGAGAGAGAGAGAGAGAGTGAGAGGGAGAGAGAGGGAGAGAGAGGGAGTGATTTCTCACCAATTCACCCGATCATTTATTCATTCGAACATTAGTGCTCATAAATATCACATAGACGAGGGGGAAAGGCATTGGAATTCCAAGAAAAAATCGAGCTCAATATTTTCCTATGACGATTGACGGTGATGTTGGAGTTGCAGGAGTTCAAACTAAAAAATGCGGAAATATCGGTGGAGTTTAAACTTTTTCTATTACCTGCTGACTGACGCTCCGCGCGATATTTTGCGAGTCGGTGCATTTATCGAGCAGCTCTTCGGAGAAATGCTCAGATTCTTCCTCGATTCTGAGTTTGAATTTAGGTTAGAAACCTATGTTTGGTATGCATAGGTACGACTACCCCACGCCTAAGCCAAGCCTAAGTCAAGCCTACGCCAAGTCTAAGCCAAGTCTAAGCCAAGTCGAAGCCAAGTCTAAGCCAAGTCTAAGCCAAGCCTAAGCCATGTATAAGCCAAGCCTAAACCAAGTCTAAGCCAAACCTAAGCCAAGTCTAAGCCAAGCGTAAGTCAAGCCTCATTTAAGCCTAAACCAAGTCTAAGCCAAGCCTACGCCAAGCCTAAGCCAGGCCTGAGCCAGGCCTAAGCCAAGCCTAGGCCAAGCCTAAGCCAACCCTAAGCCAAGCCTAAGCCAATCCCAAGCCAAGCCTAAGCTAGCCTCAAGACAAACCTGTGAAGCTGATATTTTCCGGTTGGATCGACATCAGTCCGTTTGTCCGCATCTTTTCCTATAATTATGTGCTTTTTCTCATAATTTCCCGGGCCCAAAAAAAACCTGTAAAATCTTAAAAAATCCTACCGTAATTTGGGTCTATGCAAAACGAGTCGCTGAGCGAGCCGGTCGTGTCGACTGGAGATGCCGATCCCAGCGATGATTGCGGACTAAAAAATAAAACAAAATCGATCGTTAGTGTTTTAATCCAACTACGCTACGCTCCTCTGTGTACACCTTCACTTCCTACGCCTTTTTGCGATTTTTTGTCGTCCAGTCGGCCAGATCGATCGCTAAACCCCGCCAACCTGCTCAAGCTGTTCGTCGGCGTCTCCGGGCTACTCTTCTTCGCCTTTTGCATCATCTTCTCCATCTCGAGCCGGATTTCCCGGGATTCCGGCTTCTTCTCGTTTCTTGCGCTGCGAAAAAAAGAATATTTTGATGTATAAAGGAGCGCTTACTACAGCTTCTGTGGCCTTGGCCGGATCGGTTCTTTTGAGGGAGGTTCTGGCGGATCGTAGGCGGGGGTTGGCACCTGAAAATTCTGTCTGAAGCTTTTGGATTTTTTGGCTGCTTTACGCAGACGTTGACGTAGCCGTAGTATAGCGTAAGTTAGTGTAGCGTCATGTAGCGTATTGTCACGTAGGGGAACGTAGCCGAGAGTAGCGCAAGATAGCGCATCGTAACGCAGTTTAGTGGAACGCCGCGTATTACCTAGCGTATAGTAACGTAATGTGACGTACTGTAGCGTAGCCTAACGCAACGTAGTGTATCGTCATGTGACGCAACGTATATCGTAGCGTAACGTAACGGAGTAGCCTAACGTAGCTTAACGTGGCGCAACGTAGCTTAGCAAATGGAAGCCTAAGGTGGCGTAATCAAACGGCACGCAACATAGCGTACCGGAGCATAACGTAGCGTAACGCAACGTGGCCTAACGTATCGTAATATAACGTAACTTAACGTGGCGTAATGTAACATTCGTTACGTCTCATTTTTTAGTAGGTAAACCTATTGCCTAACCAATTTAATACCTGAAATTCTGGTGGCGACCCGGGAACGTAGAGGTTATAGGCGGATGGGGAAAAATAGCGTTGAGATTTCGCGTCGGATCGAGTAGAAAAAGATGTCTAAAAATCAATTTTTCATTTTTCCATTTTAGACTGAAAACGTGTTTTGACCAAAAAAACTACAATTTTTCACAAAACTAACCCGATCGATCGACACCAAATCCTCGTACGTCTCCTCATCATCTTCTGGAATCGTGGCGCAGCTCTGGAAAGTGTTCAAATAATTTATAACTTTTAACAAGGACCTTTTCACTATGAAAAAGCTAAAAATAAGAGTTTTTTCTGGAAATTGCCTACCTTCGTAGTTCCCGCTTCAAAAGTTGTCACTCGACTCTCCGGCGTCCCGAGTAGCGGAACAGCTGGCGATCGATCTACAAAATCTCCATGGGTACTTTGGCATTATCAGGGGGGGGGGTTCTTGATTCAGGCTCTAATTTTTTACTACAAATGAAGGAAGAGTTTCTAGACCTTCGTCACCATTTTTAAAAGTTAAAATTGATTTTTCCAAACCAATACAAATAAAATCGATATTTCAGCAAAAAAATTCCAAATTTTCGACAAAAACGTCGATTTTCGAATTGCAAAGAAAGTTTTCTACTTAAATATGGTTAAATTTTACTAGAAACACTAGTAATAGCCGCACTATAGCGTTACTAGGTATTTCTGGAAATATAAGAAAAACTTAGACCCCCGGTAATGCCAAAGGACCCAAATATCCGAACAGTATTGTTATTTATTGAACTAAACAGCGTCAAATGCATCCAAAAACACCAGAGTCCCTACATCGCGTATTCAACGGCACCAGCAGCGTCCGTCCTCCTTGCGGACGTCGGGGCGGAGGTGGAGAAGTGGAGGAGGGTCGTTGCAGATTTGAAGAGGAGCTCTGAAAATTAGAAAATCATCAGGAGCCTTGACACTATAATAATCTGTATCTAAGCGAATTTTCATACCGAAAGTGTCATCTCCTTGTTGTCCAGCGGGGTGTTTGGTGTGACGATCAGCGGGGTGAGCGAGTCGAATTCGTCGAGCCGAGCGAGCATCAGCGCGAATAGCCCTTTCTGGAATACCAAGTACGCTTGCTGACGGCTATTCTCGTGCCTAAAAATAGCAAACTCGTGCTCACCTTGCATAGCAACTCCTTTTGCGCGTTGCCCTTTGTGCCGCGCTTCGGCCGCTTGCAGCAGAGGAGCATCAGGCAGCCTGACTGAAAAAATATTTTGATTATTTATAACAGAGGAAAAGGTCAGAATACCGACATCAAAATACCGACATCTAAAATCCGGATAATAATCATAATACCGAAAGCCGAAATCCCGAAAGCCCTAAATCCCGACAGCCAGAATCCCTACATCCGAAATACCGACAGCCAAAATACCGCCAGACAAAATCCCGACCGTCAGCATCCCGAGAACCGAAATACCGACAACGAAAATCCCGACACGCCAGAATAGCTATCTAAATGGCAGTATCATTCAAAATAGCCTCAAGAATATGTCGGCATTTTTGCCTGTCGACATTTTCGCTGTCGGGATCTTAGCCTACCGGAGTTCTCGTGATTTCTACACATTTTTTTATTATTTTAAACCTAAAAACTATCGAAACTTACACTAAAAATGCAAAAATCTCGATTTTGCGACGCAAAACTAGCCTGTTTTCGACAAAAAAAATTCTGCTTATTCAAAAATTCTTTATGTTTTTAGAGCTTTTGCTCTTGAAAAATAGCTAATGGGCGTCAAACCGGGCGTAAAAAGGAGCCTGCCGTCGCTAAAAACGCTACGGAGTACTCCTATAGACGTGTGTAAACAGTACGCTGACCGCTTTCCAGCGCCGTAAACAAAGTTTTTCATACAAAAAAAAATATTTTTTTTTAACTCAAAAAATTCTTAAATAATAAAATATGCTAAAAATTGACTGCCGGACACGTATCTTGGTGTCTGGCGGAAGGGTGGGGGGCGTAAAACGGGGGGAGCTTTAACTTGAGGCCGACGCCGGGACCCTTCCCCTCCGAGCTAAGCCCTCTGGGAACAGGGCCATTCCAGGAGATGGGCCCCTTTTGGCCCTACCAAAAAGAGACAAAGACAAAGCGGAAAAGAAGACCTCTAGGGGCCACACCAGCCAACACAGAGACAGAGAGACAAACACACAAACACACAGACACACAGACAGACAGACACAAAAACCACGATGCCCTTCTAATGGCATCAGAAGTTGGGGGGCGTGTTTGGGGAGGAGGACCCCGGACCAAAACGTAAATTAGCGCTCAACTGGGGGGAATTTAGACCTTAGCGAAAAGTTTAGTAGGTTGCGATACAACTCAAGATTTTGGGAAAACAATGAATTCAGAGCTAAATAAATCGGTTCTTTTGCATTAGCGGAGGGGGATAGAACCGAACTTGTCTTATAAGCCTAGAAATTCTTAGTATTGTAATAGTAGGTGTTTTAATAAAATTTAACCATAGTTCAAATGAGAAAACTGGCTAAAAAAGTTTTTAAATTGGAATTTTTGGGAGTAAATCGGTGATGTTAGGTAGGAAACCGATTTTTTTTTGTATTTTTCAATAAAAATTCCTTAAGTTTTTACGTTTAAGAATAGTCAAAAACCGTACAATATTTCCTCACTACATATTAGAAAAATCGGATCCTTAAAAAATTGGTCCAAACTGTGGAAAAAAACCGATAATACGATAGAACGCAGATTTTTATGAAAAACATGAAAAAACTATTTTTCAACCAAAATTCCCATTCTTAAAATCGTTTTTCCACTTGAAATCCAGTCAAATTTTACCAAAAACACTATTAAAATACCTACTATTACGCTAATAGTCATTTTTGGACTTGTCAAATTAGCCCCCCCCCCCCCCGATAATGCAAAAGTACCGCATATTCTATTACGCCCAAAAAAAAACGATAAATGAAGGCGTGTATATTTAAATTCGAATATGTTTCCCCAGAAATACGATTTCCTAGCCAAAATGCTGGGCGTCAAAGGGGGCTTAGAATTGGTACCACAACGCCCCGTCACATCAAACAACCCTATCGCGAGCAAAATCTGGGAACCCTCACCCCGCAGAGTTTCTTCATGGCTTTCCCCCCCGACTTTTGCATAAAATTGCCCATAACGGCTTCAGCAATCGAGGGCATCTGCCTCTAGAGGGCTAGCTAGCAGGGAAATTTGGGGAATTTTGAAATCTTGAGATTTAAGTTCGTGATTGTTTTTAATTGCAGAAATTTTTAATCACTACAAGGTAAAATGATTCTTGTGCATTTGAGGAGGGATAGCCAAATTTTTCCTTCGTATCCAATTGTTTTTAAGCCATTTTTACTATTCCAAAGCGTAAACACTTAAGAAATCTTTAGCAAAAATAAGAAACATTATGGTTTTTCCATTAAAAATTCCCGATTTCCGACCAAAATTTGAAAATTTTCTGCGCTTTTTATGTATGGTTTTTCCACTTAAATATAGCTAAATTTTACTAAAAACACTAATAAAACACTTACGATTTGTTCCTAGGCATTTCTGGAACTATTCAAAAAAAATTTCTAGCGATTTCTATAGACCTTTTTAAACCTTAAAAACCTACCAAACACAGCACCGCCGACACCAGGAAGAACAGGATAACGACGAGACTTCCAGGGGCGATGTGCACCGAGTCGAGGATCTTTAGAAACTGTTTGAGCAGTGATTGAGCTCGGTGTCTGGCTGCGCGCAGCTCTTCCATCAGCAGGTCGGCCATCGCAAGGGCTTCAGCGCGGCCTGTCACGGGTGTAGTGGCGCATGGCGTATCAACTATAATAATTTTGCTGTGGTGTCCGTCCGTGTGTGTGAAGCCGAATTCAACTCGAAGGGGAAAGGAGCTAGAGCTTAGGTCTCTTCGGATTCGGATAGAGCGCCGTCAGAAACCCCCAAACTGATTAAAAAATTATGAAAAAGTTTTATTTTAAATTATTAAAATTAACTTTGAAAGTTTTTTCCTTAGTAAAAGGGGTGGGGGACGCAGGTTGGGGTGATTTTGGACATAGTGAGCCAGGTCGCGCGCGTTTCGTGGATGAAAATTTTCACGAGGGATTTCATTTCTTTTTTCTATCATTCCATCCGGTCGGTCGTTATTTTTGTTTTTTAAGGGGATTTCGGCTAGGGGAGGTATCTAAAGCCATCAGGAAGGTATTTAGCAGACATGGCAAACGGCCGGGCCGCCGGCTTTTTTAGGCCGGAAAAATTAGCATGCGGCCGAGCCGCGCGGCTGGGCCGGAGCTTCCGGTCCGGCCCCGGCTTTTTTATGTTTAAAAGCCGGAGCCCCGGCCAAGCCGCCGGCTTTTGAAAAGCCGGAAAGCCGGACCCAAATGAGATTTTCGTGTTTCCGGTACGCAAATTGCGGATTCAATCAATAATTGTCTTTATGGCAAGGGCTAAACTATTCCAACATAGAAAGTTCGTCATTTCCATTCACAATTTTGCATAGGATACACGGATTCTATAAGTAAATGAACAACTTCCGGTTTCCCGGCTCGGCCGGACCGGCTTGGCCGGGCCGCAACTAAATGCCGGCTGGGCCGGGAAGCCGGGTTTCCGGAAGTAAGTCATTAACGCGGCTCGTATGGGGCCGGGGTTTTATGGAAATTAGGCCGGCGGCTCGGCCGGGCGGCTGGGCCGGCCGGGATTGCCATGTCTGGTATTTAGGTAGTTTTTGAAGGGGATTTCAGCCATGGGGGGTATCTTAAGCCATCGGGAAGGTATGTAGGTAGTTTTTGAAGGGGATTTCAGCCATGGGGGGTATCTTAAGCCATCGGGAAGGTATTTAGGTAATTTTTGAAGGGGATTTCGGCTAGGAGGGGGTCTAAAGCCGTCAGGAAGGTATCGAAGTAGTTAGTGGAAGCAGGTAGATAGGTAGGTGTATTACATGGAGGGTAACCCGAAGGCCAGATGGTTACAGTCGCGAAGCGACTGGAACCATCTGGTGTTCGATAGAACGATTGACGCTAAAAAGTTATTTATAGTTTCTAGAAATTCGGAAAAAAATGAAGTTCAGAAAATCAGAAACTTTTAGAAAATCTTGATTTTGTGCTAAATACTATGATACTGATCAAAAATTTGAAAATTTGAAACCTTTAAACCAGCTTCAAGTTTTTTGTATATAAAAAAAATACTAAGAACTTTAAAAACTTATTAGGGACAGGCTAGATAGCCCCCCCGCTAACAACCCAGTACCCAGACGGGCCTAAAAAAGGATGAAATTCCGAAATCAAATCCTAAAAAGCGATTAGTGGGTGGATGTCAACTTGTTGGGCGGTTGGCCCCGTTTGGATGGTCGGGCTGGCTGGCGATGGGGGGATAGATCGGAGGGTGGTTGGCCCATGAGTGGAGACCAATTGGGCCCTAGGGACTACCGGAGCTACCCGGTGAAGTCACGGCTCATTGAATGGTGCCGCCGGGGGCGAAAAGCTGGGCAAAATGGCGCATCGTTGGATTTGGAGGATATTCAGTTAAGAGTAAAGTAAAATTAAATGTTAGAATTCATAAACTTAATTTAATAAATTTAGGGAAAAAGGTAAAAACGTTAACTTTGAATTAAAACGTTTTCAACATAAAACTCTTCATTTTTTATTGTTTACGCCAAATTTGCAACTGAAGAAAGATAATAACGAGAGAAACTAGAATTTTTAAAAATCAAGGCGACAGACTACAGGACTAACCCTTGAACGGCTTGGTGTCGTTGAATGAAAACTTGAAAAAATTAAGAATTCAAAAATATTGACGTTAGCAAGAAGAGTTAAAGTTTTTAAAAAAGCGCCCTGAAAAAAGGTACAACTCGGTTCTTTTTGCGCGGCCCAGTGCGCGCCCAAATGCGCGGGCCGCGCAATGGCAAGCGACAGGTCCCGCGCATTTGCTGATGCGCGGGCCATTGCGCGGGTCTCGGGATTGCGCGGGACTATGCGCGGCTTCCGCCGAAAACCACCATGGGGGCTTTTCCCCTTATAAAAAACTCAATACAATGTTTAAACCTGCTTTAAAAGCAGGTATTACTGCAACGGAAGTGTATGTGGATATGTCAGATATTTATTGATCATAAATATATCACAACAATCGAAAAGATAGGCTATTTTTCTGCATATCGGGTCGAGCTTGACGGTGAACCTGAGATTATATTTTTTGGTTGAACTTTCGCTTGCTAATTATAGGCACTTACCTGTACCAAAGTCAGTTGCTAAAAATCAACCGTTCGTTGATATTCAATTAATACTCACTTTACTGACCGGCTTGACTCTGCCGCCGCATATAAACTTGGCCGGTCGATGCCTCAAGCCTATAAAAAAAATGCTCACCGGATTCTCATATGTCACCAGCGAGCATCAAGAACGCTTACAAGAGCGCAAAAAAATCTGCTTTGAAAGTAGTAATTTACTATATCAGAGTAATTCCAACCTTCGTATTCGCCTTCACCCAATCATTCTCGTGATTTGGCTCAGCCTGCGCAACTTTCGCTTCACCCCCATTCGTCTCGCCAGTGGCCCCGTTACGTTGGCGAATTCCCTCCAAAAAGCATTTCTGGAATACAATTTCAGCAAAGTTTACCAAGACATCACCTGGCCTCCAGGCTTCTTGGTAGCCGAGTTCCATTTCCAAGCTTGACTTTGTCAGGAGTGAAAATTCGCAAAATGCCACGAGTTTGTCGCTTAGTACGTTTAAAACCATGCACGACATGCGCGGGACCGCGCATCCCCCTTCCGCGGCTGATTGCGCGACAGAAAGCGCGGTCCCGCGCAATCAGCCGCGCGCCCCTCGCGCATTTTCCGAGACCCGCGCACGGGGCCGCGCAAGCCCGAGTCCCGCGCACTGGGCCGCGCAAAAAGAACCGAGAAGTTTGTCCGTTTTTGGGGCAAAATTCGAAAACTGAAGACGATCATCACCAAAAAAAGTTAGAGCTACCCTTTTTCTAGCAATCCTACAAACTACAAGCTCATGCTCAGCCGAAAATGCAAGAAATCCACAACTCGGTGACCTAGCCGGCGGATGGTGTGTGGAGGAATTGGTGCTCGGATGCGAGGCCGCGGGGGCAACGTCTCCAGCCAGGGTTGTGTGTTCGGAATCGAATTGAGAAGCGCGAGCATCGGGCTATTGTCCCCGGCAACCCCTCAATCCTCCTCCGCCTCCCCTTCTCCTCCTCCTCCACCAGGGTGGACCTTTTCGACGAATTAGGGCCACCCCCGCTTCACCCCTCCAATCCGCCCAATCCCCACGAAATCTTGCCCTGGCCATCAGCCCATTTGCTAGGTCCGAAGCCGCAATTCGTAAAACTTGAAGCCGTGAGACCAGACGTTGCCGAACTTTCTTCATTTTTGGTGCTTTTGCATTATCGGGGGTGGGTGATCTTTTTCTAGGCTAAAAATTTTTCTAATATAGAAGCGTTTTTAAACTTTTTTGCTATTCATAAACGTTAAACCTTTACAAATTTGATTAAAATATCCAAGAATTACCTATTTTCGACCAATTTTTCAAACTTGTAACTTTTTCAGGCGTTTTCTGCTTGAAAATAGCCAAAATTTTACCAAATACATTACTTACTATTACATTAAAAGACATTTCTGGGCCAATAGGAAACGCGCTCCCACCCCCTCCCCCCCCCGGAAATGCCAAAGTACCTCCGTTTATTCTATGTGCGGCGTAAGACTTTAGACAACATGCAGACGATATATTTATTGCGGATCGGGGGGTAGCACAGCTTAAAATACACATCCGGGCAATCATTTCTTCTTCTGGCCAAGCACAAAGCGCCCAGACGATTCGCCGTTGATCGTCACGCTGCCTTTGTGAAGTCCATGATTTTCCTGAAAATGTTGGAATTTTCGTTTTCTCAGGGTCAATCAAGACCTTGGAATGGCGCCCATCAGCCAAGCCAGAATGGTTTCGTTGTTTACGATCCTTCCTCGAGGAATAGCTTCTGTAAAAGATAGGGGGTAATGCCTAGCTGTGGGTAGTCCACTTTTGCACAGTGAAACTGCGTCCAGTCGCCCACGGCAGCCGCGAATCCTTGTCCGCCTCCGGATCGCACGAATCGGTTTTTGTAGAGGATGGGGGCATCATCTAAATTGAGCTTTTAACGTTAGCCTTATCAAGACGAGACCGATTTTCCGATCATCTTCATCAAAGCCTACCCTTTCTAGCTTATGCTTGCGTGGTTTCGGCGTATCTTCTCGGATTTTCGGCCGGGAAGCCGCTTCCCAGTTGTTGGACGTCGGGCATTCGGTGCTGTATTAAAAAATATATAGAGTCAGCTACGATTCCTACAGATACTCGCCCGCCGGCGACGCAGCCGCCGAGGCCGAGACTGGGCGCGTCATCGACGTGGTGCCCGATCCGTCGGTGGTCCTAAAACGTATAAAACGTTAAAAAAACGCCGATTTGTTCTCACTTGCTGGCCGTCACATCTTTCAAGTCGTCCTCATTGAGCGTCACCCTGGGGAAAAGGATTTTCACGCCAGTGAATATTTGCCTACCGCACTTTGATTTTTCCCTTCTTTTCGCTGTCGGTCGGTTTCGCTAAAAGCGGAAATCGGTGTTTTAATAATTTTGTGCCTACCTGGCTCCGGCGCGACAACTTGGTTCGCCGCGTTCTCGTCACGCTGGTGGCCCCTCGAGCGCAGCGCCTCATTCACCACAACCAGCACGCGCTCAATGTCGCTTTTCGTGGCCATTCCTAAAAGTACAGAAAAGTGGGACTGGAGCGTTAGCGGGGGGAGGATATACTTGCAACAAACTTTTGAGCGTTTCATAGTGTATTTCTAGTGTTTTTGAAGACGAAAAAGTCAACAAAATACATTTTCAAAATACTAAAATCTGGAATTCAATAATTTTTATGCATTTTTTACCTAAATCAAAAACACAACAACTATTTTATACATTTTCTATATTTAAAAACTACCTCAACGCTAGATAAATTTCTTAGCAGGTCCTAGAGGCTAGAATCCAAATTCAGGTCCCCCCGCAAACAGTTCAGTACCCAAAACTACTAATACCTTTCGGCTCTCGCTCAGGCACCTTGAAGTGGGCCTCTTTCTCTTTACTGTCCTGCTGGCGGCGAATACAGCAAAATAGGCAGCAGAGGAAGATGCTAAAAATTTTCATGAATCTAAAAAACGGAAAAGCTCCCACATAATGATCAGCAAAATGACGCCGAAGATGATGGCGACGACGATGATGGGCCAGATGTCAGAATGGCCTTGTGGCATCACTAAATTCATCGTTAATGACCAATAAACATTGTTTTTTTACATTTAACATCAGTGCGTACATCAATCGGCCCTCCAGCCTCGATCACCATGGTTTCATTACCATCTAAAAAATCCTCCAGTCTAAGGAGATTCACCAACCTGCATGATTCTCCGGGATCACCACCTCCTTGCCCTCATCCGCTTTCGTTGTAGTTTCCGGCGTTGAAGTAGTCGTCGGTGCTTCCGTGGTCGGTTCTTCAGGACCGGCCGGAGGCTCCTCGTTCTGCTTTTTGTGGCGTACAAGGTGCTTCTTCAAGCGAGGCACTGCAGTTGTTGCTAAAGCTATTAAATAAATCTGAAAATCAAATATTACTGGAGCCACTTGGCGCCGGGATGAAGCCGACAAGCATCATTTGCCGCGCTCTTAGGAGACATTGAGCGTGAGAGGTTGTCTAAATTGAAAAGGTTCTTGTATATTAACGAGGTGGAGGGAAAGCAAGTTTTAAATAGTTTATAGAAAAATGCAACTACATTTCGAAGAAAAACTGTCTAAAAACAGAACATCTTGAAATTTTGGTCGAAAACGGCAATTTTTGGAAGAAACACGCTTTTTTTTGTATTTTTAATCAAATGTGGAGCTTTTACCGTACATTGGAGCCTAGAGGAAAGTATACCTCCTACTAATCAATAAATTTGCAGGCTAATTCGATACTTACAAAATCTGTGAAGTGATGATCGCAGACGGTGGATCCGGCAGATTTTCGGTCGCAGACCACCGTCGTCACGCCAGCGGGGGATGCCGATAGAGGTGTGGCAAAGTGGGCCATCGACGCCGGGTTGGACTTGATGGGGACGCGGACCACCCCGAAAGACGTTGGCGACGAGTAGCGGTCCGAAGTCCGCCATAACCATTTCATCACGTGAGTGAACAGGAAATTGGTGTGCCTGAAAGCCAACTCTTCAACGACCAAATTTGAAATTACCCATCACGCCCCAGGTAAGCTAGCAGTGGCATGTGTTCGGCTATTGATGCTGCTGGGATGGAGATTCTAAAAAAAATGTAGTAAAACGCATCTAAAAAGTGCAATCAAAGTTAAAGTAAAATTTAGAAAGAGAAAAACAAACTCTGGCAATGCTTCTACACCAGCCGCGTCGTGTCCAGTTCGAAATTGACGGCCCAACACTCGTAGTTCAGCTCCAGTGCCTTCCATCCTAAAAAGTTGTTTTCAAGAAAAATGAGAACAATACCAGTAGCAACGCAGCTGTGATCCCGCCAGGACACAAGAATCAAAGCTAGATGAACGTCTTTAGAAAAAAGAGAGAGCAAAACCTGTGCGAAGGCCCGGTAATACCAATCCCTGTAACCGGCAACGTGTCGAGTGCTGCTGTACGCACCTCAGTTGCTTTCCAGAAATCATCGCTCACGCTGAATAATCGTCTAAAAAACCACGGGAAAACCTTACCTCGTCAACCGAAGCGCATTTTCCGCCGGGGAATGGTAGAGCAGATGCAGACCGGTGGCGTTCGTGGCAAGATCCTTGGTGATGAGGGCTATGGGGCGTTGCGGGCCGCCAGATAGCGCGACGTCACACGGGCCCGCCGCAGCAAACCCCTGAAAAACAAGAATTTTGACAAATGTAAAAATAAAATCGACATTTTGGTCATTTTTCATCTGCTTTTGATCGAAAATAGAGGTAATTCGGACATTTTTTAGACTTCGGATTCGTTTATATATCTGGCAACTGTGTAAAATGCTAAAAATCGGTAAGAGTTTACTTTACCCCCCCCCCCACAGCCGAAGGGTCTCAAAGTTGTCGGTATTTTCGCTTATTTTGTCGGGATTTTCGCAACGCCATTCGATAGAGCGTCGAAAAATATACTAAGAGTTTTAATTTGAGCCTACAATAATGTAAAATAAAAAAGTTACAGCGAAAACCGTTCGGCTGGGGGGGGTAAAGTAAACCGTAGCCTAAAAATCATTTAAATTTGTTCGGGGGCCGTACGGATTACTGCAAAAAATTGAACCTACCGTAAGCCGAGTGGCGAGTTGGTTGGCCTGCTTGACAGGGGCGGTTAGTAGATGGCAATCTGGTGTGAGCACGAATAGATGGCCGACCGCCGAGGCAGAGCAGGGCACTAAAAATATACATATTGAAATCTGAATTTTGGCCAAGCCGACCCTCAACTGGCTGGCTAAATGGGACGAATGTAAGGTATTGGATGAGAAGGACGTGAAGAATCTCGAAACGATAGGTCATTGCTTCTAGGAGATATGTTATCCTCGAAAAACTTTCGCCTACCCGACCGTGAATTTGGGGACAAGTAGAAAAATGCATTTAGTCGATCAAATTTCCATCTTTCTTCAGCGTTTCCTATTCACTTTTGGGATTTAAATCGAACGCGATTTAAAATTTAATTTTTACGCTTGCTTTGGCTTATGAGCTTTCTTTGTGTCCTTTACAATTATTTACGCAAATTATGCAAATTTTTGGTCTTTTTGCCGGTCAGCCCCTTCACTCCCCTACCTATAACGAGGATCGCGCCCCAATCTACCGTACCCAACGGCCATTACGCACTCTTTGGATGGTTCAAATTATCGCCAACCTTCTAAAGTTATAAAAACTTATAACGAGCCGAATAAATTCGCGATTTCTGGCTTCAAAAATGTATAAAAATAAGCAAAATACTCTTTTTCAGGTATGGCACCCCCTCGAAACCGGAAGCAAACACCGGCCGCCCCAACGTTGCCAAGCACGGTGTGCTATTGGTAATTTCTTATTTCCCATATTTTATTCTATTTTAGCGATGGTGAGCGAGAGATCGGCACCTTGGAATTATTCTGTACGAGCTGCCTAAAATGGTTCCACGGGCGCTGTCTCAGGCAACTCAAAGATTTGTAAGTGCCGGCTTGGTAACCTTAATTTATTTCTAGTTACGGCCTATCCTTTATGGTATGTTACGTCTATCAATGCGAAGACTGTAGCCCGACTAGAGAAGAAACGTGGACACCAAGACAAGCAAGTGAGTTTCTATTTATTGATCTCATGCTGTCATTTTGCTAAAATACGAATTTTTTTTAGACTTTATCCACATGCTCGTCACCGTTTTGTCCAATCTCACGTGCGAGGCAGCTAAAGCGAAAAATATCGATCTGCTAAAGCCGTTGACGGAACGAATTTTCTTTAATTTGGAGGTATTTCATCAGCGTTTGATCAATTAATGATTTAGGATGCTATCATACCCTATTTCGAGACTAACTGGGAGCACCTCACCTCGATGCCACGAAGAGTCAAGACGACGTGGCATCAAACACTTCAGTCAACGCTTATGAAGCAAGGGGATTTGTTTACGGTTAGTTTTGCGTTGAATCGGGGAAATAAGAAAGCTGTGCTAAGGTTTAATGTGCAATTGAGGAAATTAAGGAAGTCTTACACATTTTTTTAGCTAAATCCAGCCGACGAGAATGGGTTCGCGATGCTCGAACTCGACTTGTCGAAGATTGGGCCCGCGCATGAGGGAGTACGACAGGTCGGAGAGCTAATTTCGGGCGTAAAACCCCCTTTAGATAGGCAAGAAGACGCCTTCTTCTACAAATCTTGCCTCGACGCTCGTGGCAGCTGTTCCGGTTAAAGAAAAAGTGGAGGAAGAGATCGCCGAAGGTATCTAATTACTCCAGACCAAATCGGTCTCAAAATTGGTTGAAAAGAGCAGTAGAAGAAGCTTGATCAATAATAGAGTATATCTGCTGGCCTATTTGGTTTTCCCTAGCGTTTTATTCTGCTTCCGGCCATCGATAAACCCGCTGCCGATATTTTCCTCCTAAACATCTCGGTTGGCTAAATGATCGCTTTTCGCCCCTCATGACTCATAGCGCTTGCCCCCGGAATGGCCCTTCCTGCGATGCCCATCTGGGCGAGCCCCAATCCAGTGGCTCGCGCTCGCAACGGTTTTGTGAAACACATCTCACTTTCCATCCTACATGCCCCGAATTTCAGCCGGCCCGAAGACGCGCGGCGCCAAGAGAAGGACTGCCACCGACGGGGTGTCACAGCCCAGTAAAAAGGGAAAATAGTGAGTTTTTAACAACTTGGCTCAACATCTTCTTTAGTGGCACCGACTCGGTCCAGCTAACCATTGCGGGACGCCCGAACCCCATTGAATGCCCGTTGAACAAAGATGGATACCGCTATTTTCTCGTGGAAAAGGACCCAAATGTACCTGATAAGTGAGTCAGCATCTTTTTAGCTTGGAATCTGGAGTTTCAGGGAGATATTCGAGCAAGAAACCGAGTCCGCAAGCGCCGTCAAGATTCGCGAATTTCTTTACCGGGTTTCCCTCCCCGAGACGGTCACGATGTCGCCAAACGATCGGGGGTATCAGGTAAGCCTTTTTTAAGGAAAACCTCGTTGACAATGTCCAATTCTTTAAATGCTAACTGGGATATGGGATTTTTAAGTACTTTTAATATTTTCAAGACGCGAAGTTATAACGTTAAAAATTGACTAATGGCATTCGTTCAGGCGCAAAAAAAATCGGTTTGAAACTTTCTTAATGCCAATTTTATTTTATTTTCAGCTCCGAATGCATGATGATCAAATGACGGTGACCGGCCATGAGGGGTACTGTGTCGCTCGGGCTTCTCACTCGGTGGCCAAAGGGACGTGGTACTTTGAGGTAGTTTAAATTGCATTAAAATATATTTACGTTCCAGGTTAATTTTCTGAAGCAACCGGGTGAAAGTCACGTGCGTATTGGCTGGAGTCAACCATACGGTATATTTTTATTTCGTTGTTCAATTTGTGACAAATTTCTAGTAATTGAATTGATTTATTTAGTTTTTAATGAAATTATATTTTTATTTTGATCAGTTAATTTAAATACATGATACGTATTCATTATATGATCTTTTATCCATTTTTTTCAGCGGTGCTTCAAGCGTGCTTGGGCTACACGAAGTTTTCATACAGTTGGCGCTCACATAAGGGGACAAAGTTCCACGAGGCACACGGAAAGACGTACCAACTTGGCGGTTATCAGGTAAAATTTAATTCTAGTATTCTTTTTTTAACGATTTGTAGTTTTTAGCGTTTCGTTTTATATAGTTAAAGACAAAAATTTAATATTAGGAAGGCGATGTTCTCGGATGTCTCATCCATCTGCCGCTCGACCCGAAAAAATGTGGTATTCGCTTTTCTTCGTAATTCAAATAAAATAATTTCCTAGCAAATTCCGCTGAATACCTGCCCGCCTCCTACAAAGACGTGACGATGATCAACTACAAACACAACTACTATTTTGAAGCGCACGACGAGCCCGCGCAACTCGCAAAAGAATTGAAGCCGTTGCCGGGGAGCAGGGCGAGCTGCTTGTTATAATTTTTTAATATATTTTTTAGATCGAATTCTTTCACAATGGAAAGCCATGCGGCGTGGCGTTCACCGATATCTATGCGGGATTTTATCACCCGGCCGTCAGCATTTTTCACGTAATATTATTTTTTTTGCTTAAAGTCCCTCCATTTTAGGAAGCAACTGTGCAATCGAATTTCGGGCCCAAATTCAAGTATCCGGTGAAGGGAGCGCGTGCTTTTTGTGAAAGGGCCGAGGAGACACAGGTATTTTTATTTTAATAGCTTTTTTAGCTACATTCCACGTGGAGAAACTATTTAGCAAGCTTAAAAAATTGTTGTTCAAAATTAGAAATTTTGTATGAAAATCGATTTTTGTCTTTTTTAGAAGTTTCTAAGGTTTTACGTTTAAGAATAATCAAAAAAAAACGGTTTAGGAGCACTTTCTCTATTCTTACTAGGCAATTGGATCCTAAGGAACACCACTACGAGTAAAAAAAATACTAAACACCTAATTTAGTACGAACACTCGCTCTCCGACCTGCTCGCCCTCGTCGAAAACGAAGATGAACGGGCGAAGGCTGTCGAGAAGATCCGTGCGGAATTGGACATGTCGTGCAGCGGCTCTCCAAACTGACTTTTGCTAATACCCCCCATTTTTGCCAATATGAGAACGTGTAACCTTTTTTTCCCATCCCCCACTGGTATATATTTGTTCCAAGTTTCTGTATGGACCCTAAATTATTCTAAGAAACTACCCGCGAAGTAATATTCATAGCTTGATGCACAACTGATCTCTCTTCCGAGCAGCGCTCAGGAATAAATTGTTTTGTGACCGTGGCTCTGGTGAGAACAAAAAGGCAGCAAAAGCGCACGCAGCTTGCTTGAACACTTTGGAACTTGTTGTTGTATTTTACAGATGCTCGGTAGAATTTCAGCGGCCAGGCAGTATTCTACCAAGATGTTGAAAGTTCTTCCCGTAAAAGCGCTCGAAGACAATTACATGTATCTGGTTTTTGACCAGGAAAAGGTGAATTATCGAGGAGGGGTTTACCCGTTTTTTAGAAGCAAGCAGCCGCTGTAGATCCTGTGGAGCCGGAAAAGATTCAAGCCGTGGCCAAGGAGCACAATTTGTCAATTTGTGCGGCGTTTGTGACGCATCATCATTGGGATCATGCTGGAGGAATGAAAAAATTCAGGGTAGGTTTCGGCAGACAAAATGATTCTTTAGTTTTTTTAGTGATGCTATTTTTTTCCCGTATATACTAAGATATAAAATACCAGCCGATTACAGCCGCTTCGCGACTGTAATCGACTGGCCTTCGGGCTACCCTCCATATTCTACACCCCCATAGCCGAAATCCCCTTCAAAAACTACCTAAATACCTTCCCGATGGCTTCAGATACCCCCCATGGCTGAAATCCCCTTCAAAAACTACCTAAATACCTTCCTGATGGCATCAGATACCCTCCATAGCTGAAATCCCCTTCAAAAACTACCTAAATACCTTCCTGATGGCTTCAGATACCCCCCATGGCTGAAATCCCCTTCAAAAACTACCTAAATACCTTCCTGATGGCATCAGATACCCTCCATAGCTGAAATCCCCTTCAAAAACTACCTAAATACCTTCCTGATGGCATCAGATACCCTCCATAGCTGAAATCCCCTTCAAAAACTACCTAAATACCTTCCCGATGGCTTCAGATACCCCCCATGGCTGAAATCCCCTTCAAAAACTACCTAAATACCTTCCTGATGGCATCAGATACCCTCCATAGCTGAAATCCCCTTCAAAAACTACCTAAATACCTTCCTGATGGCTTCAGATACCCCCCATAGCTGAAATCCCCCATCAAAAACTACCTAAATACCTTCCCGATGGCTTCAGATACCCCCCATGGCTGAAATCCCCTTCAAAAACTACCTAAATACCTTCCTGATGGCATCAGATACCCTCCATAGCTGAAATCCCCTTCAAAAACTACCTAAATACCTTCCTGATGGCATCAGATACCCTCCATAGCTGAAATCCCCTTCAAAAACTACCTAAATACCTTCCTGATGGCATCAGATACCCTCCATAGCTGAAATCCCCTTCAAAAACTACCTAAATACCTTCCTGATGGCATCAGATACCCTCCATAGCTGAAATCCCCTTCAAAAACTACCTAAATACCTTCCTGATGGCTTCAGATACCCCCCATGGCTGAAATCCCCATCATAAACTACCTAAATACCTCCCTGATGACTTTAGATACCTCCCCTAGCCGAAATCCTTTTAAAAAACGAAAATAACGACCGACCGGATGGAATGAGAGAGAAAAAGGGCTACGGTTTACTTTACCCCCCCCCAGCCGGAAGTTTTTGGCTATAACTTTTTTATTTTACATTATTGTAGGCTCAAATTAAAACTCTTAGTATATTTTTCGACGCTCTATCAAATGGCGTTGCGAAAATCCCGAAAAAATAAGCGAAAATACCGACACCTGTGGGACCCTTCGGCTGTGGGGGGGGTAAAGTAAACTCTTACCAGAAAAAGAAATGAAATCCCCCGTGAAAATTTTCATCCACGAAACGCGCGCCACCTGGCTCACTATGTCCAAAATCACCCCAACCTCCGTCCCCCACCCCTTTTACTAAGGGAAAAACTTTCAAAGTTAATTTTAATAATTTAAACTAAAACTTTTTCATAATTTTTTTATCAGTTTGGGGGTTTCTGACCACGCTCTATCCGAATCCGAAGAGAGCTAAGCTCTAGCTCTTTTCCCCTTCGAGTTGAATTCGGGACCGGACGGACGGAGACCACAACAAAATTATTATAGTTGATTCTTTTATTAAAAACTAGTTGGATTCGAAGTGGAACTACTTTGGGAAACTCTAAAAATTGAAAGTCGCGTTTTGTAACCTTTTTACCTTCAGGAATAGTAAAAAATGTTTAGTTACACTTTCTCTTATCATTTTAGCAAGATTGGATCCTAATAAAAATTACAGATTGCACCGAAAATACTAGATAACCGAAGTCATTTTAGGAGCTCTACCCCGACCCTTCCATCACAGTCTATGGCGGAGACGAACGTGTTGATTGTATGGACGTGCACGTCAAGGATAAGCAGGAATTTGTCGCCGGCGGACTCAAGGTTGCACAACATTGGCCAGTATACCCATTCAGGTGCAAGCCCTCTCAACCCCATGCCACACGAAGGGTCACATTTGCTATTACGTCCAAAATAATGAAGAAAAGGCTGTCTTGACCGGAGACACGCTGTTCATCGCCGGCTGTGGGAAATTTTTTGAAGGTATGATTTTCGCCGTTTACAGAAATAAATATGAATTGAGGTACTGCTGAGCAAATGCAGCGAAACCTGAACGAGGTGCTATCCGGGCTACCCGATGAAACGCTTGTCTACCCAGGGCACGAATATACGGCCTCGAACCTCAAATTTGCGAAACACATTGAGCCGAATAATAAGGTAAGAAAAGTGACATACTACAAAACTTGCATTTTAGGACGTTGAGGAGAAACTGGTTTGGGCACTTGGCCGTCAAAAGTCTGGACAGCCCACGGTGCCATCAACCATCGGCGAGGAGAAGCGGATCAACCCTTTTATGCGTGTCGGCACTGTTGCGATTCAGGAAAAGGTTTGTTATGTTGTGTGTCTGTCCGGATTTGAAGCCTTCCCTAATTTACGAAATACCGTATTCATTTCCAGGTCAATGCCAAGGATCCGGTTGAAGTGATGGGAAAGCTAAGAGAAGCGAAGAACAACTTCCGCGCTTGATTTTTTGAACCCTGTGATTATTCGGCGTCTCACTTTTGCACTCGATTTTTAGATAATAAACGTCTTGTAGTATTGGCCGCGCATAAACAACCAGCATTACGGAAAGCTATCAGTTTCTAGTTTGGAATACGCATAACATATCGTTTTTTGCCTCTTTAGAATGGCAGACGGCCAGAACGACCTTGAAACAGCACAAGGGGCTGTGTTGGTGAAATCCTGCGAAGTACCGGCCAACAGCCTACCAATAAAAGGTGTGTTTAACAACGCTCGTCGATATCTAACATTTATTACAAAAACAAACTCTTAATATCCTACAAATGCTATATAATAACTAAACAAAAACGAACAGTGCGATCTGATCAATGCCGAGACGAACAACTTGGTGTCGTGGCAGGAGTTTCGCCTTTAGCTGAAGCTGGCCTCACTTTGGCCGGGTCGATGAGAATATAGGGGCAAAACTAAAGCGAAAAATATGGGATTATATAAAACACGAATCGAACCTTTTCCTTACAACGCTTATTGCACTGCTGGGTTCGCCAAGAGTAGGGGCCGAGGTTGTACAGGCACTTTGGGCAACGAATCTAAGAAAATACCTCAAAAAAGCAAACATTTCGCACCTTGTCTTCAAACCGATCCATCACCATCCAATCCATTTGACGTATAATGTTCACTTTGCAAGGCTAAAGAACTATTATTAGCTATTAGATTTACTTTACCGCGCCAGAAATATCGTTGTGCTGTCGCAGATCGTCCGTAGTGAACAGTTCAACCTTGCAATTCAGGCAGCAAAATCGGTCCTATTTCCAAGAAATTAAGATATTTTCGTAACTATACCTTTTCGGCGGTATCTGTTCGACGCCATGAATTAGGGACGAAGTGCATGAGGCGTCTAAACGCAATTTATATTTTCCTTCAACGATAACCCACGTAATTTCTGGTAGCGGCAATTCTTTAACGTGCCGAAAGTTGGTTATCAATTGGTAGTGCAGATTTAGCTGTTCCAGAAAACCTAATAAAGTAGACGTTTAGATATTGGCCTATATCTACCTGGTTTAATCTCGATCTTTGGTTTACAGCCCTTCAAATGAGCTAGCGCTTCTTCAACGTGCCATTCATTTCTAAAAGATCGTAGATGTCAGATGAAATCCTTACTTTTCCATCAAGTAGGCACACGCTATTGCGGCCGAGCGATTTCGGCCATTGCGAGAGTAGAGTAGAACATCCTTTTCCAAATGCCACGCATCTAAATAAGACGTTAAAACTTTAACACTAAATCCTACTGTTGATTATATCGTAAGCAGTGTCGAGATGTACGACAATGTTCTCGAGATCATTGTCGTGGATGGGAAAATGGTGGTAGATAACTCTCTAAAGTTATTTTCAAGCAAAAAAAGGCAACTGACCTTGGTTTTGAGCTGCTCGGGAAATGGCGTCTCGGTGGTGGCAATGACATGGAAGATTTCTAAAAAATGGGGGATAAAAAGAAGCAAAAAATTGGCTGACTTTTTTCACGTAGAAAGTGGTGATCCTTGGCGGCGTTGATGTCGCCCAGCCATAAATAATCCCAAATTAGAACGGCCATCGAATTATCGGGATTTACGCGAAAATAGCTTTGGGTTGGGGGCTTCGCTTTTTGCGCGCTACCGTACCACTCGTGATACAGTATTTATTATGCGGCATTGTTGCAGATCGGAAAAAAGTTGGATGACCTTGCTTACGTTTTCATAAAAATAAATCCTAGTTTAAGTAAGGTTAATACGTCGTTTTCATTATTAAAAATAAATGTTTCTTTTTCAGGCTATGACTTCAACGATGGCGTGGATTTTGACGGGCTCATGCGAAGCTATCTGACCACCGGATTCCAGGCATCACATATGGCGCGTGCAATTGAGGTACCTTAACAAGGTTATAACGTACGTATTATATTTTTTCAGCAAATCAATGACATGCTGAAGAAACGGGAAGACCTCTCTGAGCTCGAGGATCCGGCAGAATGCTTCCCCTACCCGGCCGGCAGGCGGAAGACGGGCTGCACGATATTCCTCGGCTACACCAGTAATTTGGTCAGCTCCGGGCTGCGGGAGGTATAAGCCTGTGTTAAAATAAAAGTATCGATCACCGCTGTAAAAAGCAAAAAATTTCAGTTCAAAATTCCAAAAAGCAAAAAGTGCTTCCCATGCCGGGAATCGAACCCGGGCCGCGTGGGTGAAAACCACGAATCCTAACCACTAGACCACATGGGAGGATGGAGAGGGGTCGGCAGGGGCGCTAGACATGCCCGCCCTCCCCGGGCGCCTGGGCTCTCTCTGCTGGTGTGGGGCGGGCGGGGTAGAAAAGGCCTCCTCGCTCCCCTCCTCCCGTGCGTTCGTGGTGTAATGGTCAGCATGGATGCCTTCCAAGCATTCGACGGGGGTTCGATTCCCCCCGAACGCAAAGTTTTTGCTTTTTGGACGGTAGTTTCTTTAGGGTATCTGGAAGCTTATGTAAGCTTATCTTGTCGAAAATAAATTGTTTAAGCCTCCAAATCGTCGGTATTTCAGATAGAAAAAATAAAAAATAGCATATAAAAAACAGAAAAACAACAACAACTAAAATGAAATATAAAATTTATAGATTAATTTAAAACGGATCTCTGTTTTAGATACTCCGATTCCTGGCCCAACACAATCTTATCGACTGTATTGTGACAAGTGCGGGCGGTGTTGAAGAAGACTTGATAAAATGTCTTAAAAGCTCTTACCTCGGCCATTTCAAGATGGACGGCAAGGAATTACGGTAAATCTAAGCTTCTCTTATTAGTTTATTTATTTTTAGATCAAAAGGCCTAAATCGCGCCGGAAATGTGTTGATCCCTAATGACAACTACTGTGCGTTCGAGGTATAGTTCTGGGTATCTACTAATTGACTGTTTGTTTTCAGGATTGGCTGAATCCGATCCTCGACAAATGTATGGAAGAGCAAATGAACGATCAGATCAACTGGACGCCAAGCAAATTAATTCACCGGTATATGGCCTTTCTCCGCTTGATCAGCTTTCTCTAGATTGGGCAAAGAAATCAACAACGAGGAGTCGATACTCTACTGGGCCGCCCACCACTCGATTCCCGTTTTTTGTCCCGCGCTGACAGGTTAGAATTCTTCGCTTATTTTCGGTGAACTTGCTTTTAGACGGTTCCCTCGGTGATATGCTGTATTTCCATTCTGTCCGAAACGCGCCTGGGCTACGCTTGGATATTGTTGAGGTAAATATAGCATTATCAATTTTTTTATGCCAATTTAGGATGTACGCCATATTAATACGATGGCCGTGAAGAGCGTCAAAACGGGCGTGCTGATCCTGGGCGGTGGTGTTGTTAAGGTATAATAATTACGGGTTCTTTCGCATTAGCGGGGGGGGGAGGGATTTTTTTTTCCTATAGGCGGAGAAATGCCTAATAAGTGTTTTAGTAGGGTTTATAATGAAAATTATTGAAGTGGAAAAATCATAAAAAAATAGTTCCTCGAGTTACATTAGAAAAATTGGATCCTTAGAAAAAAGTTGGACCCCCGATAATGCGAAAGAACTTCCTTAAGAGCTATTCTAAAATTTCTATGAATTTAGCACCACATCAACAACGCGAATCTGATGCGAAATGGCAGCGACTACACCGTCTATATCAACACTGGCCAGGTAGCTGAAATTTCATCGGAATATAAAAATTTGCTTTCCAGGAATTCGACGGGTCCGACTCTGGTGCAAGCCCGGATGAAGCTGTGAGCTGGGGAAAGGTGTTTCAAAACAAAGTAATTTGTTTAAAAATTTCTAGATCAAGCCTCTGGCCTCTGCCGTCAAAGTCTACGCCGAAGCGACGCTCGTCTTCCCCCTAATCGTCGCCCAAACCTTTGCAAAGGTTGTCGAGAAGCGCAAGCAGCAGCTGTGAACTTGTTGAATTTGTCTTTTTTTTTACTTTTGTGGTGATGTTGTTGACGTTATAAATATATTTTATCAGAAGAAATTGCCCATTTGGCATATCATCGTAAAAATGTCGCATTTACTCGTCGCTATTTGGGGTTCCGGGGTCGGCTTTGCGCAATTCCTCGATGAGATTATCCGAGTATTCGAGGCCGACGTCCAGATCACCGACGTGTTCGCCGTTGACGTCGTACACTAGATAGCGTTGTTTTAGGCTTAGAATTGGTAGAGAAAGGCTTGTTTATTAGCGGGGGGGTAGCTAGACAATTTTGAATAGAATTTTACGCTCTTTCTAGTGATCAAAAGTTTACAACTAACCTAATTTACGAATTTTTCGTCTAAAGTATCAAAAATGGTCCAAAAATTCAAAACTTTTGACCCAAAAAATGTTCTATCACTTTTTCGTAAGGCCGGAAAAGCCTTATATAGTTAGTTTCGGCTGTGGAGGGTAGGCTAAATAAATGAAGTAAGCGCCCCCCCCGCTAATGAATAAGAACCGAGGATGTTTTGTTTTGTATAGACTCACGAGCTAACGTTAATCGATCCTGTCGGCTGAATGGTGATGGTTCCACGGATGCGACCGCAATCTCATCACTGTTTTCCCCTAAACGGAACTTTCACCTTTTCCGCCTAAAACAAACCCTGGTCTGTATTCAGATTAAATTCAAGCCGATTTCCAAGTCGTAGCCATTGACTCAGAAGATGGAATCGTCGGCTGTCGAAGAAATACGCTGAAATTTCAGAATTTCCTGGTCAGTGACTAGGCAAACTTTTCTCAAAATTAAAGTTGGCTGCTTCGGTAGATTTTCTAGGGATTGGAGCGGAATTGGGGACGCGACACTCATCGATCGGTAAATCGAGGAGGCACCTGAGTAAAGTTAAGGTTTTTGGGGAGTTGAAACTCACCAGTCGACGTAGACATTCACACCCTCGTAGGTCTTGCCAAGGAGTAAGGAATCCTCGTGGACGTACAGGGAATCGATGCGTACTTTTAGCCACAGGTCGACAACTTCGCGCCATTTCTGAATCCGTTTGTTATTGAGTTTTTATTTCTGTTAGATAGGCGATCAGTCCGTATTTTGACGTACCGGTTCGCGTATTTCTCGATAGGCTAGATTGCTTTTTCCATCAGCTTCGCGAAGTTCTATTCCTGGCTTTCGTGGGGTGGAGCCGAGATCCGAGGTATCGGAGGCTGAAATCAGGGATTTTTGGTGGTAATTTTAACGCTGTTCCAAGTAATTGAAAATGGCTATTACAGCGATGAAAACTACTGGAATTACTTACCAGGGATCGAGTTGTGCAGCGGGTCCGTAAATTTCAACCTCGTATCGCGAATCGGCTCCTCCTCGGGTGGTATCAATGGCTAAAAAAAATCGTAGATTTAAATTCAGGAAAAGCTACTCACCCTAGATAGCCTCGGCTTCGCGATCGGGGGAAAATTGCCAAGCATCTCCCGGATTTCATCGACTCGCCCGGGCTGGTCGGTTTCTGAATGTGCAAATTTCGAGTGCTGGTGCGTTAGCGGGGGGAGGGGGCTCTCCTATGTGACCGTAGGTGCTTTGATTTGAATTTAAAAGTCATTTTTAATAGCATTTCATCCAACTTTTAGACCGAAACTTATCAGAATCTACTACAAATTTCTAAAATTTTTGCGTATTATTCAAATTTGATGGAAAAAAGATAGATTTCAAATGTTTAATAGCGTTCTACCTACTTTAAGGGGACCAGAGCCAAACTTCGATCTCCACTCACCAAGACTGCTCCTACTCGAGGCGCTCGGCGTCTCTGCTGCCGGCCTCGGGGTGGCTTCATGAGTTTCCGGAGGGCTTTGTCCGAAGGTGGAGCTTGGCGGGCTTGGCTTCAGCACGCTGTCGCCTTTCACCGATTCTAAGATTTTGCGCTGTTTCAGTTTTACGATATTTTGATTTTTAAAACGTTTAAGTTGCCCTTACCTATAGAAGTTGAAGGAGATCGTATAATTGGCTGGGGCTCGTTGGTGCTTGTTCGTCTCGGAGGTATCGGCATTATTTTATCGATGTCCGGGTCGAAGGAGCCTTCCGGAGAGGATAATTCAGCCGGTTCCTACAACACAAAAAGTTTTAAAAACTTGTTGAAGTCGTCGGTTACCTGTTGCTGTAGATGAGCCGACGGTCCGTCCAAAATTACCGTAGCTGGAGATGATCGTGAGGTAGATGGGGTCGGGGGGCTATAAGTAATTTTTGCTATATTTCAAATGGAATAACGATTTAGAAAATTTAAAAAATGTAAACTATCTCATTTTTGGAATTTTTACAAAAAAAATTGTAGAATTTTACGCTTAGGAATCGTACAACTGCTCGTACCCATCGTCCAACATCGGGATGGCGGGTGGTGTTTCTTGCCGATGAGGCACAGCTTCCTCAGAAGACGATGAAGAGCTTGTGGTGCCGGATACGATGGTAGCAGCTGGTAGTCTTGGTGGGGAGACGGGCAAGGAGGGCGTTTCTTCTTTTACAAGATCTGCCGGTCTCTCCTCCTTCCGTTTTTCCAGGGGTCGGATGAGAAAGTCTAGAATTGAAGAGGGTATTAGATTTTTTAAAAACAATTCGGAAATTTTTTGGAGTTTTTGTCGAAATTCATATTTCGAAGTGATTTCCTTCAAAAATTAGGATTTTTAAAGTGATTTTTCAGAAAAGCCATATTTTTGAACGTTCGAATGATTTCGAAAAGTCCGATTTCTATCCTTAGTTGTTCCAAAACCTACTTTCGAAACTTTCGAATTTCTGATTTTCGAAAACTGTCGAAAAGAGATTTTTCGGAACACGATTTTCGAAAATATATATGTAAAATCACAAGATAAACTTTGCAATTTTATAACGTACCCGGCACGAACGTCCAGTGAATATCAACATCTATCGTCGTCCCGGTCAGCTTTCCATCCGGCTGAATATTTCAGGCATGAAAACAATACCCAAACTTTACCGTAGTCATCGGGAATGTGCCGCGAATTGGCTTCCCATGCCTCAGCGGGCTGAGCGGCAGAATGAGCATCGACAGCACGCCGTCGCTGCCCTTGCGCGGCTCGGCCTCGACGAGGTAGAGTGAGATATCCTGAACGGGTTTTCAGGGTTATGGGCTAAACAACGTACCGATCCGCCGAGCATTCTCACCAGATTTTCACCCCGTACCATCGACCAATCGCGACGGTCGTTTAGTGTCAACTGAAAATGTGGAATTTTCTACTAAGGGACTTAAATCCATAAGACCGAAATTCAAAACACCGAAGCACGTTTCTTTCGCTTATCGGTAGGATACAAAGTTTTTCCAAGTATGTAGTTTTTCTGGCATAAATAGAGGAAACGTTTTTACGGTTTCTTGTTATTCATAAACCTAAAAACTTGAGACATTTTTATGGAAAATACAAAAATATCGGTTTTCGCCTTAAAATGGCCGATTTTCGAGCCAAATTGCAATTAAAAAAATTTTCGAAGCTTTTTTTATAGTTTTTTTCCCTCAAAATATAGTTACATTTTGTCAAAAAACACTTACTATTACGTTACTAGGAATTTCTGGAATTATAGGGAAAAAATTAGCCCCCTCCGCGATAATACGAAAGAACCGAAATCCTTTTAGGCACGCACCTTGCCTGCGGTGACCTTGTTGAAGTTGGTGAAATATGGCGAAAACGCACAAAACTCGTAGACGACCGCGCATTCAGTTGAATCTAAAGTTTCGCAATTTATAATTATTTAAGTTTGTCGATACCGTTAACTCCGGTGATGCCGTTGCAGCGGTGGACGACGATCGAAAGGGTGTCGTGGGCAAATTCTGAAAAAAAAATCGGGATTTTTAGGTTACCAGCCAAACACAAACCCGGATTTTCTGTGGTGTCAATCGGCAGCATTTTCGTCGCGGTTTCTTGGCTCTAAAAACACAGGATTCTCTTTTATTTATTTTTTTAGTTACCGTATAAGCTTGCAGGCTTTTCGTGACGTCTTGAGAAATATTGAGCTCATAGTTGATGGTGGCGATCGGGCGTCCAGTTTGGAGCGAGAGGACCCTGAGATCGAGATTTCAGTGAGATCGAACTCTGGTGGTGATTACTTAGCGGGGGGGGTCCCTCGTTGTAACAAAACAGAAAATTGTGAAAAATCACAAATTTTAGAAATTTTGGATCACTTTGCTGGCATTTTTCACGAAAAGTCAAAATTTCAAAAAGTTTAGAACATGCCAAGAAATTTTCTATGAATTTGTTCAATAAAACGGGCGTGAAATTCTATTAAAATTGCTTCTATCTCATCATGACGAAACTGGAAAAAGTAGCCCCCCGCTAAAGAACTAGCTCCTGAACTTCCCGAACTCACTTGACCTGTCCACCGTATTTTCCGGTTCTGGTCGTAATTAATGGTCGAAGGGAGAGGGCGGCGGCGCCGACGTGTTCATACGAGGGTCCTCCGGTTGGGCGGTACATTTCCAAGTGGATACCATCCTAAAAAGCAGATAATCTCACGGTCCTGATGCATTAACGGGGGGGGGGGGGGCTGTTTTTAATGCTACTAACTGGCTAAAATTTGATAACCCCTATTTAAACGTTAAAAACTTGGCATTTTTGACCATTTTTCATAGCTCTTTTATCAACTTTTGATATCTAAAAGAAACGTAAAATATAAATAAAATAAAAAACGTAAAATATATAAAGAAATTAAGACGATTTTAGTTTTTTTATAAGGCGGATAGGATAAACTAAAAAAGAGGAAAAAGTTAGTCCCCCCCCCCCCCGATAACAAACCAGCACCGATGATCCAGGAAAAGCCATGTCTTACCGATTGAATATAGTGCACAAAAAGCTTCGAAACGACAATATTATAGAGGAAGGTATAATTCAGCGGTACTCGTTGTCCTCGCATCACGTTTGTCGTCTAAAAACCTCAACGGATAACAGATAATTCCTTTTAAACGTACTTGTAGCTCAAAGTCAAAAAATTCTATGCAAAAGAAAAAGTCTGGCCGGTCTTCGTTGACGTACTCAGGGCTGAGTTGGACCTAAACAAAATTTATTCCTAGAAAAGCGGCTCTCGACTAACCAATGTCAATCTCAGCGCCACTTCATTGCTCGATCCCACTTCCGTCATCGGCTCCTCGTTCAGTAAGGCTTTTACCTAGTTTATCTTCTAGGATTTTTGTGATTTTTTTACCTTTTGATTTCCGTAGGCAATAGCTCGGATTTGGCTCTCAAGAAGCGTGATTTTTCTGAAAATGTATATATTGAGCCGTTTAACTTGGTACTGGACTGTTAGCGGGGGTGGATTTTTAGTCGCGGCAAGAGAAACATGAATTTTTTCGAATCTATCTACCGTTTAATAATATATAGCGTTTTGTATGGTGTTTTTAGCAGTTTTTCATGCTAGGGAAGTAAATAAATATTTTACAAATTTTTGAAAATGAAAAATTTGCTTATTTTGATATTTTTCATACATTTTGCCCAAAGAGTAAAAAACTAATCTCGGAAAGTTTTATACATTTTTCTGTTCCTTTTTGTAGCTAAAAACTGTGCAAAATGCGATAAAAATGGTTTATATTTCTCAAGATGGTCGTATGGCATACCGGAAAGAAATCCCCCCCCCCGCTAACAACAGCACAGTACCAACAGGGTCTTCGAAAACTTACTTATTCCGTTCACTTAACGCGTCCCTCATCTCGCACAGCGTCTTTTCATATTCATCCCTTATCCGCACCCCATCGCTCTTCAGCAAGTTGACCTAAAATCGTGCTTTCAAAGTGTTAAATTGTTCATCTACCTCCTTCCCTTGCTTTTGGTTAATATCATGCTGCAGCAGCAACAAATTGCGAACCTAAATAAATATTTAGAGCTTTCGAAACGCTGTTTACCTTCTCCAACTCGTCGTACAGCTCCGCGTACAGCCGCTCCCATCTGGAATTTGTTTAAAATGTATTTGAAAACTCTTACTTTAATGAGGCGCCGGTAACCGTTATTTCTTGTTGATTGCCGTTTGAGTGATCGCCAATTAAAGAGGAGACGTCATTCCAAAGCTTTTGAAGCAGTTCATTGCCGGCTTTGTCTTTCTGGAAAAAAGGATGTGAACAAAAAAGGTGGCGAACAAACCCTGCTTTTTCTCTTCTTTTCCTGAACAACAAGCCGCTCGACCGGCTCGAATTCGTCAATATTGGTTTGCGGTGGCGGATCAGCGCGATTCGAATTTTCTCGAGATTTCGATTTCTCGAGCATTCGTCGAAGCATTTCCGTTTCGTTTCTTTCTTTCGCTAACTGTCGTTGATTCGTCTGAAAACATGATGAAGCCACGCTTTAATTTACTAGCCTGATAGTCGCGTTTTGCATTTTTCAGCTCCTCCTCCAGCACCACTAGCTTCTTCTCCAGATCGACAATTTCCATGGAGTTCGCGTCCAAGTTCGGCTCAAGCGTTCTAAATTCGTTTTCTTTCGGAGATTTGCAAAAACTTACTGTGCTACGAGTCTCTCATTCGCTTGTTTTAAAATGGTCAGCTCTTTCCGGAGGGGTATAAGCTCAGCGCAGTTCATACAGGACTAAAAACAGCTGGATCTCAACTAAAACACACGCTTACCGATTTTTGGGTCTCAAGCGTTCCGGTGGCCTGTTCTGCGCTTCGTTCAGTGTTGGAAGAGAGGAGCTGTGCTTCTAGTTCTCTGATACGGCGCTCGTTGGCTTCTGACTTGGCGGTCAATGCCTCGATTTTCTAAAAACAAATAAAAATGGATTTGAACTGCTATAACCTACCTTATCCTTCGTTTCCAGCTGCAATCGTTTCTCGGCCAGTTGTGCTTCCAGCTCTCGATTCCGTCGGTTTAGCTTGATCAGCTGCCCTTTTTCAGCGACGACGGTCTCATTTACACGGAATGGCTGCGTCCTGAATTCTACTTTTAGTGTTTAAAAAGCGTCAAATTAGCTAATAATTGTAAATAGCCACTTTAAAAGCTGAAAAACCCTGTAAAGAAAAGGATTTTTACCTGTTTGTTGTTGGCTCCCCGCTTTGTCGACTTTGCCGTCCCGGTACCGTGTATTGCATGGGTCTGCCCTAAAAACCCAGGTTCTTTGACCTTATCGGGGGGGGGGGTAATCTGATCTTTCCTACTCATCTAAACCCGCGTAACGTAAGTTTACAAGTGTTTTAATCGTGTTTTTCGCAAAATTTTACAATGTTTAAAGCGGTAACAAATCCAAAAAATGATGAAACCGAGAAATTTTGATCATAAATCGATATTTTCTGTCTTTAACAAAAATTTGCAGAGTTTTTACGCTTAGGAATAGAAATTTGGTTAGAAAAAGTGGGGGGGGGGATCAGGAAAGGCTCTTACTGTAATAACACTCGCTGTGGCCGGCCTTGCCGAAGGATGGGTGTAGGTGAGGAGCTGGTGTCGCAGGCTTCGCAGCTGAATTTCAAGATTTTTTCTAGAATTATAAAAATTTAGCCAACCTTTATTTGCAGCAACTCGCGATCCTTCTCCAGATCCGCATATTGCTCATAGGGGACCGTGGAAGCATGGCCGGCCGCCGATTGAGGGCGCTTCAACCTAGCACCGACCCTAAAAAATGAAAATCAGCCAAACTAGCTTCTCTTACTCTGACAACTGCTTCCCCAGGCCGCTATTTTTAATCTGCAGCGTCTGGTTGTCCCGGAAGAGTTCGTGAAACCTAAAAACATATTTTTAGACGTAAAAATTGTGGAAAATACCGATCCTCCAACTCGGCCCTGCTCCATTCTTCGACAGCAGGGCGTTTTACCATTCTAAAACCATCTTTACGTTGATAGAATATAATATAGCATTAAAGCACGCGTTCAAAACTATTTTTTGATGCTTACTAAATATATAGTGACCGATGGATATTATCAAAACGTTTTCAGGTTATAAAGCGAGATTTTCGAACATTTTTCGACAAAAATCACTTTTTTACAGTTTTAGAACGTTTATAACTGTTTTTTGCGCTTAAAAACAGCTAAGATTACCCAAATAATCCTTGAAATTTATATAAAAGGCCTCTATCGATTTTAATTTCTTTAAATTTACGGGGATTTTAGTTTTAAACAGCTTTTGGCGTCCGGCAACCATCGCGACTAAAAAACCCAAAAAAGACACATCGATATCAATATAAAAAAGATGTATATATTGTTAAAAAAGGGCTAATTGACCGGAAGTGACGCCCCATTAGCCAGCCAGCCGATAGTGGTGCTATGGGGTGGCCAGGGTATGAGGGGTGGATTGGTGTGCGAGGGTTGGGGTGTGTTGCCAGGGGTAACCGCATGGGAAAGGTTTTCGCCCTTGTTTCTGCAATCAGCCATGTGGCTTCATAAAGCCTTGAAACTTGCGCAGGGTGCTGGTGCGTTATCGAGGGGTTTGAAAAGCGTTTTGTAACTTTTGGTTCTTTCTTATTATAGGGGGGGGGGAGGGGGTTATCAGCGAAATCACAATTTTTTTAGTATCCAATTTTTTCTAGTATAAACAGAGAGTGTTTCTATTTTCTTTTTAGTGGTTACTTGACTACAGGGTGGACAAAAAAAAAAGATCCGAGTTTGGGGCAGAATAACTCGCGAACGGTAGAGAATCGAAGGTACGTTACCATGCCAGAATGCTTAAATATGCTGGGTATGAAGATTTAACACAACTTGATTTTTTCGATTTTTGAGTACGAAACTGTACTATTGACGCTGGTTACGACCGAAAATTGTGCGTTCTTGAACGCGTAGTGGGAAAATTCTGATTTTTGGCCTAAAAATAGTATAAACCAGGGTTGAAAAGCCGCTACGCGGCTTTTCACCCCTGGCCTTTGCGCGGGGGTGAAAAGAGATTCTTGAGAATTTCTTTTCACCCCCGCACAAAGATTCCTTTCTTGAGAATTTGGGCAATTTGCATAATTTAGCGAATTATCGCCAACCCCTACCCTAATAATCACAAAAGCGACCGGCTGAGAGCATGACAAAATCCAAAATGATCCTCCTAGCGCCTCGTATGCAAATGAGGGCATTTCCATATGTTTTTAAAACACTAAAATATGGTATAAATAGTCATTTTCTTAAAAACCTGATCAGTGTGCAGTAATCTACGCCCTCGAATACCCCTAAATACCTTTCGACTGGGCGCGAAAACCCTCCCCCCTTCGCGATATCTTGGTAACCCGGTTTTTTCGAGTCATTTATGCAAAGTGTCCACAGACACACACACAGACACTACTTTTTTATATATAGTAGGATTTGTAGAAATGTAATGGCAAAATCTTAGAATTTTTCGAGGCCTATTCCATTTTCTAAAAACAAAACAATTTTCGCGATTTTTCGTTAATTTTGTTCTTTGAGTCATAACTCACTTCTAACTCACTGCCCATGGCTGCTTTTTTGCCAATGAATTATCCAAATATTAACCTAGGATTCCACACCAGAACCCAACACAATCTATGGTATTTTTGTATTGCATGCTAAAACGTGCCCCAGCGGGGTACTGTAGGTTTCGTTTTTCCCGCTTTTCTCGGGGTCCCTAGTTTCGATTCGGCTAAAATTTTCTAGGTTGTTAGGCAATAAGTAGGGGCACCTTACTGCCAAATACGAGAGCGTACTATCCACAAACTTTCATGAAAAAGACTAAAAACTGATTTTTTAATTCTGCGGCAGAATTTTGTAAATTTTTTGGTCAATTGGTTCAAAAACTGCTACTATTGGTTTTCCGAAAAGATCGAAGCGATTCCATGGCAAAAACACCACGAAAATCGCAAATTTCGGTTTTCTACAGTAACCCGCGTGGAGCGCGTTTTAGCATGCCATCACAAAATTCCATAAATTGACGTTTTTTCAATTCGCGGGCCTTCTAGAGGTGATTGTAAGAGAGCCTGTCAAAAATTACTGATCTTCGGTGGTAAATAACAAAGTTACGAGGCCAAGTGCAAAACAAGACCAAAGAGCCGATTTTGGGTCCGAGGAGCCGGGTCAATTTTCGACTTTTTAAAAATAAAAAAACCACCTAAGTCTTATGGATACGATTATAGCTTCGATGTTATTATTTACGCTCGTCAAATTTGGGGGCAATCTGATTCATGATCATGGTGACTTTCAGCTCAAAATCGAAAATCACCCTGTTCCAAACTCGAAGTTTAAAATTCTTCTTAAAATTTTTCGACGCGAAATTGTTTTAATCTTTGCATAGTTTTATTCAACTGATAGCACAAAATTAACGCTAAAAATATGCTGGCGACTCCACCTTCCAAAAATTTTTTACGCCCCCTCGAATTCGGTTTATTTCGAGTTTTGATGAATTTTCTTTTCGCCAACGGCTGGTCAAATAAATGCTAGAACGTGGCGCTAGGATGCGCTATTCAACCAATATCAGATAAAATTAGAATGACAATTTTCATAGCGCTCTTAAAATTTATAAATTGTTAGCGAGTTTTGGAAAAAAGCACGAACCAACCGTTTTGGAGGCCCTAAAAGTCGCCCTTCCAAAGCGGTACCGTAGCTCGAATTGTTGCAGATTATAGATAAACAACAGTACTACATAGCTAAGCAAAAAAAATAGCTGAGTCCCATTTGGCAATTTAGAAATATTTTTCCAAAGTCCGGTTTCGAGACCTCGAAAAATCCATGACCAGGGGGTCGTTGAAAAACTCGAAAATTCATCGATCTCGAAAAATTTTTAAGTGTGTTTATGCGGTTGTATAGGGTCCGTAGTTATTCTACAACAACTTATTTTGATGTTTTGGCCATAGGTTTTTGTAATTTTCGAAATTTACGAAATTTCCTCATACAAAATTTCATTCCTCTCTAACTTTTCAACCAGACCCTCAAAAATTCTTAAATTTTGTAGTTGGATATCTACTACCTACATTAACTTAAATAGTAAAAATTATAACCCAGCCGCCACAGGAAACTGAGAAAAATGCAAATGAAGTTATGCGGAACGCACATTTTCCGGGTGTAATTTGTATTGATACGTCGCCAAAAATCGAAAAAATCAAGTTGTGTTAAATCTTCATACCCAGCATATTTAAGCATTCTGGCATGGTAACGTACCTTCGATTCTCTACCGTTCGCGAGTTATTCTGCCCCAAACTCGGATCTTTTTTTTTTGTCCACCCTGTATTTTTCAGGGGCAAAAACCACCGGAAAACTATAAAAATTTTGTAGATTTATTCGGAAATCGCTGATTTTGGCTCGAAAAATCTATATTTTTATATTTTTATTTTTTTAGCCATTAGGTAAGCTTAAAAGCAAGAGTCCAGAAAGAGTTCGTCTTGTTACCTTGGAAAGATTGGACCCCAAGGAAAATGCTCCTCCCCCCGATAAAGCGCAAGAACCAAACTCTGTCTAGTATCTTTGCGTAGCGCATGCGTAAGGGGTAGTGTAGGGTAAACTTAATATCTATTCCAAACTATTTATTATGGACTACAACATTCGTACACAGGTCGTTCAGCCGAGGCTAGACGGCGGGCGGGGCGATTTGGCGCCGGTATTCTGCCAAAATGCTCGCCAAAAACCGAGAAATCTACAGGCTCGTGGCGGCTAGTTACCGTCGGCTACACGTCGTGATGGGGGGAGAGGGAGAGGGAGAGAAATCGATTCCAAAAGCCTAGCAATACACGAGGGAGACCCATAACCAGCAGATGGACGAAGACGACGTTGAAACGGGTGTTTTTTTGGGCGCAGGGGAAATTTGCTAATTTTCGAGGTACTGGTTCCTTAGCGGGGGAGCTAACTAGGCTGCCTAAATGCAACGGAAGACATTTTAACGGCTTTTTTAAAAGCCTTTTTAGCTAAAAACGTATAAAAACTATTAAAACTCAAGGAGACATGTGTTTTTTTGGTGTTAAATTTCATAGTTTTCAAATTTTGAATGGTTTCCATAGATTTTTAGAAGATTTCTTTGGGAATTTTTTTGATAGAGGTAGAAGCCATTTTAAGTTTTTTTACGCTTCTGTAAACAAATATGAAAAACAAAAAAAATTCAAAAATTGGGATTGTTCGTCCATTTTTTCGGTTTTTTAATGTTTTCTAAAATTTTTAGTGATCCGAAGCTATTAAAGCACTATTTGAAGGCTATTTTTATTACTAGAGTGGTTTCGCTGAATAAAAACATTTACCATCACCCCCGCTAAGGAAGCAGTACCAAAAAAAGTTATTTTTTTTAGGTCAGGCTAGGCTTGGCGCGCTGCTTTGGCTAGCTGACGTGGAACAGCGTGGCGCGCCCTATAAGTAGAATTAAATGAGAGAGAGAGAGAGAAAAACCGTTACTACGTAGCAGAAAATATACCCTTTTCAGGCACCCATACACGTGGGGAGGGAGGGGAAAGGCCGTTAGTGCTGCTTTCTAGCGACCAAATTATCCGAGGGGGAAAAGCTCAATAAAAAATAGGCATAGAAAAATGGACAAAATGAATAATACAAACAACTAAACAGCGAATGCAGGGTAGATGGGTGGGGAGGACAGCCGTAATGTGTTACCAATAATCGATAAATGACTAGAAACACGACGCGGCGCAAAAAAAAGATGGTTCTTTGGCACTATCGGCGGGGGTTTCTATTTCTTGACGTAAAAGCTTTAAAATTTGCGTCAAAAATAATAAAAATATCGAGTTTTGACCGAAAATCGCCAATTTTTTACCAAATTTCGATTTTTCAACCCCACCCCCCTCGATAATGCAAAAGAAACAAAAAGAACAATAAAAAATCCATCGAATGAGGAAGGCAGGGCTGGTAATAAAAAAAGGGGAAAAGCCTATGCAAAAAGAACAACTGAATAGGAAAATCGCAAGCAGGTGTTTAGGGCTTCATCGTGCCAAAGTCGGTGGACGATGTGGTGGTGGTTGATTGGTTGCTGCCTAAATGTCGCTATTTTTTTCCTTGTAAGCGCAGAAATACCGCGTCACGTAATGGCAAAGCTTTTAATAGTTTTTAGTCAAATTTAATGATATTTTAAGTGAAAAAATATCTAAAAACGCCTTACAATTTTAAATTTTGTTCGAAAATCGAAATGTTTCCAGTTTTCAGTCCAATTTGTAGTTTTCGTCTAGTAATTTTTTAGTTTAAAAGTCGAATAAAGTCCTAATACTACCACTGACCGTTACTATTCGACGGGCTGTCACCGTTCGGGCCCTTTCCGGCGGCAATGCCGATCATTTGCGGCGATTGACGGATGATGCCATTTGCCTAAAGTATATTTTTGTATTTATTTAATTAAATTAAGATATCTAGGCAAAGTTTTGAACCAAATCTGACTCACCAGTAAAGTGACCTGATTGGCCAGTAACGGGCTGGTAGCCGTGTTTCCGGCCGCGAGAACGTGCGGCATCGTAGACAGCACTTGGCCAAGTAGATGTGCCGTGCCACTGGAATTCACGAGTTATAGCTAATAAAACATGATTAAATAAGGCTTTAACTATTATGAAAATCAATTATTGATTAGAGAAGTAACCAACGAGCCGGAATTTACTTACTTATTCATTGAACCCTGCCCATTCAACGCGGTGGCCATTTGCAGACTGTTGGGCAGCAACCCGTTCATCGTCGGCGCCAGCCCAGTGGTGGGCGATCGCGAGTTGGCGTCGTTGATGTACTGCAGGAAGCTGTTCGACACTGAAAAGACTGTGCCTCGTTTTGGAATACGATTCTATCAATACCGTCACGAAGGGCGTCTTGAGAATTGCCATTTGTGGGGAGGACGGTGAGTGCAGGGGCGCTGCCGTTCGTATCTTCGTCATTGCCTGAATCAATATAAAGGGTATAAGTATCTAATAATCTAAATTACGCATGAATTAAGCTTGGAAAAAATCTTATTTTCTTGCTAGTCGATAGTACTTTCGCAATATCTGAGGGAATCAGACTTTTTCGGACAAGTTTAGGTATGACTACTAGTAGAAAACAAGAATTTTATTAATCATCTTGATAAGCTGAGCTCTATTTCAAGTTGAAAAGTCCACTAGTAAACTTCAAAAGTTTTTAAAAATTTGAAGTTTTGGTGGAAAATCGATAATTTTGCGTTTATATCAAAATTTGTAAGGTTTTGACGCTTAGGCATATTAAAAACAGTTTAGAAGTAGTGCCTCTGTTTATATTAGCAAAATTGTCCTTAGAAAATTCTTTGCGAAAGAACAAAGTAAAGACCTACCCGGCAATCTCATCGAAGAAAAGATATTCGGGGTGCAGCGGGGCGTGCCGAGCGGTGAATTTACCGCCGAGTTGCCGGCAGACAATATCTAAAGCAATATAGATAATGTTGATATCTAAAAAGTAAAAAAGCGGTTATTAATGAACCCACAATCGTCTCCAACAATTGGTTCTGGTTCATCAAATGGTTGAGGGCCTGCCGGGCATCACCCGTTGTCAACGGGCTCGAGCAGCCGCTACCAATCAGTTGGAACGGGGAATTGGCAGCTGCCTAAAAAGTGCTTTAGAAGGTTTTTTGATAACTGTTTTGTACTATTCAAACTTTTAAACGCTTGTAGAAACATGTTATTCGTCTAAAACCGTACCTGAGCAGCCACCATGGCGCCAAGTGCAAAATTGGCAGAAGTGACGGTGGGGTTAATGGGGCGCGGGGTTACCAATTTCTAAAGAACATCATTAGCTCGAAAATGTGGCTAGAAGCTCACCGCCGTGTTGTCCGGCCGGGTCAAGAAGTCGCGGACTGGCGGCTGACCAACCGCGACAGGGCTCGTCACGGAGGTGATGGCGATTGGGCCTGACAGATCGGGGAATAAAACGATCTTCTTATATTCCTTTCCCAAAAAAGTTAATAACATTTATAAAAAAAAACTATGGACAATAAGTGAAATCCCTTATTTAGTATGTACTTTAAGATACTGAACCCATAAAATTCTTCGCTTTGCATATTTCTTTCGAATTGCGAAGAGAAAAAATGAAAAATAACACTCTCTACTTGATTATATAGGCTATCACCACTTCCGGTGCATGCTAATTGTTTCCTAACAAAGAGGTTGGCCGAAATTTTTACATAAACTGAAATTTAATGTTTAAAACAATTAGTTTTGTAAAATCTGATAAGCGTGCAGTCATCCCAGAGCCATTACGCACCTAATGACGTATCATACATACCTTAAAGGCGTTCCCCTATCGAGATATTCTCCGGACATGGTGACGGAAGTTGCATGCAAAGTATCACAAACACACACACACAAACACTATTTTTTATATATAGTAGGATAATACACTTTTTGTTATCGTAAAAATAAGGTTTTTTTGTTGTTTTTCGAAGGCAAACAATGGCAACCTCGTTTTACAAAATTTTAGTCATTGAAAGACACTTAAATTGCCTATATATTACGTTAACAAATCTTCTACTTCCTAACCTTCATTTCCTATCACAAAGTGCACTAAATATTTTGGCCATAACTTTCTTCAAACTTACTTTGCTGCGTGGTGACGACATTCTTATGCTGTGCCTCAACCGTTCGCAGAATATCCCTAAAAGAAGCCATTTCACCAGCTTTCAACAAGTATTATTCCACGTCCTCAACCGTCGTTTTCGAACTTACGTAAACGACACCAGATCCCCATTCGCGTTCGTAAACTTTGTCGGGCTGGCGTGGTAGGGGTTGGTGCTGTCGCGGCCGCGCAAAATGTGCATCGCGACGAGGTTCGCCGATTCTAGACCATCTTTATTGGGTTGGAGATAGCTTTGAGGGATTTTAGGGTGCAATTCAAACCTGGGCTCGTGTTCACGGGGGTGACGGGCGAGGCGGTGGTCGTTGTGACGGGTAGCTGGAGGGTTTGGGCGGCAGCGGTGTTCCGGTTCCGCTCGGCGGTGACTTTGTCGAGTTGCATGATGCCATTGTACTGAAAAGGGGGAATTTAATGAAAATTACTACGCAAAAATCTCCTGCGCTAGTTTTGTAGTTTATAGCGTCTCTTCGACTCTGGTTTTCTCCCCACTTCGCCTTTTTCTAACCGTAAAAATAGCAGAAAAATAATTTTTCGGATATTCCAGCGCGCCTTTTTATACTTTACAATACTAAATTGTCGAATGTGAAAAAATCATTTAAATTCAAAATTATGGATGAGTCACGAGCAGCCGGTCCAAGCTTGCTTTTAGGGAAAAAGAAAATCGCGAAAGCTTTGTAAAGTTATTTTTAAGCTGTTTGCGCCGAAAAACCAACGGTCTGTTCAGCGGCCCGCGCCGGGTTGTAGGCGGCCGTCGTGTTGGTGTTGTGGATCCGTTTTCGCGTTGAGATCAGAGGTGCTTGACCCTGAAATCCATTCTATAAGCTCTAGCATAAAACGACGATGTGAAGTCGATAATCTCGTTTCCTTGGATATCTGTTTGAAAGTCTTGTACTAGATGCCATCCGTAGTAGTCATTGGGTAAACCCCGTAGCTGAATAGCTCAAACTACAAAAAATCTACATTATTCCACCGATTTTTCCGTTAAAGTATCAGAGATGCGATAAACGACTAGAAGAAGCTCATGGTTTCTTTTCTTTAGCTACCCTGTACGTATTCGGAAATTGACGATATCTTTAGACGAAACCCAAGGTTAGCTAGCTCAAATTGGGCCTCAAACTACAAAAAGCATCTCCACGTTCCCCAATTTTTCCGTTGAAGTCCATTTCCGCTTTCACCCCCGAAGGGAAGGAAGTTGACCCGCCTGTGTGATGTTGGTGCTGCGCAGGTGTGGAGCCAAGACGCTTTGCAGGGTGGGGCCCGATTCTAAATCGAGCAAAAATCATTTCTGGCCAATCATTCTTTTTATATATTTTTTTTGTTGAAATGTGTGTGTCTGCTGTGGCAAAATGTCCGGTGCGGTTTCATCACACACAACCACCACCACCACCACCGGGTCAGCATCCGGTCAGCGGGGCGCGTTGCCGTGGGGCAGTCAGTGCCATCCATATCTCATCTCAAAGAGTTTATTTCCCGGTCGCATCGGGACAACGGAGCAGGAGGTGGGGCGAGGGGGGAGCAGAAACAAAATGAAAAATGGATGCTGCCAACCAGGGGCCCCGCTCAACAATGAAGGCAGCAAAAAAAGGTGAAGGCAGTTTTTGGGTGGGTGGGGGTGGGTGTGAAGAAGGGGTGGGCGAAGGTCACAGGGAGAATTCCAGCGAGATCGTTTTGAGCGCGGACGCGAAATAGACTGAGAGGCTTGAAGAAATCTTTAAAGTGGATTTATATTGAGCAAGAATAAGGCTGAAGAAACATAGGAGCGTTAGCCGGGGAGGAGGAACGCGCATCACACAACGATAAACGAAATGATCGTCAAGGACCCAGAAATTGACAATCCATTCATAGGTATTATGAGGGGGGTTACGGCGTATTGTCTCTAGATTAGTTTTTACTATTCCTAAACGTTACATTACGACAATTTACAAATTTTCTAGAAAAATACAAAAGTATCAATTTTTGGGACCAAAATGGCCGATTTTGGACGAAAATTTGAAGTTTTCACACAATTTCTAGGTTTTTTGGTTGGATTTTTACTGAAATTTCGTTAATTTTGCTAAAACTTAGATAGTCTCAGGCAAAAACCGGCTTCCCCCCCCGATAATGCAAAAGCACCCATTAATACATTAAAAAACGCTAGCTGGATATGTCATACGCGTCTGGGTCCTCAACGACCTCCCCGTAAATAATTGAATCGGCACCGCCGACGGAATTGTTAGTGACCCGTCTCAACGGTGTCGTGTGGCCCTGCCGAGCTTGAGCGTAGAAATTCTCTTCGGCACGTTGAGGGTGGTGGTGCTGCTGTTGTTGTTGCTGCTGTTGCTGCATCAGGCGCATCATCCCGGCGACGGGACGATACCGTATTGCTACACAACACAAATAGAAAAAGTGTGGCTGGGGGGTAGGTCAGATAGCAAAGACATGTTCGTGTATCGCTAGGGCACAGGGAACACGCGGAAATGTGAAAAGGGCTTACTTTGTGCTTGTGAGCTGGAGGGGGCGGCGGGGCGGAAGTGGTTTTGTCGTTCACGGGCCGCCGCTTGGTCGACGACTAACGCCTGAAAAAGGGTATTTTCGCATAATTTTTAGATTAATTTTTTGAGAACTAAAATTTAAACGTTTGGAAATCAAAATGAGAAAAAAGAGAAAACGCTTTCCGGAATCTCAAATCAACTTCAAAAATCAAATTCATACCCGTACGGCGGACATTTGTGTATGCCCAGAGTAGTCACTCGGCCTTCTGGACGGCGCCGCCGTAAATGCACTCCTAAACGGAAAATTTTAGCCCCGAAACCTCGGACGTACGATTTCGTCTCTGGTTTCAGCGGTGAATCAGTCAGGCCGTGTTGTTGCAGAAGACCTGAAAATCCAAGTGAAATTGATCATAGAGAAATTTACTTTTATCATGCGTGGACGGCTCGATCCACCCGACGCCCTGACCGCCCTGTTGCACAATCCGACGTACCTAAATTTATTGAACATTTCGAGTTTTAGAGAAGCAAATGCATCTCAAAAAATTCAAAGGATTGAAAGCGGTTGATACCTCTTCGTTGGCGCTGCCCACCGATTCCCGGGATGCGTGTCGCATGCGCTTCTCGTCGGGCTCCTCGCACATCTATGAACCAATGTTTTTCAAGTTTTCAAAACTTACTATATCGACATTTTCACCGACGTTCCCCTTTGAGGTGCTCGGCGTCAAATCGTGGCCCAGACAATTTTTGACTGCCGCCAATGCCGATGCGGGTGGGCTGGGTGGGGAATCATTGGTCCTTGGGGTCGATGCACCTAAAATTTTGTGTCTTGCCAAAATCTGGGACACAAACCTGAGAGATTCCAATCGTGCGTTTTAATCCGAAGCGCTCCGCCGCCACCACCACCGCCAAGGAGTGACGACCCGGGGGCGGTCATTAATGTGTCTAAGAACAAGGTTGTTTCGTGAGAAATAGTCGCTTACGCTTGGTCAAATTTTTCAGCTCGTATGCCGAGAAGACGCCCGTCCCCCAGATGCCTTCTTCGTTTGACAATGGGTCATCTGAAAAAGAGGAGTACTGGCTGAAAAGCTAAAACTACCATCTGGCGCGTTGTCCGGGTCGCTGAGGACTATTGGGTTGCGTGTGTGGATGAAATTGGCCAGGAAAAGGTCGAGCTCGCGGACGGCGATCGAAATGTGGTACGGGTTGATGCACAACTGAAAAAAATACGTTTTTAGACGTTAAAGAGGATATTTTGAGCGTCACGTAGGTCCTGAAATCACGCGAAAATTCACACACCTGTGGATATAGACATTCACTACACTTTTCTAGACGTTCTCCATCAGTTGATTCCAACGGGATACCCTAAAAATGGTATTAGAAGCAAGATCAAAGGCAATTCCCACCTTGAAGAGGATGACCATCACCAAATCGAGCCGCCATACTTTGTCGGCTTGGCGCAGACAATCGATCCGCCGCATTTTACCTTTTTGATCGGGGTTCGAGCACACACAAACGGCGGCTCGTTGTCCGGTTACCTAGAAAGGATTCAAAATATTGGTTCAAAATTGGCTCAATTAAAACCAGAAGTTATACAATTCCTCCTTCAACTTACCGAATACACGAAATCTTCTCGATACACCGGCTGTATGTCTTTTCTTAGTTTTCCGATCAAACGACCGGCCCACTTTTGCTTGACCTCTTGCCGTTCATTCTAAAAAAATAATAGTTTCACATAGAAAAAAAAGATGCTACCATTAATTCCTCCTTGACGACCTTCTCTTCTTCCATCGTCATACGTTTGTCGTGCTTTTTGAAGTATTTTCGTTTTGCGGCTTGCAGGTTGAACCAGACGTAGGCGAAATCCTTGACGTAGGGTAGGAGGGCCTCCACGAACGGGTGGAATTCATCCTGAAAAGGGGTATTGAGAGAAATATTGGTCTAGTAAGAAGATACAATAAAACAATCCGAAACTCCGTACCGCGTTGGGCGAAAACTGCGAATGTTGCCAATCCGTGGGTGGCGGTGGCATCATGGAGCCGGCGGAGGATAGCGGCGTGGCCATCCCCGCGCCGCCACCGACGTCCACCTGGAAAAATGATATCGTTTCAGAGGACAGAACTATAATAGTAAAATCCGTCCATGAAAATCACAAACCTCTAGGGTATCCACTGTTATCGCGTGATCTGGGCGATGGTCGCGATGGGTACCCTGAAATTTTATTTTAATCAAAGTCGTAAAAAAAACTAGTAGATCATTTAAGTCAGAATTACACGTAGCAGCTGAGTATCACATTTTTCAATCAATCGGGTGGCAGAGAAAGGAAAAATTGGAAAGCTATCAAAATTGAGGAGTAGAGGAATGTCTTCACGAAAAGAACAGTTTAAAAACAACAAAATAACCTAGGGGCGCTAGAGGTCTAGATAAAAGCCTTAGATCTCCAACTGTTGAGACTGTGCACGACATCCTCATCTGCTTCGTCGTCACTCTCCTCTTCGGCTGGCGCATTTCCAGAGGCGCGAGCTTTCGTCTCCTCCAAATGCAACTCAAGTCGATGCGCCTGCTCCCACATTTCCATCTGCTCATCGGCCAATTCAATGTCTCGCTCCCGGAACTCCCGCTGCTCCTCCTCCTCCATCTTATTTTGCACGTCCAAATCCTGTGCATTGATCTCCTTCATCAGTCTATCATATTCGGCATCGTGTTTCTCCTTTTTGCGCAGCGCCTCCTCGGTCATTTGATCGCGCTTATCGTCGAAGAAGCCTTGCGGAATATGCTCAATCACGCCGAGCTTTTGCTTCAACGGCTGCGCCTCCTTATTCTCTTTTTCTCGGCCGCGCTGCCACGGGGTTGACGTTGAGGCCCCGGAGGTTGCGCTGAAAAAGTCTGAGGGCAAACCGCCGTTCATCTGCGACTCCTCATCATCATCATTTCTAGCCCGCTTGGCAACCGGCTCTTCCTCGACAGCGGGTTGCGCTTTTCTAGCCGCCATTTGCTTCTTCAACTTGTCGACATTATCGCGGTGCTTCTTTCCGTTGACATGGGCGGTCCAGGCTTTCGGCTTGACTTGTAGCGCGCACACCATGCAATTCACCTGGCCATTGTTGAGCAGTTTGGCGATGGCCGGGTTGAGATTGAGGCCAGACATCCGGCCGGAAGTGGTGGAAATTGGGCAGTGTTTTCGGGATTCGTTTGGTGGCGGGCTGGGGTGAGGGGGCGCCGAGTGGGGGGCAGGTCAGCAATGAGATGCGTACTATTGCGTAGTCGATCAATAATTATGGGCCAATTTTCGCCCAAAATCAATAGCGGGAAAATGAAGAAAGCTGAGAAATGTGAAACGGGGGGCCCGTGGGAAAGAGAGGGGGGATTTTTGGCAAATTGTCCAAGGCTCTTTAGAAGAAGCAAACCTGCGCATCAAACGTTTGAAGGGGCGCCGGAGGGTGTGGATGGGAGGGTTGCGGTCCTTGGCGGAGCCCGTCCTGCTCGTCTAGCCATTGCTGCACGGCGCCGATGAAGCCGTGGTTGTTCATCTGAACGTTACAAGTATTATACTGTCGAATTTATTACAAGGAAAAGAGAACGAGCTATACCTCCTAGGAGAAAACTTGTTTGGTTCTAGCGTTTGAGCAACTTTTTAGAGTTCAAGCATCTATAAAAAGCCTAGTAAGAGTATTTTTTGCGGCTTTCTTAGTTAAAGCAACTTTTATGAGGCTTATATATTTTTAATAAGATGTTCTGATTTAAAACGAACATAATAACAACGATAGTAAGCTGCCGCTCATCGCTATTTTGTGTATCAGATGTTCTAATGTGTTTAACAACAAAGTATAAAGCTTATTCCTTGTATTTCTAGCAAGAAAATAAATCTTTAAAGGCTTTTAAACTGAAAAAGTCAAAACGAAAAATGTTCCTATGGCGTGCATTGTAGTATATTGTAGATTGTAGTTTCAATAATCAAGAAATTTTTTATTCGATAAATAAAATCAATAATTCGTCGTAAAACCATTAGATAGAAGATTCCAGGCGTGGTGACGGTGCGCTGCGCACCGACGAAGTACCACTGTGTTCCGATCCCGGCGAAGTCGGTTGGCCCGTAATATGGGCATTCGAAGCTTGGCGAAGCACACGCGTCGGCTTGTCGGCGTCCTTGTTGTAGACGACCGTGAATTTTGGCTCTTCTTCCTGAAAGTTTTGTTTGTTTGACAAGTGTTCGGCCGTTGTTCTGCGCCAAGAATAGTTTTCAAATGGAAATTATTCGCAACCTACCTCATCCAAAAGCTGGCGCATCGGGTCAAACTCCCTGAACTTCATCGCCTGCCGGACAGCTTCATTTTGATGAACGACGAAGCAATGTTTGGCCAAAATCCAGAGCAACAGCTTGGTTGCGAACATCAACATGAACATGACGAGAAGAAAACCACTAAGGTTTAGTGCTAAAATACATTTTTTGCAGTAAGTAGTACGGTAAAGTAACATAGTTAATTCTATTAAACTATTTGTATAACTTACCCCGCTTCGTTTCCGGATCCGTTTGAGACTTGTCATGATAGCGGGCATCTCGAACGTCAGTGACTTGGGGTTCACGGCTCGATTGTGGACCGCCTAGCCTTTAGAATTCGATTAATTAGGTTTCGTAAATTACTTGCCATTCTAACGGCCATAGATGGCCCTCAATTCCGGAAGTATAACAGGCATACAGCCAGACCAGGGTCCACGATATCGATACTGTCTAAATCCTAGGTTAAAAACCGTCTTTCTTTCAGCTTATGAATATTACTAATTTCTTTAATTCCAGGGTTTAATAGTACAGGGTGTCCCAAAAAAAAAGACCCCCCCAAAAATTTGAGCCAGAGGGCACCTGCGGAGCTGAAAATTTGCACAGAGGTAGCGAAGCCAATTTCCCATGTATATGGAAAGTTTGAGCCCAATCGGGCGACGGGTTTTAACGTTATAGCGAAAATACTTTTCATTTTCAATTTAATATGGGGATTTTTGTAATTTGCATCAAAAATATGCGTTATTCTTGAATTTACGAGCCTATTTTGCATAAATTATGCCAAAAAATGCCATTCTCTCTCTGGAGCATGGCGCGAACGATTGCGTATGAAGAGTAATAAGAATGTGAAAACAACTGTTTTATCGATCCAAACCACGCCTTATTGTGCATTTTGGCAATCTGCTTCGCGCTAGCCTCGAAACAGAGTTCGATGAGCTTCTAAGTGGTGCTTAAGTTTAGATTCGGGCTTGGGTTTAAGTCAGTCCAAAGTCTAAGCGAAGTTCAGGCGCTGAGCGATAGTTTCAACCAATGTATCTTGTGCTCAGCGGTCTTGCTGATCATTTTCACGCTGCATGAGCAATCGTTTTCCAAAAGCTCCAGCAAAAAATGGCATTTTTTGGCAAAATTTATGCAAAATCGGCTCGTAAATTCAAGAATAACGCATATTTTTGATGCAAATTGCAAAAAATCCCATATTAAATTAAAAATGAAAAGTATTTTCGCTATAACTTTATAACCCGTCGGCAGATATGGCTCAAACTTTCCATATACATGGGAAATTGGCTTCGCTACCTCTGTGCAAATTTTCAGCCCCGTAGGTGCCCTCTGGCTCAAATTTTTGGGGGGGTCTTTTTTTTTGGGACACCCTGTATTATTTCTTTATGTCTGGCTTAGAGATATTATTTTTTTGAAACAGTGTTATTTTTTAGTACCTCATAGCTGAGAATGGGCAAGAAATGAAGCGGCAACTTCCTTCTCAGCCCAACTGTTAGCAATATCAGCGATGTGGCGTTGAAAACCAAAAATACCGAATTCATCAGAAATGGTACTAAATCTTTTTCCTGTAATTTTTCGATAACTTACGCCATGTTAGAGCCGAAAATAGGTTTACCAACACAACACCCGCCAATAAGACGCAGAAAATTAGTTCTGTCACCAGTAGAATTTTTGAGGCCGTCTTAAAAAGTTTAAAATATAGACAACATTTATGTGTTGGTGCTTTGGCATTATCGGGGGGGTAGTTTATAGAGGAAGACTTAAAAAAACAAACAAAAAACCGATTTTTTAAGACATAAATTTACGATTTTGACTAAAATTCAAAAATTTCAAGTTTTTGGATAATTTTTCCACTGGAATATAGTTAAATTTTACTAAAAACACTGTTAAAATCCTTACTATTGCGCTATGAGGCATTTTCTAATTAGATATATAAAAATCCCCCCCCCGATGATGCCAAAGAACCAAGTTTAATGTCTTACCGCTGTGCGAAGTCCAAGAACTTTATCTTCTATCGCGGCATCCATTAAATGATTGAGAAATTGTGGTATATTTCTGCGTAATAAAGGGATGTATGCCCTGTAGGTAATAAGCTAAAATTGATTTTTCCAACACTAGAAGTGAGTAAGTGTTCAGCGCCGTGCCGAGCAGCTGATAAGGGCGCGGCGGCCGTGATTTCCGCCGTAAGCTAATATTGGCTTTACGGGTGGTAGTAAATTCGGTATACAACCTTTTCAAACCTGGGCTTGTCATGGGTATTTTCAAATTTATTACGTGCTTCTTGATTTTTTTTTGCGGTATATACGGGAATAGAAAACCGTATTTATGCCAAACAAACAAAAATTTTATAACTTCTTTAAATTCCACCCGTCTCATTCTTCTCTTCGGAAACATCGCTGATTTCCGGCACCTCCTCGACCTGCTCGGCTCGTTCTTCGGCTAGCCGGGCCTTGTCGACGAGTTCGATCGGCTGATGCTCAGTCGGCTCTCGGGGCTTTTTCATGAACTTGTTGAGCCGGTCCATAGTTCTTAAAAGTAGTCGTCGGAATAGTGTCGGAAGGCCAGAAAATTAATTACCTAGCTTCAAAAATCGAGGTTGGGACCTCGACAGCCATCGATATGACCAGGGCGGCCGTATAGGAGACGATGATCGCTTCAAAGGTATGCCGCATCTGGAATTATTGTAAGTTTAAATTTGCATTAATAAATAGTTATAAAACTATCTAGATAAAAAATATATATGCAAGAAATTTTCTAAATCGATAAATACAAAAACTAAGCAGAGGTTAGGTAACAATTGTGTGAAAACGTAAATTTCAAAGTAAATGTTGCGTAGCTTCATGACTTACCATCTGGAAAAACGTGGTAAGATGGAAGGGCTGAGGGCGGCTAAAATTGTAGATTTGTAGCAGAATCGGGTGAATCAGGTAGGCGCAGAAGGTGATCCGCGACAGCGGCGTGAAGAACTTCCATGCGAGGAAGCCGTTCACATACGCTGAAAATTTATAGGTAGTAATAATTTGGTTCTTTCTCCTTATCGGGGGGAGGCTCAACTTTTTATTGAATATCATTTTTCAAATACAAATATCGAAACCGTTGCAAATAATTTTTACTATTCTCAACACGAAAACTATACAGTTTCATTAATAAATGTCAAAAACATTTTTTCGAACGAAAACTTTATTTTTAAAGATTTTGATCCAAATTTCGGCTTTTTCAAAGCTTTAAAAAAGGTTTTATAGTGAAAAACGAATATTCGAAACAACGAATTTAGTGGGATATTTTTCTCCCACTTACGTGCGTTCCCCGTGGCGCATACAAATGACGCCCAGGCGATCGCTACAGCATATGCTGGCCGCCCGAACGCCGAATACATCACCGAGTACCACAATGAAATATCACCGGTACGCGAGAAGTTGTACAGTCCTAAACGTTGTGTTTTAAAAAATGATTCCAGTTAATACCAAAGACACTGTAGAGGCCGAGTATCGTCGAGATCGTCCAACCGAGGGCCAATTGCTTCTGAAAATATTTATGGCCATTAATTTTTAGTTTAATGTATATTAATTGGCTCTAAACAATAATAAGGAACCACCTTTGAGAGCTTATAGCGGAGTGACGCTTTATCCTTCGTCAACTGGATCAGCAGCCAGCCGACCAGAATTCCGAGGATGAACGGCTGACATCGGCAGTACGGTCTCACGTAGACGTCTTTCCAGTAGGAATCAAGCTTTTCGACACTTGAAATGGGGACGTTATTTACTTTTTTTTTTGGGTCTTACATTTGGAGCTTGGCGGTGAGAAGCGGGGCTGGAGGGTAGTCATGGATGAGCTGGAGGATAACCTATGAAAATTTGGTACTGGACTATTAGCGGGAGGTGAAGCTATCTAGCCCTCATCTCCGAACCTACGTTTAAAAGCGTTAAAAACGTATAAAAATGCTATATTTTTACCTGCCAGATGGAGGAGCCGGCCAACATCGCGCCAGCTACGAGGAAGCCGATTTTCGGGGCTCTGAAAATACGTGAAAACAGATTAATATAGCCTACATCGACAGCGGGATGAGAAGAAGCGGGCTGAAGACCTGCAGCTGGAAGTCGTTGGCCAAATACCAAGTCCAGCCCATGCACTGTAATTTTAAAGAAATAGCAGTCTTACAAGCGAATGCATTGGTAAGCTGAGGTAACAGGAAGTAAGCCGAGTTAAGCAAGCTTTGATCAAGTAAAAACCTACGCATTCCACATCCTGTAACAAGAAGTTGTTCATGTAGATCAGATTTGTCCACCACGCCTTCTGGCAGCCAGTCTTCTCGATCGGACGCCAGAATGGGCCTAAATTCGGGTGAATTCACTCGGGCGTTAAAAACCGTCGGTGAAGTAGGAGAACACGGTGACGTCGAGCAGCATGATGAAGACGTAGGTAGGAGTGATTCTAAAACGAGCTCAAAAAGTAAAAATAACCCTAGACTTTACCGTAAATAGCGTCGAACGTAGATCATAATCCACAACGCCGGCCTCTTCAGCGTGCCGAACATTTTGTCCTTGTACATCTTCTTGAACATCATGTAGCTGGAGAGGAGGCCACTGGAATTGATATATTTATCGTAAAAATAAAAATACAAATACAAACCTCAAATAAAAGAAAGAATCTACGGCAAGTGGGGCCTGGACGATGATTTGGGTATAGAACATTTGAGGGAAGCTGACGAGGGATGGGACCAGGTTATCTAAAATTTTCTGATGTGGTCGAAATGTAGGAAAATATACCCATCGTCAGGCTGGTGCCAATGTAGTAATAGGTGTGACCAAGGATGATCCAGGCCATTGAAAGGAACCTGAAATTTTAATGATGTCTTTATTATTACGGTTTTATTGCACTAGGCAGTTTTTTGTAATAAGGAATGTAATAAAAAGTATTAAAAAGTTAAAAAGCAAGAAAATTCACTAACCTCATACCATGCAAACAATCAATCTGATCCTTTTTATTCCCGTGATCCGTCCGCAACACTTGTTTCCCATTTGTATAGACAGAAAAGGCGATAACAGCCTTTAGAAATGGGTCTAAAATTAATTATTTGATGTTGTTATCCTCGAAATTGCTTTATCTTCATCTTATTTTTTCAAAATGGCTTTTTGCTTTATTGCTTAGGCTTGTTAGTTGCTGTAGTAAAATGTTAACCATCGTGTGAGAAAAAAATTCGGATCTGTCGGCTTGCTGCTGAAAACTCACGAATTCTCTCCCTTGCCACCTTCCTCTCCTTGTCGCTCAAATTCCGCAGCTCCTTCTCCAGCACCAAGTAATCGTACGCCGTCCCGAAGACCAACATCACCGTGATGAAGCCGAGCAGATATCTGACCCAGGAATAAAAATTATTAACCTAACCAGCGCCCAAAACCCGCTTCGCGGGCCTTGGGCGCTGGAATGCGGCCTTTGCATGAGAAATTTTACTTTCTGATGGTTTGGGTCCTTCGGACCCCACCCTTCCTCCGACCACACCCGCGCGTGCAACTTTCAAGAATGAGGAAATTTGTATTTGTTGGAATTATGCAAAGTAGCCCTCCCTGGCGCCGGACACACACACACACAAAGATACGCGACCGAATTATATAAGGTAGGACTACCTGGCAAAATGAGACAACCGGCTGTCGTAGAGCTCGCGTTCACGTTGCCCGCTACGACACTCGACGTGGACGTCGCACACCAAATCACGGCCCACGGCCGCTTCTGCCATCCCGTAGCCTGTAATGGGGGCTTCTTTTAAGATCAAAAAGCGGAAGTTTTTCACGGTTTCGAGGACCTACCAAATTTCACCATCTTCCTGACATCATACTCCGTGCACGTTGACGGGACGCAAAGCCCGAAATTGAGCAGCGAGAGCAAGTCGAAGCACTTTGAAGCCTCGGGCCCTTCAGTCGTCTTTGGCTTGTCGTTGCCGCCACTAAAATAAAAACTGTGTTATATTGTATTTTTTATTATTACCCTAAACGTAAAAAACTTTGCAAATGATACACAATGGCCATTTTTCGACCAAAAACGACAAATTTTCGACAAAAACACTGCGTCAACGTACTAGCAATGAGCGTCCGGCGCCTCAGCCACTGCCACTGCCCATTTCAACGGGTTGTCCCGGTTGTACGCGTTCAGGTGGGCCAAACAGTACTGCCCAGACCACTTTTGCCTAAACAAAATCTCGATCGAGTAGTTTTCCTTACCCTTGATGATTTTTAACGACTTGCACCTTACGGCACGTCGGGTAGGAGCCGACCCACAGGTTGTTGCCGTTCAACACCCCGGCCGGCATTTTGCCCATAGAATCGAGAACTGAAAAATTTTCAATACCTTATTTTGCTGCTTTACAAACCATTAAAAATCCAGCTACGCTCGTTTTTCTTCTGCTGAAATAGCGGGGTGCATTTACAATCCGTGCAGTTCCTAAAAATTATTTTTCTATCGAAAGAGAGCTATACTTGTGCGCCTTGACGTGTGTAGCGTACTCGACAGCCGTCCAACCAAAGTGAAACATATCCGCTAGGCATCCTAGAAAAATTTAAACTGTAAAAAATTTGCCAAAACCTGCGGAAACGTCGTATTCCCTCAATTTTTCGACCATTTCAATGGCATAGCTGAGCATCTCGACGTCACCATCAGCTATTGCATCTCGATAAGCATCCGAATAGTCGAAAAAGTGCTTTAAAATGTTGAGAGTAAAACTGGGCTTTTACAAACCCGAAAGATGTCCAGATCGAGCACTAATTGGGTTTGCGAGTCTGGCATAAACTTGGTGAACACCGAGCCCATCTCGTCTTTTTCATCCGCATCGTATTCATCCTGTAAGATAATCTGAATAAACGTTATGTTTCTACAGAAACTGCCCTTTGTCCCCAGACCCTTCTAAACTGAACTTTTGACAGCTAGATAAGCCTAGTCGCCCTCCGCAGACACCCAGCTGTCAATCAGTGCAAGGGCCGCTAATAGCGATGGAAATTTCTAGCTTTACAAGTGCTACATAATTATAAAATTTCTATACTCTGTAAGGCAAAATCCTACATTTTTGAGCTAATTTTGGCAATTCCTGGCAGCAATTCGGCCGTTTTATCGCGAAAAACTTTATGGCTGCCCCGAAAAGGGAGTATTATCAAAACATTGAGTCAGGACCAGAAAGAGGGCCGAGATGAAAATTCAGCACAGGAGTCAGTTTTTATAGGAGTTTTGATTGAAACAGCTATCCTTTAAATTCTTACAAGATTTTGCAAGCCAAGTGGAAGAAAATTTAGGTTTCCCATCGGTGTGATTTTGATTCACTCAAAATTAGAAATAAACCGACCTCATCAGAAAACAGCGTATCGACGTCAACCTTCGCGCATTCGCTGTAAGAAAATAAATAGAGGAGCAGCACCACGAGGAGGAGCCTCATTTTCGACGAGGAGCAGCCGAGGCTGGTCACAGCGGAAGGCGACTTCTTCCGATGCCCTTATCAATCGGGCACTCCGGGGCAGAGACGACAAGCCGCAGCACCTACACACACCCATCTAAATCAAGGCGAAAGAAAATTATCCTGGAAAGGCTTGCGAACGGTTGGTAGAGGCGAAAAATATAAAAGGGAAGGATCCAGAGAAAAAATTCTGGAATCTAGTAACGTGCAAAACGTCCGAAATTAGCGGTGCTGTGTCATGGAAACCTATAGTTTAACCACTTAAAATGTAGGAAATGATACCACAAAATCAAAAATGAAAACGAAATCGTCGAATTTGACTCTAATAAAAAGATATTTCCGAAAGAAAACTACGCTACTGCACCGTAGGCCGATTCCGGAGCACTCCTCTGTTCGTTCATTGTGTTTGTTGTTCGTGATCGTTCCTCTCTGCTTTTTCTGGGGTTTTTTTTCTTCGCACTTTGAAGTTCGGTTTCTTTTCACAAATCCAGTTTTAGTCGAAGTTGTCCTAGCGCTTTGAAGTAATATCACCTGCTATCCGCTTCTCCTGTCCGAAATCGAGGAAAGATGAAGCCTTTCACCTGCCTTCCCACCCCATTTTTAGTACTGCAATGCAGCCCATTGTTGCGTTGGTATTTTTCGATCTTAAAATCCCATTGATGACTTTGTGTCACCGGGCTCTACTCGATCTGATCCGCCCCTAAATCCCGTGCCCTGAGGATTATCCAGCCGTAGAAGTAGGCTGGTCTTTCCCGCAAAGTGCTTCCTCTCCAATTAATTGTTGCGCTTCTGCTATGCAGCCGCAATCAATAGCGCTATTTCGTGAATTTATGAAAACTTCCCTTGCCCGTAGCAAGGGCGCATTTCTGTAACTTAACTAAAGGTAAAATCTTGTTTTTCATCAGAAGGGTTTTCGAAATTTGAAGATTCCCATTTTAACCGGAAAGATGCCATCTCTCATCTATCTCTATTCTAGATGATATCTCTGGTTTGACAAACAAAAAGTTTTACGATTTTCGAAATAAAGCCCGCCGTAGCGAGAGCTTATGCCTCTCATTTTGCGAATGGTGAAAGCTTATTGTTCAACCTACTCGTGTGCGTGGTATTTACGTAGTTTTGAAAATAGGGTGCTGTTCTATTTCGCGGGGGGAACTGTGCGGGGGGGGAAATGTTCTTCGGTTTGTTATAACTCTTTTGGATTTTGCTATTTTGAGTTGTAATTAAAACTCTTAGCATATTTTTTGACACTCTATCGAATGGCATTAAAGGAATTTTTGAAAAATATCGAAAATGTCGAAAACTAGCTTTCGACTCCACGATCCCATGTGGAAACACCGTATAAAACTTGTTTTTGCTATAACTATTTTATAAAACAATATTTTTAGATGAAATTAAAACTCTTAGTATATTTTTTGATGCTCTATCGAATGACGGGTTCAAAATATCGAAAAACGGGCGAAAACGCCGAAAACTAACATTTCGGCACCAGTTACAATAGTATTTTTTTGTTTTTGCTATAACCTTTTATATTACAATATTTTTAGCTAAAACAAAAACTCTTAGTATATTTTTTGATGCTCTATCGAATGGCGCTGCAAAAATCCCGAGAAAATAGCGAAAAGATAGTAGTTTTGGCGAAGCATATTTCCCCCCCCCCCCGCGAAATAGAACAGAACCGAAAATAGATATTTTGACCCGATAGGATGTCTTCCGCTTTTTCATGGCTTTTTTATCAACTTTTAGGTATCCCGCGATGTGATGCGGGGGTTACGCGCACCTATGCGTCATGTTTCTAACAGATTTGTAGCCCAGGCTCAAATTAATCCGCCGCCCCCTCTCCCCGATTTAGGCTTTTCTCTTGTTGCCTCGCCTTCGGCCATTCTCGCCCTCGCTCAAGCGCTTCGATTTTGGAATAAACCGTTTCTCCAGTCAAGCACTTTTGAAAAGGGCACCCGCTTCTCACCTCCCTCTGCCCCTCCATCGACATCTCGGTCTATTTTCAATGCGCTTTTCCGGCTTATTACTTATTTCCGTGCTCGTAATTGGGGCCATTCCCGACGGCGCCCTGAGGCTCATCCCACATTCTGGCACATTCTAGGTCTACTCAACCCTACAAAGCATGCTTGCTTGAGCTTGGAAACCAGGCTGTTGGTGGGTTTTTAAAGGCTTGCGCTTAATAAATTGATTTTAGATCTCCCCAGGGATTTATTTGCCCTAAAAAAGTGCCTCAAAAAATCTATTTGGAAATCTGGAAGGAGTGATTAGTTGTCAAGGTGCGTTTTCCTATTACGTTTTGGAAAATATTGTTTTTAGGATGACCGGCAAGAATCAATTGCTTGGCGTGCGACGCGGCTATTCGGCGACCGCAGATCGTGACGAATGGGTCCACTCGGACGGTGATGATGTTGCACTACCGGCTGCGCGCAAGCGCTCCCGGACGATTACCAGTGAATACGGAAAACGCTTCTGCGAGGTAAGATTTCTCTATTATTGATGCTTACAAATTTAGTATGGCGATACCCCGAATTCGTTGGATGGATTTTTCAACCTGTCACGTTCATCGCATCAATTAACCACACCGACTAACCAGTCTCTGTCGCATTCATGCACTGACATCCCGGAAATACTGACCACCCCAGTTGAAATAATTGTAAGTTTTTTCTGAGCTAATTATTCCTTTTTTAGGTTCCTACCTCTCCGGGGAAGCGCCCAGGCCCGCACAATGGAACTCCCATGACCGAGGTGATTTTTAGACATTGTCTTGTATACGTGATTTCTAGACACCAAAGATCTGGAAGAACGCAATCGATGCGCGCAGGGTAAGCTTTCTTTGTCTATTGCCTCCTAACTGATAATTTAGCGTCGCGTCAATGAAGTATCACGTCGAAATAGGGCCCCCAGCACTTCACTCGATGCCTCACCTAAGCGTCGGACGGTAATTTTTGTGCTAAACATTATCAGCATGTTTTTTCAGGGGTTGGCCATGCGGCTCATCTCACCCAGCTTGGGAAGCCCAGGAAAGGGGGAGGCTAAGGTTTGTACCTTTTTTTTTTCCTCGAACACCTAATTTTTGTAGATGTTCTGTGAGAAAGGAAGGCACCATGTCTCCTTTGCCGTGAGCAGCGCCAGCGAATCCTCAGAGTCGAATTCCTCCGGCAACGACTGTGTCATGCTGACCCCAAAGCCTTCGCATTCAGACATGGAACTGGTCGTCCCACAACGCAGAAGCTCTGTAGTTACGACAATTTTTCCTTTAGTGTTTTTAGCGTTTGGCTCTCACGAAGCGTGCTGACAGTACAAACGGACCAGATGTGGTACTAGATATCTCGCCACCGTCACCCGGGATGCAGCGTCGGTATTAAGCATTTTTTTTTTTGTTAGATCGTTATAATTACAGAAGGAATTCTTCATTTCCACCAGTGGCCCTGATGCGCCGACGGAATGCCATGCTAGCACTCACCGAAGCCTTCCTCGACGACGATGTGAGCACGGATGAAAGTTGTGACGCTTTTTTAGGAAGAGTACGTCCCCTCCGAAGAAGAAAGCACTCTTGACGACGACGATGCTTCTTCTGACTCTTCAGAGAGTGTCAAGGAAGAGCTGTCAATCGAAGCCTACCGTCTCCCCTCACTCAAGTATGAGTGGGGGATCAGTGACAGAGACGATGATACCAATGACACTGAAGATGACTCGTCCAGTGATGAAGACGACGACGGGGAAGACTCTCTGGATTCGCCCTGCGAGAGTCCGAGAAATGTAGGTTTCCTTATCTTGTTTTATATTTTGTGATGCATCTTTTAAAAATCTTTTTTTTAGTACTGCGAGTGTGCGCTGAGTGCGGGTGTTTCGACTTCTTTCACGCTGCTGGCCATCAACTAGGCGACTGATCTCTTTGTTACAAATATCTGTTATCATCACCGTTGACTCTTCCGTTTAATCTCAAAGCCATGCTTGCCGTTTGTTGTTTATCGCGCTGGGATTCAGGTTTCCCCCCTAACTTTATATGTTGTTGGAAAATTATCTAATAAATCTTTTCCGAAAAAAATTGCCACAGTAAACTGCTGGATACAGAATTTCCAGAATCACTTATCGCCGCGTCATAAAGCCGGTTTTTAGGCGATTTCCATAATGTGGCACACCTTTGCGTAAATTCCATGGGGCATTGGATCTTTGGCGGGAGGCGGAAAGGCGCTCTCGGTAATAGAGACGCAGAGCACCACCCCGTGCCGGCCATTCAAAAAGGCGACGTATATTCTTTTATGCTCTGCTTTTTTCGTAAAATCGCGTTCTATAAATCATACAAACAGCCGTTTTCAGAAGTTCAATTATGGCCCAAGGAAAGACGAAACAGAAAACGACTCTCCCGAAGGGCGTGAAGCAGAAGGTCAAGAAGACCAAGGCTACTGGCCCAAAGCGTGGCCACAAGCTCTACATTGCACCGAAGACGGCACGCATCCAGGCACAAGACAAAATCCAATCCGACGTCTCCAAGGTCATCAACGACAAAAACGAGGAGCTGGTCAAGAATAAGGCCAACCAAGCCCAGGGTCGCGCCGGCCCCAGCTCCAAGCGCTAATTTTTGCTCATTCGTTGTGTTTCTTTCATCCTCTTTATTTTGACTTTGTTGAGTTTGGAAACAATAATAAATCTTACAGGTATGGAAGAGGACAACGAGGTCGGACTGCCGCAAAAAGGGCTCAACATGATAATCAAGGTATGTTCCTGTTTATTCCTTTTTAATTTGTTTAGGAAGTCGTTCCGGAGATGCGGATCGCAAATGAAGCTCGGGAGATGATCAACCAATGCTGCGTGGAATTTGTGAAGCATGTTTCTCGGGAAGCGCAGAATATATCGTCTCACGACCAGCGGAAGACGATCTACCACGAGCACGTACAGCGGGCCCTATATAACCTTGGATTCCCGCCGGACTATGTCGAGGTTTGCGTATAAACCATACACTAATTTTGTTCAGGCGGCTGATAGCGTGCTCGGCGAATGCAAAGTCGCCGCTGAAAAGAAGTTACGGCGGAAGAATTCCCGTCTGGACAAATGTGGCATCCCGGAGGAGGAGCTTTATATGATGCAACAGAAGCTGATCGAGCAAGCTCGTCTTCAACAAGAACGGCAGGCAGCAATGCAAGCGGGTAGTTCAGCAGAGGTGTGTTAATTGGCGAAATTTATCATGGTCTTCAGGTCCCCCAACCGCAGCTCTTCAACCAGCCTGCCCCCACGGATTTAGACGATGAATATGATGTCTAACAATTGCACATTCTTTCTTTTTAACTGTGATCACTGATGATCTCGTTGCTAGTCTTTTTCTTTCCATTTTTTGTTTTCCATTTGATTGTTCTAAACTTCATATCTTTATTTTGCTTTGATGCGTAATACAAAATTAAATTTCAGATGTTCATCAAACGCGTCGAAATTGATGGATTTAAATCTTACGCTCGACGGGTCGACATTGTGGACTGGGACCCTTACTTCAATGCGATCACGGTATTCCGGACTTGGCCTTCTTTCTTAATTTTTCTATAGGGTCTCAACGGCACCGGCAAATCCAACATCCTCGATTCGATCTGTTTCGTGTTGGGAATCCAGAATTTAGGCTCGATTCGAGCCGCTCAGATGATTGATCTGGTGTACAAGCAGGTAACGGATTCTTACATTTATTTCACGACGTTCCTAGGGCCAAGCCGGAATCAACAAAGCCAGCGTCGCGATCACGTTTGATAACTCTGACAAGGCTCACAGTCCGGTCGGCTACCAGAATTGCGACGAAATCGTGGTCCGACGGCAGATCATTGCCAGCAACAACCGCAATACGTTTACGATCAACGGAACGGCAATGCCGCAGACAAAGGTGCGGCAACGAGTATAAATTCATTTGGTTCGTCTAGGTAGCTGATTTCTTCCGTGCCATTGGCCTCAACGTCAACAACCCGCATTTTTTGATCATGCAGGGCCGAGTGACGCTGGTCATGAAAATGAAGCCACCGGAGGTTGGTGTACATTATTTCGATCTAAGAATTTTTATTTAGATCTTGGGAATGTTGGAAGAGGCAGCCGGCACCAAACTCTATGATCAGAAGCGAGATGCGTGTCTCCTTACCATGCGGAAAAAGGAGGGCCGAATCGGAGAGATTGAGCAGGTAATTTTTTCTGTTTTTATCTCATTCTGTTTTTTTTTAGTTATTGAATGACGACATCCTCCCAACCGTCCAAAAATTGAAGGATGATCGCACAAATTATCTAAGCTGGCAAAAGTTTGTTCTGTTTCTCGGTTTCAAAAAGCTCTCAGGATCGGGCGGGAGATCGAACTGGCTGAACGGCGGCTTCAAGGATTTATCTTTTACCAAAGCAAGATCGATGAACAAAAATACAAGAACAAGGGTGAAGCTGTCCTGAAAAGCATTGAGGCTTCGGATGAAAAGGTATTTTCGGCTTACCATAAATAATTTTGATTTGTTTAGACGGCTGAGTTGGTGCGCCGAGAGGCTGAGTTGGAGCGGCAAAGGCAAGAACTAGAAGAGGAAAAATTGCAGGTATATTATTTTTCAGGTTTTGAAAAAAATATGGTTTAGTCTGAAAAAAATGGCACCGGGGAATTGGAAGGCGAGCATAAAGCGGCCAGCGATGCTGTGGTAAGCCATTTTTATGCTGACGAAATAATCTTTTTTAGGCCAAAGTGGAAAGTGATATCGATGCCCTGAAGGCTCGGCTGAACCAGACTAAGAAGAACATGGACCGCGAGGAGAAATCGATGAAAACGGTTTTTGGCTCTTAATTTTTGGTTATGAATTCGATTCTAGGATGTGAAAGAGCTCGACGTCCTCAAGCAGCAGTTGGCCGAGATGGAGAAGGACAAGGGCGACGAGGAGAAGCAGGACAACGAGGCCAAGGAGCGCTTCGACAAGGCGCGAAACCGTCTCGCGGCCATCAAAGAGGGAAAGACCACCGATGAAGCCGGAAATGCGATCACTGTTGAGGCGCAGATCAACGGTTCGTTTGTACGCCGCGTCGGGTCTATCTTTAATTTTAGGCTGGGCCTCGGAGCTGAAGGAGTTGCAGCATAAGTTATCTAATGATGATGTTCGGTTGGTTTTTGCATAACCCTGTATTGTAATTTATTCAACCCTGATTTATAGACGCGGACAGCTCACCAATGGCCTGGAAGAAAAACGTCGACGACTCCAAAAAATGGGCAGGCAGTCGACGGATTATCAGGGTGAAATTCTGAGGCTCAACGAGGAAAAGCAGGAGTTGAAGGTGCGGATAGAAGGGCCTTGCATACGAAGCCTTTTTTAGGAGCAGATGAAGGAGTTCGGCTACGATCCTGACCTACTGGCCCAGAAGGAAGAGGAGCTTCACTCAACGCAGGTCGATCTCCGCCGACACGAGGAGCGAGAGCCGACGGGAGCGCACGGTTCCAGCCTCGCTTTTCAATACTACCGCCAGGGCCTGCCCGCGAATTTCCCCCATGAAAAGGTTTTATTACGCACACTTGAAAACATCATGCTTTTTTAAGATTCTTGGTCGCGTCGCAGAAAATTTCGAGGTCGTCGATGATCGTTTTTACACTGCGTTGGACACCGGTGGTGGTGGTGCGGTGGGTTTTGGAGGCTTTTTCTTCTATTCGAAGGAGATTTGAACCCTGGCTCTGTGAGTAACGCTGCTGCTCGTTTGTCTCCATTGTTCTCTTTGGCTGCCCTTTGGTCCCCTATTTCCTCTTCTTTTCAAAACTTTATCCGAAAACACGAGGGTAGGAAACGAAAGTTATCGATTTTAGGGGGGGCGAGAAACTACTAATTACATACAACACATTCGGGGGCTCGGCTTAATGTTTGACAATAGCGCTGGATGGGGGAAAAGAAATTCGATAGGAACCGCTATGAAGCTATGCAGCTTCGAGCTGTTTAATAGCAATGGGGTCTTTTGATAGGACGAAAACCACCAAGGAGATCTGATCAGGATCAACTCTGATGTTTGGAATGAGAGGGGTTTTGAGATACAAGCTCAAACGGCTGTTGAAATGTTCGTCTCCGGCTGACTTCGGTTAGTGTGATTGGCCGGTGATGGGGCACGTGTTGTGTCTCCTGGCATCCGGGGTTCTCGGTAGAAGACATATTCGGTGTAGTGGGCCCATCTTTGCTCCTCGTAATCCCCACTGTTTCGCAAAGTCATCAAGTCCTAGAATTAGCGCTTATAATGAGTTTTCCTCTTTGGCCTGGCTCGTTCGATAGAACTAGAAATTCTGGTTAGGTCCGGGCTTTAAAAAAACTGCTGTACGAGTACGATATTGCCTTTTTTGAGGTGCAGTTTTCTGACCGCGCGAAAAAAGGTAAATTTCGCGGCTTATTCTCGAATGCTGTCATTGTTCAGCAGTTTTTTTTAATATGGGGCTTGCCCAGAATTCCAAATTCTATCGAAAACCAAAAACGACTCCTTGCCTAACTAGAATCTCGGAGACCCACTTCTCACTAAATTTGTAAACATACAGCTTGGGTTGTAGAGCCAGACTGGCTTGTTGGTGGATTTAGCGCTGCCAAACCATTGGCTCCACTGCAGCAAGTGGCCACCAGTTTGAAACCTTTTTCGGCCATCGCATCGCATGCCTAAAATACGCCAATTCGAGATGCTCGGCGTATGCTCATTGAAAAACCGTCTTTAACAAAAAGCATTTTCAAGAATCAGGATTTCGAAAAATCGGCTCTGATATTCCTCATCCCATCTGCCCGTTTCCGTTGGTAGTTGAAATCATGATTTTTCAAAGGTTTTAAAAAAATTGTCGAGGAAATCGTCTTACCCTCTCCAGACATTGGTGCTTCAAATAGAGCCTGGACGTGTAGCGCTCACTGCCATCCCGATCCCCGGGATCACGACTTTCATTTAGTGTATCGGCGAACACTTCTCGGCACAGGGCCACCTTTCCGCAAACCAGGATACGGTGTAATTTTCTGAAACCGCTTGCTTCTGGGCCTTCGATCCAATTTTTTACCTGAATTTCACATCGGCTTGCCCGTCTCGGCCGAAAGCAAACGTTCCTCGATATCCCAGTGTTATATAACCGCCTTAAACAAGGTTTTTCAAAAGTAAATTTAATCTGTGCTATCTTTATTAGTTTTTTTAGGTGAAAGATTATTTTTTGCACTGACCTGTCTCCGCTAATCCGGCTACATTGCCATTAGCAAGGTTTGTAACTTTTAACGATGTCCTTGGCGATAGATTCGAGTCCACCTCGTCTTGTAGGCCTTTTAAATTGAAATAATGAGCCTCGTCCATCAACCGGCCCGCATCCTAGAATTTCACGATTTTTCCACCCGGAAATCCAACCCACTTTAAAATCTTCTGGTAGGATAAGTTTCCCGGAGCGCATGTACTGTAGGATGTAGGTGAACATTTGGCCATCACGGTCAATAAATATCGACCCGTCTTCGAGGTGTACGATGGATGGGGTCTGAGAAAAGGAATCTTTCTTACCTAAAATTGGGGGCCTACCTCCTCATCGGAGTCGAGCACTCGCGAGAATATGGATGACGGGTCGCGTAGCAGGGTAGTGCGCGTTGTGCAAAAAAGGGTCCCACCGACATTCAGGCGGACGACATCATCCATTTGTCTGGAAAAGAATATATTAGTCTACTGGGCAGTATGGTGCTGGACTGTTAGCGGGGGGGGGGGGGGGAGAGCTAGCCTATCCATGCCCAGAAAAATTCTTCGGAAACCTAGAAGCTTTCTTGAAATTTCGGTCTAAACCTGGAATTTATATGACGTATTTTTAGTAGTGTGATTGCAAAAAGATATGAAAATTTTCAAGAAACTTTGGTTTTTTATAGAAAATCATAATTTCCTTAAATTCAAATTTTTGTATGAATTTCTGTACTTAAAAAGCTATCAAAAAGCTGTTTTTGTCTATTGCTCGTTGCCTACGGAGGCTATGGACGAAAATTTAGGTGTCCCCCCGCTAACAGTCCAGAACCACAAGTTTCCAGCAATCAATCGCAAAAATGAGTGGAAATTAGGCGCCTGATTTGGGCAGAGATGAAGATTACCTAACCTCTAATTTCATGCAAGCTACTCATTTACTTTAGCGCGGTGCCCTTGCCGCGCATAATTTCCGAAACAATCCCTCGCTAATTGCCACCGTGGGGGCCGGAAAGGCGGAATAGGCAAAAGCCCCGTGCTGCGGTTGACGCGGGCGAAATTAGAGTTGTGCCGACCGAGAAAGCATTTCGCGCCACCGATTGAGGAAGCAGATTCAAGCAGTCGAGTTGCGCCTCGGGTTTTGCCGCGAATCCGTGCAAAGGGAGAAACAGCCGTGTGGCTGGCCCACGAGACGAGGATAATCGAGCATCGTGCGTCGCCCCTCAGAAGGGGGACGTTTTTGGCTTAGCGTGAAGAGGGGCGAGATGCCGCCATCCCTATTCTCTTTCCATTGCCCTTTTTTTTGGCCGGGCTGTGTGGGCTATACCCCCGGCGGCCTTTCTTTGGGTACCAGGAATGGGGGGAGGAGCAGCGAAAATGTTATAGCTGCCATTTGTAGGGAAACGATGGCTCGATATTGTGCTTTGTAACGAGCTAATTTTGAGGAAATGAGTCGTTTCGAAAAATTTGAAAGAGCACACGTTTTGAAAAGCTTCTCTCAGGATAAAAGACGTCTTCAGGTCGCGCTCACATAGCCAGGGTTTTTGAGTTTGAGAAGCTTTTGAAAGAAAAAAAATTCATTAATATCCATTTCAGATCCACCAAGTGATCGTCACCGAGCAGAATGTGGCCAAAATGCTGATCGACACCCGAGGCGCGCTCCCCAGCCGCACCCATTTTCTGCCCCTTGACCGTATCGAAGCCAGAACGTTGCCCGCGAAAACGGTCGCCGAGGCGAAGAAAATTGTAGGTTTGGCAGGCGGCTCAGGAGTTTTTGTACGAAGTTTAGCTCATTTTATAGAGCTTGTAATTCCGATTAAGCCCTATCTTTCAAAAAATTGTTATTAAATTGGCACTGAAAGGGTAAAATTAGCCCATTTTTCTCCCCGTTTAACAAAAATGGCAATTTGTGAATCTTTTCCTTGTAGCAGCGTTTGGAAGCGTTTAAAAGCCAGCACTTTTTAGAATTACAAGCCCTATCGAATGGGTTATGAAACATCGCAAAACGTCATTAGCTCCTAAAACAGCTCATCGTGAGACCCTTTAAATTTGCTTTTATCGAAATCTAGGGATTGCCCAGGGATTACTCTCGAGCTTTTCTCGGGAAGCGTTCTGCCCCGCGCCGGAAATGGCCCCTTTTTCTTTTGTAGAGTTATTGACTAAAGCGCGGTGGGCCATCGTAAAGAAATGGTGTGGTGGCTGGGGCTCCAGAATAGGGGGCCCTATTTTTTGGGGGGAGGCACCGGGTGGGGGCTATGGCATTTCCGCCACCACCAGGAAGGCTGCTGCGGCGCGAGGGCACGGCCCGAAAACAGCTAATGAGAACGACGAGGAAGAAGTGGCGATCGCTGGAAAACAGACGCCCATTGAGAGTTTGGACAATTGTCGGGAGCGCGGCTCAGAAAGAGGGAGGGATGCTGCGAATGTGCTTCTCAATTCCCGGGTGGCCAGTCGCCACCGCCGCCGAGGCCCCCGGGGTTCCCAGCCCCATGTAGAAGCCCACCGGGCCGTCGACCCGTTGTTTTTTGTGTCCGCACCCCCCTGCGGTTAAAACGCGCCGCCCCGGCTTTAAAAGTAAAGCGCATGGTTTCAGCGCACAAAACTAGCAAAAATCCCGGACTTTCGGGGTCTTTTAGAATTCTTCGGTTCATGCATTTTAGAGATCGGTCTGGATTGACGTTGCTAAATATATTCTGAGAGAAAGTCGCGCTGTAATCTTAGGTGGGAGGTCATTTGCACGGCGAAAGTTTTGCGGGCGTAGATTTCAGGGGGGAATTCGGCTGATTTTTCCTATAAATAATTTTCCTACTTTTTCTAAACCCTAACTGTTTCGGAAATTTTACCGGACCATCGAAGCGACAACAAATAGCAGAACAAGTTCAATGCCAAACATACATAAAAATTTACGAAAGCGGAAAACTTACGGAAAATTAACCTAATGCAGAATTTTAGCGTCTAGGCAAAAAGTAAAAATTTTTAGCGTCTTTTCCCTGCGAAAGCCATTAACTTTCTAAAGAAAAGCGCCCCAGAACTGTCTTCCGCGCCGTAATTGCGTTTGTAGGGGTGAGCGGGGGAACAAATGAACTCTTGCACTCGGCTACTTTTGACCCTATTAAAATACGCATTTATCAAGCGCCTTACAGAATCAAAATCCCCTCGAGGGCCCAGAGCTGTTTTTATGGCGCGATGGCCGGGGGATGCGGTCGCTGGGGACTGGTTGGGATGAGCGCTAGGCAGTCGGGAAACTGGTGATGTTGGCGGGAAGAATTATGTGGCAGCTTGGAAGAGAATGGCGAACAGATGAGGGGGAGACCCCCGCCTGGGCCTTAGCTCTGAACTGGAGGAGGGGGAGGGGGCGCGGAACGAATGGGGGCGGGAGAGTGGCCGGCTCTGGCTCTCCTCACTTCGGTTTTCCTTCTGGAGGGCCAGAGGAGTAAGGGCTTGGGGGGTACCCATGTGCCGATGTGGGCCGTCGGGACGGCAATGCACATCATCATCTCGTCGAGTGTTCTTATCCCACTTCACATCTGGGGAATTTGAGAACCCGCTTCCGGATGATGTTCGGGGTTTTGAGCATGAGCGCGACAAAGTCTCGAGGCTTGTCGTCGTCCGAGTTTTCTGGGAACGGCTTTTGGCTCTTAGAATATTCGGTTCCGATTCTGGCGCTGTGCAGCCCGACACGGGCCCTGCAGCATTTTCGGCCCGATGCTTGCAGCCCCAAAAACTTTTTTTAAGCATTATTAGAGCCCTTTTGGTATCTTTTTAAACGTATTTCTGACTAACAAGAAGGCTTTTTCACGCAATAATAAATTTTTATGTGGCCAGTCACCTTCAGAAAAACGTTCGCCATATTTAACACGTTTTTAAGCGGGAGTTTAACATTTTTTAATATTGGAAGCTGATATTAAAGCCCCTGAATTAAAAATCGATGCCGTAACCCCAGTTAGATTTGTTCCCGCGGCTTCCCCACTTCCAGAAAACAAATTGAAAATAGACCCTAGATCTGAGAATAAGGCTGGGAAAAGCGGCAATATTTTTGCGTGACAGCCCCAGGCGACTAGTTTGGCCAATTGAAGGCCGTAACTGCTGTGCCCCGCCGGGCGTTCTCATGATCTGGGAACAGGAACTTGAAAATACGCAATTTTTCCATCATTTCTAATTCCTCATTTTCAGGCGCAAAGCTACGGCGAGGAATGCTGGCTGGCCACCGAGCTGATCCGTCACGACAATTCGCCCGGGCTGGAGAAGGCCTTCCAGACGGTGTTCGGATCGGTAAGGGGAATTCGGACATTTTCTGTGCAAAAGCTCTCAATCACGAAAACTAATCTAGAAAATCAGCTATATAGCCTTTATCTACCCAACCGAAAAATGGGTCCTAGAATTCGATTTTTTCTGATATTTTTTGGTATTAAAATGTAGCCAAAATTAGTTCCAATACCTTAATTGGTCTGTTTTGATCGGGAAAGCAAAATACTTGGTTTTCTGTTGGAGCGCGCTATTTCGGAATTTTCGCGATAGTTTTTTAGATAGGAATTTTCCGAAAAAAGTTTTGGGATTTATGAATTGGAATTGAAGAAAACTGGGGATTTTATACAAGAAAATTTTATTCCGCTAACGCTTTCCACCCTTGAAATAATCAGCGAAAGGGCGCCTGGGTGAAAATTGTCGGCGGACGGACTACGTAGCGACAGCCAGGCGCACCCAAGGTTTTTTGCGCCATTTATGGGGCGGCTATGAGGGGCGGCCCCTTTCTCGATTCGCATTCGATTATGGGCCCCCGGGGCGTGCTGGGGCACACGGTTTGCAATTGGGAGCATATGGGCCCAATTTCTGGATGGAGTGAATATGCGGGCCATAAGCGGGGGCCAGGCCTTTTTTAGCAGCTTTTCGAAAACAATGCTGATTCAAAAATTTTCAGTTAAATCGGCTAACCGGTGTTTTTCCCTAGTGAAGTTTTTGTCGGAGAATCACGCTAATTGTTAATGGTTTATCAGTTTAGTATATGAGAATTCCAGAAATCATGGATTTATTATTTTAAAACGCTAAAAACCCGCCAAAAATCAGCTCGTCTTTTTCGGATTTAAGCCTTTTTTAGTTGGCTTTTCACCGGGAGATCGTACTAATTTTTTAAATGATTTGAGCTCTTGCCCGTTGAATATAGCCGTTTTTCAAAGCTATGTTTTTATTCTTCTGAACGCCAAAAATCCCGAGAGATTTAGGCTGGCGGCGACTTTGTTAGGCGTTGTTTTTCCTCGGGCTGAGGGCCAAAGGTCCACCGCGGTCTGGCCAGCGCATTGGGGGCCCCCTAATTTCCTGGTTGGGGCCCGTTGCGGGAACGGAAATTCGGGTGCCACGCTTCAACGGGGAACTAGGTGGCCATGAGCTGAATAAGAGTGTTGGGAGCGGGTTTTTTTCTGGCCGGCGCCTTTGCGATTTTTTATAGTCTCGCCGGATGAATTTTCTTTTGCACGAACTTTCATGACAATCGCAAGTTAATTAACAAATTATAATTATAGAAATTGCCTACTACAAGCTTAAAAATTCAAAAATTAAAAATTAACGAAGGAAACCGTCCGTATATTTTTCCGTGATTTTAAAATTTGGTGAAATGAAAAGAAGATGAAAAACTGCCCGGACTTTTCCTTTTTCGACATAAAAATTCTTTCTAAAGCCCATTACGCAGCCAATTAGAGAATTGCCCTCCTCCGGGTGATTTGTACTCACCCCTGGGGCTCTTCTTGTATCGGCGGGTCGGGCGGCGGTGGCGGCTGTTGTGGCTTGGGCTCGGATTTTGTGTCCTTGTGGAGGGCGGCTACAATCGCCCGCAACGACATCAAGCTGAGTGCCTACCGGCGGCTGAAATATTAAAGGGTATACCACCGCAAAAAGCCGGAAACGTAGACGGGTTGATGATGAAGGTTTCGAGAAAAAGCTGGCGAGACCAATTATGGAAAATTGTGAATTGGGAAGTCTTTTGAATAGGTGATGCCAAAAATGAGTTCAACTACAATGAACGTCTGGGGCTCTCGGTAGTAAAATATTTGGGTTATTTAAGGCCCTTTTTTAGCGATAAAATAAAAAAATCTAGCCTTGATACGGTAATCTGAAAGCGCACTTTCATGGATAAGTACGTTTACATCTATTGACGCAGAGAGACTGCGGAAACAAGCAGGTGCAGAGACGTTCTTAGGTGTCTACCTCCAATTCGCGGAACGCACGTTTGACGAGACAGACTTAAACCAGCGCTTTTTCACGCCAATCCAAAAACTGGGCTGACTGGGCGGTTCGATTGAGAGGGTGAAGCACGAAACACGGGTTGCCCTGGTTATTCCCGATGGCCCAACCCTGCCTAATTGCATCGGGGGGTGTGAGCGATGGGAGGGAATGAGTAGAGTGGCGTTGTCGCGTAAATTGCTTTACCGTTCTTTGAGTCTCACCGCAGGCACGAGGTTTTGGTTAACGTGTGGCCAGCGTTGGCTAAAACTGTTTAGATGGAAGGAGAAGCGAACAAGCCAAAGTTTTGGCCAGCTTTTTCTAGGGGGTTATGGGAAATTTTTAACTATAAAACGAAAATGGGCCAATATTACCAAAAACCTCAAAATATCTATGAATTTTTTTCAGATCATCATCTGCGAATCGTCGAAAGTCGCCGAGAAAATCACCTATGGCAACCTGCGTGCGACCACCGTGACACTTGAAGGCGACAAGTACACCTCTGTCGGAACGGCTTCTGGAGGTATATTTACACCGTCGCCCCATTCTTTCCACCTCTGTCCTTAGGTTTCCGCGGCGACAAAAGCAACAACTACCTCCGACTCGCGAAGGCATACCGACAATGGAAGTCGGAGTCTGCCCAAAAACACGCCTTGATCAAGACACTGAAGGGTGTGTTTTGTCTGGATTTGCGTTGAACGGTGTTTTAGCTGAAATCGAGGCCCTGAACCAAGCCAAGGCCGATGCTGACCAGCTGAATCTTCGCATCAACTCCGTAACTTCAATGTCGGTCTTCTAGAATTCAAAATTTCAGATTGACGGCCGCTTGGACTTGCTGCAACTGTCTATCGACAACAACCCGAGGGAGATGCTCGCCAACGATTTGCAGCGCATCGATGCCGTAAGAGCTCTTATCCATTTCCTATTTTTTTTATTTTACAGGAACTCGCTGAAATTGACGAACGCAGTGCCCAGGCGGCCCCCCGGGTCAAAGAACTGGAGACCAAACTGACCGACGCCGAGAAGCGCAAAAAGAACGCCAAGCAGTTCAGGGTAATACCATCTGACCAGCCCTTATTCATATTGTTCAGGAAGACGAAGAAAAGAAGGCCAAACAAGAGCTGAAGGCCGCACAGGAGGCCTTGGCTGCGCTGGGTGATGAGGTGCAGCGCAGCAAAGCGGCCTTGGCACAAAAGCGGTTGGTTTTTGTTGGGCGGTGGCGTTTCTTTATCTCATGTTCGAATAAAAATATGCTGAATTCTTTTTAGAGCCGACGTCACCGAGTCCGAAAAAGCCATCTCCGAGGCGCAGGAAAGCATCAAGAAGCTCCAGGATGACTTCGAAGAAATTAAAAGGGAGATAGCTGCGAAGGACTTGGAACAAAAGGCGGTGAAGGTATTTTTGCTGGATCGGTGTATTCTAAATACTCCTAGGCCGAATTCGACGCTGTAAAAAGCCGACTGGAAGATTTGCGCGGCGAGAAGCGAAAGAAGGAAGAAGAGTTGAGGGAAATTAAAAAGCAGGGTGAAGAGGCCAGAAAGGTAAGCATTTTTGTTTTATTTTTGTCGAATTACCACTGTGTTCTTTTACGCTTACCTCGCTTCCAGGAATCCATTGCTGAAGCAGAGCGGTGCAAAGAATTGAAAGAGAAATATTCGCACTACAAAGAGCAGGCCTCGAACATGGCAAAGCAATATCAGGTTGGTGGTTCATCAATTTTTTTTAAACTTTAAATTGAATTTCAAAGATGAAAAGGCATTTTTTAGCACGCCATGCGCGAGTATCGATGGCTCGCCGATGTTGAAGATCAGTTGGCTGTCAAGGGCACCGATTTTGAATTCCCCTCTGGGTGCGTCGTTATCAGGACCTTTTTCGGTTTTTAGACCTGCTCTTTTCTATTCAAAATAATTCTTATTGTTTAGCTTCACGGCTGACAAGGGCAAAAAAGACGTCGACGATCTGAAGGAGCGCCAGGATAAACTGAGCCGCAACCTGAACGTGAAGGCGATGAACCTGCTGGCGCAGGCTGAAGATAGTGTTTGTGATTTTCAGGCTTGCCGACAATTCATCATTCCAGGTGATGACGCTGCTGAAGAAAAAGGAGACCCTCTACAAGGACCGAAAGACTCTTCAAGAAACGATCCACAAATTGGACGAGAAGCGGAAGGAAGAGATCAGCAAGGCCTACCATCAAGTTACAAAGGTCAGATACATTCGAAGTTTCGAATTTTTGTTTAGGACATGAGCAGTATCTTCTCGACACTTCTCGTCAACGCCGACGCCAAGCTTGAGCCGCCAGCGGGGATGACCGAGCACCAGGGGCTGGAGATCAAAGTCGCTTTCCAGGGCAAATGGAAGGAGAGCTTGACCGAGCTCTCTGGAGGTGGTTTTATTTCTACGGTTTTTACCCTAATTTAGGTCAAAAATCTCTGGTCGCTCTCTCGCTCGTGCTGGCCATGTTGAAGTTCAAGCCGGCTCCGCTCTACATCCTCGATGAGGTGTCGATTAGTCGAAATTACAGCAAACACTATAAAATTGTTTTTTTGTTGTTGACATAGCTGTTATGCTAAATAACTATAAAAAATAATAACTTATAGGTTGATGCGGCCCTCGACATCTCGCACACCCAAAACATTGGGCTGATGATCAAGAAGCACTTCACCAACAGCCAGTTCATTATCGTCTCCCTGAAGGAGGGCATGTTCAACAACGCCAACGTGCTGTTCCGGACAAGCTTCGCGGTATGCATGCCCTTTTTCTTTTTTTTTTATTTTGCTTTCAGGAGGGCACGTCGCGCGTCGACCGCTTCGCCAGCAAGAACTAGGACGGCCCCGATCACCACTAATGCTGACCAGATGCTGCAAATACTTCATATTTTTCATTGATTGTTCTATTGATGCCTTCCTCACCCAGACTACCTGTATATTGCTTTGATCTCGTTCCACAGTTCTCCGGTATTTCCTTTTCTTATTACGGATAAAGATTGAACTCTAATTCGTCGTGATTTTACAAAAGACGTCTAATTTACGGTGGTATGGTCCGTTTTTATATGTTTGATGAAGTTCCCGCCTCTGTTACAGATTTTTGTAGCCATCCACCAATCAATTCAATCAAGTTCTTTGAGGTGCACACTGATGTCGAGAAGGTTGATTAGATGACTAGACGACCAATAGCACTATTACAGAGTGAAATTCAACAGCCAGGTGATGGTGAAGAAATTTCCGGTCGGAGGAGGCGCCGGCGATCCGAACTTGTCGGAAAGCCTGTCCGAAACGTCAAAGTAACCCCTGCAATTTTTGTAGTGTAAAATTCCTTTTTAGTGTCACATTAAACGAAGGAGACGACAGTGCCGAGTGCAGTTTCAGCTACACTCCCATACAACCGTTCAGCCAAGGTAGCTATTTTTTAGAGTTACCTAGTATGCGCTCCGTTCAGAGCTGATCAGTCGTGACCGCATCGGACGTGAGCTGTTTGCCGTAGATCTGTTTCGGGTCAAAAAGTAAATGGCTTGTTTTGCTATATAATTTTTTTTAGGAAAATCCTCTACCACTTCCTCACCCATGGCCATCAAGACCACTACGGCTCGATCGGCGTGAGTTTTTTTTGGGCAAAAGTTTGGTAAACTTTATTTCAGAAAAACTGGAATCGGCCCATCTACTGCACGCCGACGACCGCCGCGCTGCTACCACATTTGACGCGCAGACGAACCGGACAGCAGTTCATTCGAGAATCCGGGGTGAGGGAAGAGGTACGTTGTTTTGAACTAACACATAATATTTCCATTTAGCTGATGCAACGGCTGCAACTCGGTGTCGCGCAAGATTTTGACAATTTTCGGGTAATTTTTAAGCTGGGAATGTGATTATTATTCCCTCTTGGTACAATATATTTTGAATTGCAGGTGACAGCGCTGGACGCGAACCACTGCCTCGGGGCGGCGATGCTGTTATTCGAGGGAGAAGACCCGATTTTCCAAGATGGTAAATTTAGCTGTTTTTTAAAAACGTAGTTCAGGACCGATTCTCTTTACGGGCGACATCCGTGCCGACCGCACCCTGATGGAACGTTTCGAGACCAACGCCGGCTATAAGCGCCTTTCGCAGGTCGGAATTTTATGTTGAAACAAATGCATTATATTTGTGTGCTTTATAATATCGCGATTTACAGTTGAAACTTGGCCATATCTTCCTGGACGATACCTATCTTTGCGACGAGGCGGAGCATTTTCCGGCACGCGACGAGGTTCCAAATTTTCGAACTTCTATAAATTTTGCTGCCTTTCAGTTGATTCCAAAAATTGTCGACCTCGCCCGAACATTTTCCCCTACGTTGAAGCTTCTCCTCCCTCTGCACAAATTGGGCAAGGAAGACGTGCTGGTGGCGGTGGCCCGCGGATTGAAGGTTGGATTTTCTCCTCACGATTTACAAGAGCATGAATTATAATTAATGTTTAATATAAGTCAATTCATTTTTTCTTATTTCAGGAGAAAATTTGCCTCGATCCTGGTCGTTGGGAGAGCCGGGAACTGCTCTTCCCGCCCGAAGATCTTGAATACTTCGTCGGCGAGGAGGACCCACAAGACGCCAGAATTTTCGTGTGCTTGAGAAGGTAGCTTCAAATTATTAATAAGAACCAGGGTTGAAAAGCCGCTTCGCGACTTTTCAACCCTGGCCCCGTCTCGGACCCCATACTATTCTGCCCTTTGCATAATTGTCCTCCATTCAGAAGACAAAAAAAAAATGAAAAGCCACCCTTTCTGTCTCTTTATATAGGCGACCATACACTTCCGGTTTATGCTAATTACTCCTAACAAAGAGGTTTTTACAAAAACCTAAATTTAATAGCGAAAATGGCTAATTTTTAAAAATCTGATATGTGTGCAGTCATCCTTAGACCATTGCGCACCTAGTGACGTATCATACGTAGCCTAATACCCGTCCCTTCTTGAGATATCCTCCGGACAGACAGACGGAAGTTGATGCAAAGTGGCACACACACACACACAAACACTATTTTTTATATATCCTACTATATATAAAAAAATAGTGTTTGTGTGTGTGTGTATATTTGCATGCACTTCCGTTTGGATGTTCCGCACCTACAGCCTCAGGGAAGCATTTTTTCGGTAGGGAAAAAACGTCATAGGGTAAAGAAGGGGGCGGAATCGACTGCACACACATGAAAGTTTTGAAAAATTGCTATTTTCGATATTAAAATTAGGTTTTTGTAAAGTTTTCGGCCAACCTCTTTGTTAGGAAGCAATTAGCATACGCCGGAAGTGGAAATGGCTTATAAAAAGGAAGAGAGGGCGCGCTTTTCATTTTTGGTGAGCGGTTTTCGGCAAGAATTATGCAAAGTAAATACTTCATCGATCCTAGACGGGGCCAGGGTTGAAAAGCCGCGAAGCGGTTTTTCAAACCTGGTAGTAGGATAAGCTTGAAGGTTTTTTTCTATTGACCAGGGTTGAAAAGCCGCTTCGCGACTTTTCAACCCTGGCCCCGTCCAACCCCATCAGATTCTTCACTCTGCATACGTCTTTCGATTTCTGATGAAAAAATGAAAAATTCCACTCTCTCGGGGTATATATAGGCCGCCTCAATTTCCGGCGTATGCTAATTATTTCCTAACAAAGAAGGCTGCCCGATTTTTCAACAAAAACTTAGATTTAATGTCGCAAACAGCTAAATTTCTAAAAACTGATAATGGTGCAGTCATCTCCAAACCATTACGCGTCTAATGACGTATCAAACATACCTTAAAAACCGTCCCTTTCCAAGATATCCTCCGGACAGAATGACGGAAGTTGCATGCAAAGTGGCACGGACACACACACAGACACTATTTTTTTATATTTCTATTGATTGATAAAACCAGCGCCCAAAACCCGCTTCGCGGGCCTTGGGCGCTGGAATGCGGCCTTTGCATGAGAAATTTGACTTTCGATGGCTCGGATCCTTCGGACCCCTCCCTTCTTCCTCAGACCACCCCCGCGCGTGCAACTTGCAAGAATGAGGAAATTTGTATTTTTTTGGAATCATGCAAAGTAGCCCTTCCTGGCGCCGGGCACACACACACACACACACAGAGATACACCCCAAAATTATATAAGGTGGGATTTTACTTCTCGTTACAGGCGCTGCGGCGAGGTCTACCAGCACTTGTTTAGCCAGGGCATCGATGCAGTGGTCATCAACTTGACAAAACAAAAGATTTCGTTGAGGTAGCTATTTTTAATACCTGCTATATATATGAGTTTTAGCAGGCACATTCACGAGTCCATTTGCTACAATTTCCCCTATTCGGACCACTCGTCCTACACGGAGCTTGTGAGCTTCTGCTCGAGGCTGCGTACAAAGTGGGTTTTTGGGTTTGTGGGTCTGCACTATGCTATTTCTAAACGCAAAACTTCAGAAAAATCATTGAAAAATACATGATTATGAATTTTTCGATCAAATCATATTTTTGAACATTTTTACGTCTTTTAAGAAATTAGCTTTTAAGAAAGTTATGAATGTTTTTGCGCAAAATCTAGCTAAATTTTACTAAAAAATACCCATTAAAACACTTTCTATAATCTTGAATGTTATACCTAGACGTATAGAAGTTTTGTTTTTCAGGTTCCTTCATCCGTGGAGCGGCAAGGTCGATGTTGAACACCCGCGTTGGAAACGACTGCGCAGCGCATGCACGTCGGACACGTTCGCGGAGTGGGCTTTTTGTTACTAGTTTTATTTTCTATCTTTTTTAAATAACTTTTAATTTTTTTCAGGCCACCAGCCGCGAAGCAGCGGCGTCTGGCCGACAGCCTGACGGCCGACCTTGAGGAGATCGATTGCACAACCACGATCCCGATCAGCGTCAATGGGTATTTTTTGAAAATTCGACACGACTAATTGGTTTTAGAATCGACATGAACGGGTTTGCGCCCGCGCTGAAAGGAGCCAAATAATTGATTCCTACCTATAACCCCTTATCCGCATCCTTTTGATTCACAGAATTTATTGATCTATTGCCTCGATTTCTACATAATCCACGATTTTCTCACATTGATCTCAGGGCTCGAATATCATTTCCGGTTGTTATTGGTTTCTGATGCGTTTATTAAAATGTTTAATTCTGGAAAACGACGTTGTTGATGGCAGTTGAGGAATTATTCGCCGGACATCATCTCCATGAATTCTACAAAAAAGTGTACTTCTTGAGGGCGGGCTTACCGGTGAAGTCGACGGTTCCCGAGCCGTCCTGGTCAATCTCGGCAATCATCTCGTCAAGTTCATCCTGAAGACAAGTGAACGGTTTGAATAGGTTTTAATGTCTTCCTTTTTAAGGTTTATATTATGTATTGAATAGTTTTTCTTGAATATAATCATACCTCGTTGATGTTGTCGTCAAGTGCCCGGAGGATGTCCCTCAAGTCAGAGACGTTGATGTAGCCGTTACCCTAGAAATTTGTAGATGAGCAACCATAAGAATTTTTGGGGTAGAAGGAAAGTAGATTTATGGGTAGTGGCGATTGCGAAACAAGTGGCATTTTTCATTGAATTTTTAGGAGAAAACATCAAATTTAGCCCGGAATAGGGATTCTGGAAAAGAAAAAGGATTTTAAAGACGAAATGAAAGAAAACGATGAAAAACAAGATGCTCAAACACAACGCGAAATCTCTACCTCCTTGTCGTAGAGGCGGAAGGCCTCACGCAGCTCCTCCTCCAACCCCTCGTCATCGGCTCCTCCCACGACGAAGGTGGCCACCATGGCGGCGAACTCCTCGAACTCGATCTCGCCGGAGCCTGAAAGTTGCGCGGTTTGACGCAGTGTTTTTTGTTTGAAGGGTTGCACGTTTTTGAGAAAACCAAAACTACTTTTAGCGGGTGATTTCCCTAGCTTTTTGACTGGCTAGTTTTGTGCATTAATTTAGGGGTAATAGATTCTAGTGCCACTAACCGTCAGTGTCGAACTCCTTGATCAGCTGCTTCAGATCGCGTTCCTCGAAAGCCTGACCCATGGTGCGCAGGATTTGGCCGACCTGGAGGATTCAAGGTTGTTTTTAATATTGAGATTTGTTTGTATAATCGTTTATTTTACTTGATTAGAAGAGCATTATTGTTTAATTTAAAGAATTTAGTATCGATCGTTTTTCAGAATTTTTCGATTCTCGCATGATTTTGCTTACCTGTGTGGCGCGGATGAATCCCTTGTTTTCCTTGTCGAACATGTTGAAGTATTTGCGGAATTCTAAAAAAACGTAGGAAAATCTATACCGTACGATTTAAACCAACTTACGCTCGATCTGCTCGGGGGTGAGCTGCTCGAGGGCATCGGCCACGGCGTCTCCCTAAAATCGATTTTTTTTAAGTTTTGGAGGCCAAAAACTGCTCAAAGTCCCTTTTAAAAAATCGATATGAAGTGAATCGATCGACCAGCTGAATTTATTCTGGGAATGGTGGCAGAGAAAAAGGCTTTGACTTGGGAATTAAATTTTTCCTGGTTTCACAAGCACATGGCCCAGTGCACACCTTTTTGTTTTTTTGATCGAAACCTGGGTGTCGCAGCTTATAATAAGAAAGCATAACCAAAAAAAGTGTCGTTTTACTAGATATTTTCATTTAAAGGCGTCGGGAAGCGTCAGTCGACCGACATGGCGACTAGGTATCGACAGCAACACGCACTCCGAAATGCTGATTCTCAGAAATTATTTGGACGCGTAAGTGTCGAGACCTAGCGGAGGGAAAGGGTTGGTTCTGACACTTTCCAATACCTGAAAGGGACGGAAAAGCGTGGTATAGGCTGGGTCTTAACTAGGCTCTGGCTTCGTCTAGTCTTGCTTCGGACTTGGCTTAGCTTCGGCTTGAGCTTAGGCTTAGGCTTAGGCTTAGTCTAGGCTCAGCTTTAGCTTGGGCTAAGCACTACCATATTGATGACCCCGAAAAAAAATCAATAAAATTATATCCACTTACCATGTCTGCTGCGGGGTAAGTAGTTGCGGGTGGTTGGGGGCAGAAAAGAGGCTGGGATCTACTGGGATTTGGGGGGAGATGGTGGTGGGCTCCCCGTCGGTCCTCGGTTCGTTTACCTTTACAACCCCCGCAACCACGAGGCCCTCAAGAAAAAGAGGCTGAAAAGAGGGGGGAGAATTCTCGAGATGGGGGGCAGAGGGCTGGGGGGATGTGGACAGCTCGGGCATACAGTCTCCGCCCAGGGCCCCCGACAGCTTCTCCCTAAAAATTGTGGCCGGCAAATGATGGGGTCACTTTAGGGGGGAGGAGAGGTTAAATTGTGTTTTTGGCCGTTACCGGTAAAAATGGATTCAAAACATTATCAAATTACCAGTCATGCCGTTTCTTAGTTTTCCACCAAAAAGCAAAAGCTTTCGCCTCTGCGGGGATTCGAACCCGCGCCTTGCAGCTATGAAGCGAGAACGTAACCAATTCACCATGACGCCCAACCCTGCTTGAGAAGGGGAAGCCCTTTTCAACCCCCAGGGATCCGGTGCCTTCCGGCCAAAAACCGGGCGGAAGATCAAGAAAACCCAAAAATCGGCATGTCATTTGCTGTCGATCATACTACTGTATCAAAAATCAATAATTTATTGTGTACACAGTACAATCCGGAAATCAACGATATACTTAAAATGCGAGTCGATACAGCTGCTGGTCGGTGAGATACTGAGCAAGCTCACGGCCAACCTCGGGCTCCATGGTTTTCTGAAAAAGGCGTACTTTTCTGACACTTGCCCCCTTAAAACGATAGATAGCGAGAGATAAAGAGAGAGAGAGAGAGAGAGAGAGAGAGAGAGAGAGCGATCATTCTACCTTCTCCTGACCTTAATATACGTAAGCCTGTTCCGCTTCTCATTCTGCGTCAACAGCTTATGCTCCTGCACCATGATAATCCGGACCAACCGTTGCTTGGCCGGAATCGTGAGTTTTGGGATAACCTCCTGAAATTCGTCAAATTTCTTAAAGTTGTCAAGGATCTTTGCTAGCAGTCTTCCTCCAATTAGTGCACAAAAGTGATACCCTAATTTTCAGCTGGCGCTCCCGTTCTGCGGCAAAGGTCAGCCTCCTCATTTCTTGGTGCTTATGGCGGATGGGGGCTGGGAGTCTGAAATGGGTTTTTAAGGCTTTAAAGGGATGCTATGGATTTGGTATGGATCGTCCGGCCATTTAAACCCCGAAAAAACCCGCCTGGCCAATATCTTCTCGACCTCCTCGTTGATGTCGACAATATTCATATCCCCGGCCCTTTCCACGAGTTTCTAAAGCACGCCTGGGATACGGTAAAAAATTTCGAGTTACGGTAAGTTGTGTTTTTGTCTCCTCTTCATCCACGATCCGGCAGTTTGCCAATCCGAGGGTTCCGGTAACGAGGAGCGTGGCGGATAACAGCCTCATAGTTTAAAGCTTCTAAATCGATTTTAAGAAAATTTAGGATTCTGATAAATCGGATAAAATGAGAAATCGTCCAGCGGATGGTTCTGGTTCGTTAGCGAGGGGGGGGGGCAAACAAAAACCGCATTTTTAAACCAATTTTGATATATTTTTGGCCAACAAAAGGTATTTTCAAACGTTTCTAATTTTTCTAATTTTTCTAAACTCTAATAAAGGCGTAAAATGCAATTAAAATGATTTTTAATCACAAGCCTACCCTAGAAAATAGCAAAAAGTTAAGCCCCCTCTAAAGATCCTACCCCCGCTAACAGACCAGAACCATAACATGAATCGTTCAGCAAAAGTGGCGGAAAAGCTGTTCTAAACGACAAGAAGCCGAAAATGCCGTGGCCGAGACCGGATCCGCCCCCTGTCGATGGCCATAGCGGGACCGAGAAGCGGACAGGCCGAAAAAAGGGATCACAGCGGACGTGTACGGCGCGCGGACTGTTTCTCTCTCTCTCTCTCTCTCTCTCTCTCTCTCGCTCTCTCTCGCGCCCCATATTTGCCCCGAAGCGAGACAAGGAAGCCTCTTCCCCCCGACAAGTGGTTTACGCCCCTTGGGCCCCTTGTTTTCCACGATTTTCGATGGCAAAGACCAGATTTTTGAGGGCCGGCTCCGGTAGAGACCCCGAAAATGGTTCAGGCGGCCAAAAAGCAAAAAGTTTGGCGCGGGACCGGGTTGAACTTGGGTCTTGAGAATGGTGGGCAACTTCGCTAGCCACTCGGCCACCGGGGAAAGAAGACGAAAATGACTTTTTGGTCAAAAATTTAAATCCCAGTGTAAGACTGAGAGGTAACTTGAGTGGTAATGGTGATTTTCTATAGATGTACACATTAATGGTTGTTTTTCGAATCCTCTCGAGCAGATTTCCAAATATAGTAATTAACATTTTGTAATTAAATATATTTCACGGTAACCTTGGGGAGAAAAATTGGAAAAGGCCATTAAGACCCCCGGTTCCGATGAACGACTGTGGCCGGTGCCACCGTGCCATTGGCGAGGAGACGGCCGTGTATGCAAATAAGCAGGTGGGTTTCTCCACCTTCCTCTCTCTCTCTCTCTCTCTCTCTCTCTCTCTCTCACTCACTCTCTCTCCCTCTCCATCTCTTTTTCCAGCTCTTCCACCCCACCCATCTCCAATGCACTCGCTGCTCCTACCGTATCGAGCCGGACACCAAGTCTGCTGTCACCACGCCTTTAAAATCTATTTTTTTGAGGTATTTCGTCTACGGCGGGCAGATCATTTGTCGTCGCTGCTATCTGCAGCATAGTGCTCCGAAGTGTTACGGTAAGGCTTGGCTTAGGCCTTGCTTGGGCTTTGCTTAGGTTTGGCGTGGGTTTGGCTTAGGCTTGCTTAGCTTAGGCTGCAATCTTCAGGTTGCACCCAGGGCATTGACGGCGAGCTGGTGACGGCGATCGGCCAGACGTGGCATCCGGCGTGCTTCAAATGTGTTGGGTGAACCTTATGGAGAGTTAATAAGACCTAAAAATTAATCAGATTTTTGTTTGAATTGAATAAATTAGGTTCAGATGTACGGAGGTGTTGAGCGACGAGTGGCTCCTCGACACGACCGGCCCGATGCATCGCCATTGTTATTGGGGGCAGATCAATGATTGTCAGGTTGGTGTCGACGATCTTTCTCTTGTTCTCTCGCTCTTTCGCTCTCTCTGTCTCTGTCTCTCTCTCTCTCTCTCTCTCTCTCTCTCTCTGTCTCTCTGTGTCTGTCTCTCTCTGTCTCTGTCTCTCTCTCTCTCTCTCTCTCTCTCTCTCTGTCTCTCTCTGTCTCTCTCTCTGTCTCTCTCTGTCTCTCTCTGTCTCTTTCTCATAAAAGATTTTGAATTTCATTTTTTTTGAGATGACCAATGCCGGACCGCTGTGATCCCTTCAATCGCCCTCCATTAAATATACCCAATTATACCCTCGTCCAGACGCCCAGATACAATCCGTAATTTGGTGTCTATCGTAGTCGTCTATGTGATGTGATGATCGTTCCCGGAACTGTCGGCAATAAAATGTTCTTCTTATTGTGTGAAACTGGTTGGGTTGACCTACAAATTCGACAAATGATTGCTGTTCGCCGGAAGGAATTATCTGAGACGGTAGAAATACGCGACGCTACGCCGATCGTCACGTTAGAAGTTTGATTTTTGAGTCCATTAAACCTCTGAAATTTTAACACCGAGCTGCACTTTGGCCGAGTGGCTATGGCGTTTGTCTATGAAGTTGAGGGCCAGGGTTCGAGTCCCGCACGTTGGAACTTTCTGCTTTTTGAATTTTTGGTTTTTGGATTTGTGGTTTTAGATTTTTTGACTTGATCCTTGACATAGTGGCTAAGACGTTTGACCCTCAACCAGAGGGCCAGGGTTCAATTGCTGGACGCTTCAGATTTTTGATTTTTTGGTTTTTGAAGCTTGCTTGTATTAAAAAAAGCGTACTCGGGTAGATAAAGCTGAAAATAGCGTTCTCGGCGTTAAAAATCCACGTCGGTTCTTTATTAATGCTTGAAAATAAGTTTTTGAGCCGATCCGTCACTTAGCGCAGTGGCTAAGGCTTTTGACTCTCGATCTAAGGATCAGGGTTCAATTCCTGCCCATGCAACCTTTTTGCTTTTTGAAATTTTAAACGCTACTTGTCCCCTAGAGACCGGAAAGATGTCGAAACAGCTGTTTTGCCTCGGTAAAACCCGGACGAGGCCTTTTTCCACTTACACTCTTATCCAGACCAATCTCGGCGGTCCGCTCCCGGGTTCTCCCTCATTTCTTCGGCGTGCTCAATTTGTCGAGATCCCTGTTCAAGTTGTCGTCATTGGGATTCGGCAAGTTGGGGGTGGAGGTGGGGGATTCGATTAGCCTCCATTTAACGGCATTTAACGACACTGTACACCACCAGCTGTGGTAGTTGACAGCTCTCTCTCTCTCTCTCTCTCTCTCTCTCTCTCTTTCACGCTCTTTCTCTTTCTCCTTGTGATAAACAGTGGACAACCACCCACGCAATGGGATTGTCCTTTTGGGCTGATACACAGATCTGTTACGGATCCGTTACGACTTGTTCCTGTTGTTTTCCACTGATTTGTGATCGTGAGCGGTCATATACAATGCTCAAACACGGCATGTTCTTCTGAAAAATTTAAATAGAAGTGTCTCCCGCTGTCTCTGTCTGTCAATTTGGCTCTCTCTCTATTTCGGCCGTATCCGTCTCTCTCTCTCGCCGGCCGTCTCTCTCTCACTCTCGGTCTATATCTCCTCTCTCTCTCTCCTCTCTCTCCCTCTCTCTCTCACCCTCCTCTGAAATTTTAAAAACCCTTTTACTCCAGAAACCCTCCAAAAATGATCGGAATGATGAACAACCCGTCGAACTCTGTGGAGTTCTACTCGGCGCGGAGAGGAAGCCAAGAAGCGGAAGTGGAATTCGTCGAGGGTCCGAAGAAGAGCCACGTCCAGTATGCGGCCGGTTTGTTCGTCTGTTTGTGCTGTTATCTGTTTTTTTTTCATAAAAAAGCAAGCCAGTCAAGTTCAGCCTCCAAAATCGATGTTTTCAAGATCATTAGACGAATTTAATTTTTAGATGGCCGAAAAATTATCGACGGTAAAGTGGTGCCGGAGCCGGCTGGGCGACTTTGGACTCGGGTGGGTCCAATTTTTACGGCTTTTTCTTCGGAAATAATCATGCCGAAAATAGCTTTTTCGAAATTAAAAAAAAAATCGGCTAAATCGGAAACGAAATGGCCGGAAAATCATAATTAAATGCTAAGTTTCGAAAAAGACGACCCTTCGAGACATATCTTTGAAAAACCACTTTCCAATCCCGCCTAAATAACACCAATTTCAGACCCTATTAAGTGGTGCGATCAACCACGCGATGGGGACCGGAAGCAATCCCGAAGTCGTGGACGATGAAGAGGTAGAGGATGAGGTGGAGCAAGAGAAGGAGGCAAAACTTGAAGCTCAGCCGGAAGCTTCAAATGACGCTCAAAAAACTATCGAATCTCGAGCGGAAAATTGTCATATGGGAGAGGAATAAATTGTTTGGTTTTATTGGTTTAGCGTAAACAGGAAAATACGTAACTCTACAAGAAAAGGCTAGGGGTAGTTTTTTATTGGGAATCGTGTTGAATGCAAAGATTATGATAGTAACGGGCATAAAGGCCGCTTTTCATGGCTTTTTGACAGTGTTCCAATTACGTTGTTATCCTTTTTTTTCGGAAAAATTTGGATTTTATTCGGCAGATGTGTCTCTAAGAGTCCCACTCTGTGTTTCGCCCACATGCGCATGCGCTCCCGCTTTTCTCTCTCTTTCGCTACTGCCTTTTCTCTCTCTCTCTCTCTCTCTCTCTCTCTCTCTCTCTCTCTCTCTCTGTCTCTCTCTTCCTCTCTATCTCTCTCTCTCTCTCTCTCTCTCTCTCCTGTCATTTCAACAGTTTCTCTAGTTTCTAGTCTCCTTCTATAAATATCCAAAAGACGCAGCCCCGCTCTTCTGACGTCCGCCGCAATTTCCCGGCAATTATTTGTAACGTGGAATCGAGACGCCTGGACCGGAAATCAGCTACAAATCACAGCGCCGACTAGACGGTTGCGTAATCGTTTTTTGGAGCTTTTGGAGAGCAGAAAAAGTACTCTAAGTGCAATAGAGACAAGCGTGCTTTTCCCTGAGGTGCCCAAAATCGCTTTAAAAGTACCAAAACCAACGCTCAAGCTCGCCAAAATACCTCATCCGATTTTCCGTTGCACTCCGCTCCACGTTTGCAGGGCGTCGATAGGAGTGACGCGGAATGGCGGGCGGCGGGTGCTGATCCCGGTCACAAGCTCGTCCTCCTCTCCCTGCCACGCATAATTCCCCATTTATGGCCCAGAACTGTACACAGTGCGCGCTCCCGGAAACAACTCCCCGAAAAACAGCTTTTTCACTCTCGGTGCATCATTTTTAGCGCGCATTTTTAAAGACCAAAAGTTCAAACGCTCAAAGGATCACCGCTAGCCTGCCCCGTAAGCTAATCTTTTCTAAAAATACCCATTTTGGAGCTTTTGGTCTTTGGGCCCATTTTTGGCCAGTTGAGCACAGGTCCAAAATACCTGCCGGTCGCAAACCAGAATCAAATTGCCACGTGTGGAGGGCCCCCCGAGGGGCTACAGCCTTCAAAAAAGCTGAGGGACTACGGTAGCCACGCCCCATTTTGTGTCTTTTTGATGCTTTAAATAGCGCATAAAGTTCTATGGATTCTAGACATTTATAAAATTTCTATTAATGCCCCTACAAAAGATTTTTGCTTTTTTATTCGCACGAGAATTGACGATTACCGTAGCCGGGTTTTTATTTACGATAATTTTAAATTTACTTGTATTTACAGTTTTTTGGAGACTTTCCTTAATGCGGCTTCAGGGCTTGAAAATAACCCTTAAATGCGAATTCCAGCCATAATCCCGACAGCCAAATACCGAAAATCAACATTACCGACAAGCAAAAACGCCGGCAAGCCAAAATACCGACAGCCAGATACCCGACATATTTTAGAAGCTGGTTTAAATAACACTTCGTTTTAAACAGCTATTTCGTGTGTCGGGCTCTTGGCTGTCGGGATTATGGCCTGTGGGTATTTTGGGATCGGGATTATAGTGTCGGGATTTTTGTCTGTCGGGATTTTGGCTATCAGGATTTTGTTTGTCGAGATTTTTGCGATCAGGATTTTCGTTTTCGGGATTATCACCGTCGATATTTCAACTATTGCGATTTCCGCTGTCGGCATTTTCTTTGCCGGCATGACTGCCCTCTCTTGTCGGGGTTTTCGCCGTCGGTATTTAGCTCAGGCGTCTAAGGCATCCGGAAGTCACAGAATTTTTCGTGTGCCTCATTTGCTCAGAGATCAGAACGTTCGCCTAAAAATCTCGAACCTCGCAGGTTCAATCCCCCGGCTGGCCAGGGGCCCGCTTTGCTTTTTGCCGCGTCACGACGGGGGTCGGGTCAAAAAATTTTTAGGGGTGGAGCATTTCCGGTGGCTTCAGCTTGTTATCGAGAAGCCGATGGATGATGTTCGGCGGGTCGAGTTGCGGGGGTCTGCCCCCCTACCCCGATTCGGCCATTTCCATTGCAATTACCACAGGTTTTGTCCCCACACTGCTATTCCATCGATTCCAAAAAGTTGTCCGGAATGTCTGCTTCAACGGCGGACATTTTTTGAGCCCTTGTCGGCATATCTCCAAGCCTCGATTTGCCTTTCAGGTTCCTTTAAAAGCTCTTGAAACGTAAAAACGGTTTCTCCATCGATTTTACCGCGTATGCGTCACGCAACGCGCGCCACTTGACCTGCTCGAAGTCGTCGTAATCCATTACGCAATGGAATCATCGCCAGAAATCGTCAGAAAACCCATAGCTATGCCTTACAATTACTTCTCAAAGCCTCGAAAACTTAAAAAAACGATGCTTTAGAAGTTTTTCAATGCTTCGGCAAGCCATACCGACTCCATAAACTTTTCTGTCAAGGAATACTCCTGTACGGCTTGAACTTCTCGGTCTTTCTTTTATTTCCAAACGCTTTCCATTAGGGCGTAAACATACAGACCACCATTTTTCAGCGTGGCCCTCGGGGCCAACAGGGACGACAGCAGAAGATCAGAGTGAGATCAGGGCAGAGATGATTTCCGGAATGCAGCTATGTCAGCTCGTGCTCCCCGTCGCCCTCCTCATCTGCCTGGCGTCAAAGATCGGCGCCCAGGATACAACTTGTACTGATGTGAGCATCACCTTTAGAGATTTCCCGCCTTAAACCCCCTGTATTAGCGTTTTAGCCTGAACGCGTTGCGGTCGCGGCGCGGCAAACAGCTGCACTACCGTAACGCGGCCGCGACGCCGCTTAGAAATATACATACTAAATTACTGCGGGCAAGAACCAAAATATCATTTTAAATATTCAGACAACGGCCGCAAACTGGCTGGCCTGGTCGGAGTGGTCGACCTGCTCGGCGACGTGCGGCGCGTGTGGCTATCAGACACGGACGAGGAGTTGCTTGACTACGAATCCGGCCTGTACTTGTTCGGGGTATGTGACGCCTGGCTACAGTATCCGGACAATTTTAGTGAGGCGACGATGGTGGAGACGTGCAACCTGGCGGTGTGCCGCTATCCGGCCGCCTTTGCGTGCTGTCTGGGACAGGTATGTAGCGGAAAAGTCGTTTTAACGGGTTTCGGGCACAAGGATAGTCGATGCCTTATCTCACCTAGGTCTAGACAGCTAAGTGACACCAAAAAAACTAAAAAAGCGATTGAATAAAAGCTTTTTCGAGCAAAAATCGAGCCCTTGTCCAGTCGTATCTTGAAAAGTCACGTAGTTGTCGATCCCAAGTCAACGAAAGGGGTTGCTTTTCGCGCTTCCTAGCCCCTTCAAACGGACGGTGAGGTACATATCCGCCATTTTGGACTTCGGAGGCAAAGAAAATTAAATTTCAAGGGTTTTTAGCAGTCAGCCAAGCCGATTTCTGCAGCGTTTGCAGAAAGACGTTGTTATCCATTTGAGTTCCCGATCCCCTTAAGCTACATACATCCCCAAGAAACTCCAAAATCACGGTGACCAAAATGCCGACACGCCAAAATGCCGACATGTCGGGATTTTGGCGTGCCGGGATTTGCCCTGTCGGGCTTCGGGTTTCGGAATTTTAAGGTCCGAGATCTAGGCTTTTGGGTTTTTGGCTCTCGGGATTTTGGTTGTCGGTATAAGGACTGTCGGGATTTCGATTGTCGGGATTTTGGCTGTTACTATTTTGACCTGTCGGGGTTTTGAGTGTCGGTATTAAGCCTGCCAGGATTGGGTCTATTGGCATTCTATCTGTCGAGATTTTGGCCGTCGGGATTACGATAAGTCGGCATTTTGGCAGTCGAGACTGTGACCTGACGGGATATTTCGTCTTCCCAGTCCCTTTAAACCCAAAAAATTACTCTTCACTTCCTAATTCCAGCCGGGCCAATACCGCGGCTCTTTCGCGTGCCTCGAGGCGAACACGACGACCACGACGGCCCCAGCCGGATGATCATCTACAGTAACATCCAAAAATCTTGCGTCTTTTTGTGTACAAAGTATAACACCGTCCACTTGTTGCCATTATTTATTCCAAGCACCGATACGAGCAACACAACCGAGCACAGCCATTTTTTCGATATTTTTCGGGTTGGAGATCAGTCCGGGGGGGCGGAAATTGTGTAGTTTTTAGCTTATAATTGGGCGTGGGGGGCTGGTCTACAGCCTTTTTTGAGCCCATAAAATGGGAAGGATTAGCGGGAAATGAATCAGCCGCACGGCGCGGGTACGTCTATTGGAGTCTAGCGGAGTGGTTGCAAAAAATCGTGAGAATTACAGTAAAAATCAGGGGTTATAAAGCGCTAATGTTTAGTGACTAACCGGATAGGGGAAATAGCTACAGTAACCCGAAACGAGGTGCAGACGGGAATTTTAGGTACTTGTGCATTATCGGGGGGGGGGGTGTAACTCCAGAAATTCCTCGGAAGTAATAGTAAGTATTTTATAGCTTTTTTTTTCATAAATAACTGCACTTAAGTGAAAACTATCCAAACACTTAAAAAATTCAAGTAGCTATTTTTGTATCTTTTAACAAACTTAGCAAAAATTTGCTCCCCCCCGATAATGCATAAGCACCGAATTTTACATTGTGAAATAGAAATCGGCAAAGCGAAGAAAAGCTACAAGCTGCAGACGATTAAAAGAGGCCGCGAAAAATACATTTTTGCGAGGTTACGGTAGAGTTTTCTGCATTTTTTTAAAGGGGCTCAGAAGTCAAAATTCGTGCGTGCGGGGATTGAACCTACGGGTCAAAAAACGAAAGGGTCCCCGCCGAGAAGTGCCAAAAAAGTTATTTGATCGCGAAAAAAAGTAAAATGTTTGAGAAAAACCGAATTCTTTTTGGGGGGAAAACGATATTTTGAGTGCGCGGCGATTACATGTCGCAATGCTTTGTAAGGCACCCAATCTCTCGATCTTGGTGATTCTCTGGTCAATTTTCATAATTTAAAAGTCTGGAATGATCAAAATTCGTTGAGGATTCCAAAAATAGTATCAGAATTTTTAAATTCAAGCATTTTCGCTTCCAGAAGAGGCAAAAGATCATGCGGCGCAGGCGCGTTGCGGCCGCATCTGGCTATTTGCCAGGAATCACAGCAGGGGGCCGTGGACCAGATTTCGGAGCCCCTTTAAAGAAGAAATACGACCGTACCGCATCCGATACTCGGGACGGCTACAAACTACAGCCAATCAAAAAACTGCACTCAAAAACAGAAAGATTAATGAAACCCTGATCCCCCTAAAGATGCTCCACGCAACTGTGCGTCAACCGCACGGGCTGGTGTTGAGTGGCGTGTCGCGGACTCCAGACGTACGGACGGGGCTGTGGCGAGGAGCGGGGGCTGTGGTCCGATGGACTACCAAAGCTCTCCCGGCCGCTGTCCGTCTCCTCGACGGCGAACACGGCGTTTAGAAGGCTGAACTGCTCGATGCCGGGGTAGCGCGCGGAGTGGTGCGTCGCCTGGAAAGGGTCTAAATTTATTTCAAGCTTTTATTTTGTATTTTTATCGACTGTTTGACGGGCTTAAGGTCAATGATGAATAAAATCAAGATTAATTAACTTGACCCCCCCTTCCCCCGATAACGCAAAAGTACCGAATTAGCATACTTCAGGACCTTAGGAAAAAATTTCCTCCCCCGCCAAGGCAAAAGAACCTAATTAGCATGCTCAGGATTTTAGGAGGCAACCCCCCCCCCTATAATAGGAAAGAACCAAATTAGCATATCCAGATTTTAGGCAGCACCCCCCCGTACCGCAAATGAACCGAATTGGCCCCGGAATTTTAGGCAAAAATTCGCCCCACCCCGCGCCGCCCCCCGAGAATGCAAAAGATCTGAATTCGCCTATTATCAATTTTAGGAGAAGATTTGCCTCCCCCGGATAATGCAAAAGATCCGACCGAATGAGCAAACTGGGAATTTTAGGAAAACTGAGAAAACGCTATTTTCCACCCTCACCGATTTGCTATTTTCCAATCGAAGTTTCGGCAATCAAATAGTTTCCTACTCCCCCAAATAAAACCCATAAATCTCGCAGGGAAATCGTTACGGGATCCCGACCCCCCTCTCTTTCTCCACCACCTTCCAAACAGTTCCCGGTTGTCGGGATCAACGGGTGGTCATGAGGGACAGAGTTCGGCCTCCTCCTTTCCACTACGCTCCACTCGTGTTTTCGGAAAGTTTTGGTACGATGGCCTCGTCCTCCCCAACCTCTTGCTCCTCGTCGATGAGGGCTAATCTCGAAGGATCTAGCAGATCTCGCCCGGGTCCCCCTAATCGAATTTGTGACGTTGTCGGCGCGCGGCTGGTTTGCCGCCTTTTTGAGGCTTTCGAGCGGGTCCGAAAACCCAGCCGGTTACGTCGGTGTTTTTCGAAAAAAGGTTGGCAATTGTGAAGGAGGTCCTAGATATAATCTTTAGATTTTTTGCAAACGGTTGGTCGGCCAAAATATTGACAAAATCGAGGCCGAGGCGTGACAAGTTTGAAATTTCGAAATTCTGAAGGTTTCTGGCTTCATTTCCGGGTCGGGCGAGCAATTTCCGGTGCGGAATTTTGCGCCGATCCCGATTCTGCATCCAGAATTCGCAGAATTTATAAAGTTGACAAGCTACAAGATGTTTTTGTCCAAAAGGGTCATAAAAGCGACGTCCTCACAGATTTTTAGAGCCGCAAAAAAAACCAAAAATAGTTTTTAAACATAAAAAACGATGTAACTGCAAAGAACATAAAAATTGGGCCATTTGGGAAGCGGGCTCAGAACCAGCGCGAAATTTTACACAGAACAGGCTTCTTCGCCTCAAAGACCGTTTCCTAAATTGCGCCCCAACTTCAAAATTCGAGGCTGAGGTGTGATAGTTTTGAAATGATGAAATTCTGAAGCTTTCTGGCTGTGTGTCAAGGCCAGACCAAGCCATTCCGGCGTGGAAATTTGCGCTGATGCTGATCCCGCGTTCAGAATTTCCGAATTTGCCATATTTCAGGAAGATTTTTAGCCAAAAAATGGTTAAAAACGCACGGTTTTTCTCATTTGCTGCGAAAAACCTTTTGTAACTTTTCAAAGAGCAAAACTAGGCATTTGCCGAACCCGGATTCGAAATCAGCGCAAAATTCTGCACAGAATGGACTTTTCCAGGCCAAAAACCGTTCCCTAAACCATGTCCTAAAGCTAAAATCACAAACTACAAACCCCAAAAACTTTCCAGAGCACTAGTTGCTACTACTTTCCGGGCATGCCGGTTGACTCAAAATTTTCTCACGCGCGCCCGTGTGCGAACAAATCCAATTAACGTATTTGGGTTGTGGGGTGGCGAAAGAGTCTGGGCGCACAAAAATTGCGTGGAACTTTTCGGGAAATTGGGCACGTTTTAGTGGGCACAAGAAGTGTGCCGGACAGGGGAGACTCACCTCTAAAGATTGAGGCTCATGCTCGGGCTCGATGTGGATCCGGGTGACGAATTGCTGGTTGGGCTCTATGGGTTGTTGCTTCTCGTACTCGAAATCCTCGAGAAAGTCTTCTGAAATCGGGGTTTTGGGGGTTTCCAAGGCTTTTTTTTGGTTAATTTAATAACTTAATAAGTTATTCTAAGTTTTAATTAAATAGTAAAACGGTTTTTAAACTGTTTTTACTATTTCCAAGCGTAAAACTTTAGAATTTTTGCTTAAACTGGAGAAAAATTCGTTTTGGTCCAAAAAATGCCGATTTTCGTCCAAAATTTGGTTCCTTATAGGTTTAAAGTTTATTTGGATAATTTTTCAGTTAAAATATAGTTTAATTTTACTAAAAATGCGATTAAAATACTTACTATCACATTATGAGTCTTTTCTAGACTTCTAAGCAAAAAAAATGTCGATTTTTCCACCAAAACTTTAAATTTTTAAACTCTTTAAATAGTTTTTCAACTTCAAATACAGCCAAATTTTATGCAAAACGCCATAAAAATATTTTTTATTACCTGAATACCGACGCGGCGGTGCCGACATCGGGCGTCTCCCGCGCGGCATCTGATTCCGCCCACGCGCTTTCATCTGAAAATTTCCTAATTGATGACCGAAATATCGTACCTCAGTATATCGGCGTCCGCCCGATCGGCTAGGATCGCGGACCTCCTCGTGCAGGTCGTTCATCAACACCGCCGAGTCGATGGAGGTGGTTTTGGTCAGCTTCAGCTTTGTCGACAGACGCCGGATCATTGCCATCGGGCCGGAGGCTGGAAGAAAAACGGTTTAAAGAGAATAGTTAATTTTTAAAATTTCTAAAAACGGCTTGAAAATGTACATAGACATTTAGAAGGTTTAATTGCGAAATTGGGGAAACCCCGACAGGTTGTCCTTGAACTTTTTGAGCGATCGAGATCCGGTAGAACCAAAAAGTTTCGAAAATCTAGTAACATTAGAGTTTACACTTTTTTACTAACGGTGAAACGCTCGATTAAAATGTTAAAAACATTTAAAATTTAAGCGAAAAATCGAGAAATTTGCAAATACCATTAAAATTGAGGGTTTCATGTTTTTTAGGTTAAAAAAAAGCGATATTTTGGATAGGAAGACGCTTTTTCTGGATCAAGATAATGTGGTATTAAAAATCCGATAAAAAATATCTTAAAGTAAGAACCAACCATTCTCCATCGCATCAATCTTCATCATGCGCATCGCCAAAATTTTCGAAATCAAGTCGTGCCACATCTGACCGGTCGTCGGCTGCTCGTGCACGGCGACGCCGTCAAGGAAAACTCGGCCGTCTTTCAGGTATCTAAAAAATTTATTCTGTTAATTACTCGTTATTAACGCTAACATTATTAAGAAACCATCCATCAATTAATTTCCAAATTTTTTCGCAAAAAAACCCCTAAAAACTTACTCCAACTTCTGACGCACGGGCGGATGCCTGTAGAGGGAGGATTGCCGGGCCGCCGCGTAGAACTCGACGGTGTCGTCGCCGCGATTGATCATTCCAATCATTGTGAAAAGGCTGAAACGATTTATCGATTACACACGGACCGCAGAAACGAGGTTGGGGGCAAGTGGCAATAAAGCAAGAAATGGGGGGCTATCACGGCCGATTTTGCACTTTGTTTTCGTACGCACGTTTCGTCCCGGTGTAACACCGTTGGCAAGGAAACTTTAAATACCGATCGAAACGTATAGTAAAATTTAAAAGAGGTTTGAAAATGCAAAAAATATCGATTTTTGGGTTCGTTATCGGGGGACGGGGGGGAGGGAAAAGTTCCTTTTTCGTGTAAACTATAGTAAAATCTAGAAATGTTTTGTAGTGTTTTAACAAGTTTCGGATATCAGAAAGTTATTACGAAATTTTCAACCTAAAAAATTGAAATTTTTATGATTTTTCAGACACTTTTGACCAAAAAGCAATTTTCAAAAATTTTCGTGATCATTTTTCTACATATAAAAACCCCACAAATAAAATTCATAGCATAGTAAAAAGCATCGGACGTCCAGGCCAAACGCAGAAAAAATTTGTCCCCCCCGCTAATGACCCAGCTGCAAAAACACTCAAAGGCTTGTAAAACCTTTAGAAAATCGCACTCCTCGCGCGAAGGCTGAAGATCTTGGCGAGCAAGAGCGATCACTGCTCTGGCTGAGTAGAGAGAGAGAGGGGAGAAGGAACTGGAGGAGGATGGCCGAAAATGGGGGAGGAGCCCCGTCATTCAGCGAATCGGCTTCCCCAAATGCCCCCCCCATGGCTCTACAAACCACTTTTGCCCCCAACAAAAGCCTGCAAAAGAAGGGGAAGACTTGTCTCCCTGGCGGCGGTGGTTGGTGATGATTATGGCTTTTGATCGAAGATACGGCCTTCATGATGCCATTCGCTCAACAAAACGTCGGCCATAATTTGGGCATGGTGATCGGGGTTAACAACCGGAAGTGAGGTTTTGTAAAGAACGTTAATCGCTAATCTGAAAGGGATCGTCGTTTGTCAAAAGCGGCTTCTTGTTTTGAGGCTCTTTACGGCCCAAGCTGCTCTCCAAACATAAGCTAAACTAAGCCTAACTAACCTTTGTAAGCTTAAGCCCAAGCATAAGCTTTTAAACGAAGTCTTTGCTAACCAGCCTAACCTAAGCCAAACCTGAGTAAGCCCAAGCTAAGTCTAAGCTACGCCTAACCTAAGCCTAAGCCCAGCCAAAACCAAGCCCAAACTAAGCCAAAACCAAGCCCAAACTAAGCCAAAACCAAGCCCAAGCCAAGCCCACGCCTATGCTGCCTAACAAGCCTACGCAAAGTTAAACCACGGCCTAAGCCTAAGCCAACCTTAAACTCAAAAAATGTTCCCCACCATAACATTAATAGCTCTAAAAAGGTCGGAAAAATTGTAGTAAAATGTGTAAATGAAAGTATTTAGGCCCCTAGAACGATAAAAGCTCATTTTTGAGCGATTCCGACCCGAAAAGTAGTTTTTTGGGCGAGGACTGTAAAGCCAATCAATCTGGATCCAGCACTGTCTATAGGTGTGGGTCGTACCGTCAGTGGCGTACTGTAACTAACGGAAGTCATCGGCTTTCTAATAAGGATGCGGACGCGGCGCTCCACTAGACGTTTACGTTACATGGCAACATACATACTACTAAATACTAGACTGTCTGGTCGAACCCGCCCCCCACGTCCACCTCCCTTTTTCTGAGCACCACGAATTAGAGGGCCGCACGCGCGCCTCCCGGGACAGCCAGGAACAGGCCATGTTCGCTGGACGCGACCTCGACGGGTCTCGAGCATCCTGACGTAGGAAACCAAAAAAACTCCAAAAAAATCGGCTACGCGCCTGAACACTATGCTTTGTGGCCGGTGGGCAATTTTGTCCAAAGAATGACTCATTTCTGGAGCATTGAAAGAGTTTTGAATTGCACTGCTCGTGATTCGACAGCTTCCAATTTTTTATAAGCATCCAATTTCTCCAAAATAAAGAGCGGAAGTATTTTTAAGCGTTTTTTTACTATTCGTAAACGTAAAAACTTGAGGCCTTTTGACTAAAAAACAAATAATATGGATTTTTCGACCAAAAATGTCCGAGTTTCGTCCAAATTCTAGCTTCAAAATGCTTCGAAGTTTTTTTGAAGGGTATAAGTTATACCAAAATGTTCGTCTTGTTCTGCTGAGTATTTTGGTATACTTTACAGCCCTGTAGGATAACGAGGAGCCGAGATACGGTGGCAAAGGGTCAGCTGGTGGTGTCTGCAGTTTAGACATAAGCTATTAAAATACAACAAAAATTTGCTTGCTAGTTTGAATCCGATCCGGTTGGCCGGGAAAAATTTGCCGAGCTGGCTTCCATTTCGTCCTTTCACCTCGGGCGATGTCCGACGCTTCCAGCCAAGAAGCTTCTGAAGAGTCGACCGATGAGAGCTCAGTGTCTAGGCATTTTTCGCGGTTAATTCCTAGAGATTAGGGTTTAATAGAGACAAAATGCCCTTTTTAAGTTTAATTTAGTTCATTGACGGACGCATTTTCAACATCCACCGCACGCGTGACATTTTCAACAGCGTCCCCCTCATGCGTGACAGCATCGTCAAACTGCTCGTCCGTCAGCTGGTCGTACGAGGGCGAAGGTGCGGGGGTTTTCTATATTTTATATTGTTGAGCTTTTGCGCGTCGCATACTTACTTATTTTTGAATATTTCTAACAATTACTCTACCTTATGAAACATAACGTGACAAATTTTCATTGAAAAAAAGAAAGAAATAACGATTTCGACTAAAATGTCGAATCTTAGGTTGTTTTTATGGATTTTTTCATCAGGAATATGGCTAAATTTTATTAAAAGCACTAATAACACAACTGCTACACGTATAGTACGTTTTGGCCGTAGAGGAGCAAATTAGGACGAGAATTCCGAAAGAACCTACTCAGAAATAACCTAGAAATCCACAGCCATGGTTATCTTGAGTTGCAGCGCCAACAACGTCGTCGAGTACAGCTTCATCGAGCGCCTCCTCCGGGGTCACGACGACGATTGGCTGCGGAGAAAATGGTTGGAGCCTCGGCTAGACTGCGGATCCCTGGCGCCAGCCGCAAGCATTTTGTACCGTTTCTCGACTCCTCCTTATCCTAGAGGGGTGTAAAGTCTACCAAAATACTCAGCAGACCAAGACGAGTATTTTGGTATACTTTACACACCTGTAGGTCAATGGAGAGTCGAGATACAAAGGTTCGGGGGTTGGCTGAGGGGCGGCATCTGCAGTCTTACCGAAGTCTGTAGCCCGCTACAACCTCCCATTCAGTTTTGCTGACCCTCCCTCCCGCCCTCTTCGCGGACGTGATCAGTTCCCTGGATGCGGCGACGCTGATCAGCATCGCCGGCGTCAACAACGAGCTGCGAGACCGCGTCGAGCAGGCCCCGAAGCGATGGGAGTCGGCTGAAGCTGTGCATGCCGGTTACGTCATCGACTACGACTACTGCGCCTCAGACGATGCCCGAATGTTGCTGCACAACGCGGTGGTGGCTGACCTGAATGAGGGCTACATTGCCAACATGCCCGACAGGCGCGGGCTGCAACACCTGCCCAACGAGTTGCTGCGCATCATCGCCGATGATCTCGGTATCAGGGATTTCCGTGTGGCGGCCAACGCTTTGCCGAGGTTCTTCTATGCCGGCCGAACCAATGGCTTAATGTCGGTAACATTGATGCTTTAGGTTCTTTTGCATTATCGGGGGGGGGGGGGGGGGCTTTTTTGTAAGGTCTAGAAATGTTTAGTGTCTAGATAGACGCAAAAAGCCGAAATTCTGTTCAAAAATCTCAATCGGCCATTTTTGTTCGAAAAATCGAAATTTTTATCTTTTTTAAAGATTTTGTAAACTTTTTACGTTTAGGAATGGTAAAAAGGTAATGGTACATGGTAAAGTCAACCCCCCCCCCCGCTAACGAACCAGAACCCGATCCCCTTTCAGGTTCCGACGCGTTAGCGTATGGGCCAAGCAGCAGCCGGATGGGAGCGAGAAGACCGTGATCCACATCGACGGCCAGCGATATAATGACGACCTGACGGCCTTCCTCATCAACCGAGCCACCACCGTGTACACGATCAGGCTCGACAGGACCATCACAGAATTGCCCGCGTTCGTCACGCGGTTTCCGAAATGCCACGAATTCGATTTTTACCTAGATGAAGTAGGCGTTTCGATTTTTTTTGCAATTTCCAGTAGTTTTACTAAATAAATTTATATTTTAACTAGGAAAACTGCCCTAAAAACCCGTTAAATTTGCTAATAAAAGCCGAATTTTGTTCAAAAAAAAAAACCCGCGATTTTTGGTCGAAAAATCGATATTTTTGTATTTTTTTTAATCAAATGTAGCAACATGTCGAGGCAAGACTGTAGACGATTTGCAGGACGTTGAAGATCCGACGTGGCCCGGCCTCGTCGATTTTTTGAAGCGACAGCGCATGGCCAATCTGACGATCAACAGCCCATGTCTGCGTGCTGAACCCCTCTGGGCTGATGTCCTTCGAAGCGGCGGATGGACGAATAAACGTCTGGCCGGCTGGAAATCTGTCACAGTACGTCATAGAGACAAGGCAGATGAAAAAGCGGAAAGCACTTACAAGGAGGCGTTTTTTAGCGCGAATTGAGTTTTGCCTATGCCTATTTCGTGCAGAAATTCAGCCTTTTCGAATTTTTCTGAGCATGATGTGCTACTAGGTTTTTCCTACATTTTTTTCTGACGTTTTTATAGGCTTTCAAAGTTCTTTTTCGAGGAAGAAATCGCCATTTAGCAGCTTCTCAAAAGATCTTCGGAACCAGCGTGAATTTTTGCAAAAAAATAGGCCTGGTCTCGACTCAAAACACAATTCGTACAAACAAACGTGCCCTTGTTAGCAGCTCGAGGTGTCCATGTTCCTAGGCTTATCGCATCGGACCAAGCGTTTAGATTCACAACGTTATCGCCGATGATTTGCGCCTGCTCACCCGATTCAACGGAACTACCCTCCGCATCATCTGGTGCCCTCATAACCCGCCCGACGAAAATCTTGTCCTTTGGGACTACATTAACAATATGGCCGATCGACGCCTCGAAATTGGGCAAGGAATTACGGTGGGTCAATTGTTCAAACGTGGTAGCCATTTCCGGACGCTTTCGGGGAGAAGACAAGATTTAGGTACATTTCAACCAAGGGGCGATGCCCAATATGTCGAGCCCAACCATCCTTTTCGCCGGGAAGACGTTGAGCGCAGAAGGAAGGGGTTACTCGTTGCGATATGTGCTGCGAGACGGAACCTTGCCCTACACAATCATAGCTCAATACGACACCCTGCGCCTGAGAAGCGTAGAGCCCCGGACTGACGGCCAGCCGCACCCGCATCCACGTACCTATCTATAGCTTATGAAGTAAGCGAGAATAAAGGCTGCAAGGACCTTCGGGTTATAAAAGCCATTCCACAAAAGCTCATCCCTTTCCAGATTAACGACATGCACGACGTCGGCAAATTCAAGTCGAAAGGAAAAGCTGATTTATGGCCCTGTCGATGCTCTTTTTCCTCTTTCTGGTCTTTGTTAATTCTACGGCCATCGTTCTACGCTTGTGATGATTTTTGTAATGTGTTTTAATGTGTAACTACGTGGTTCTCGGTGAATAAAGGGAAAAAAGTTAGACAAAGCGATGGATACAACGAAAACAAATTCACCTTGTGGGGGTTTGCATTTTAGCGGCCCAATTATAATTACGGCCGCTATAATACGGCGTGATTTCGGGCCGACAGATTTTCGAGATTTTGGCATGTCATTTCCAGCTGCGACCCGTAGTTTTGCCCAATGCATAGGAAGCTTTTTGGGTGGATGGCCTTTCGGGGAATCGATCATTGGGAACCAGTTTTAGTCAGTTAAAACTCTTGATTTATGAGTTTTCGAATCCTATTCGGAAAATTAGCGCTAATAGCGAAATTGCCCTGTAGCTTTCCGTTCCGCCGTGATACTATGCAAGCGGGAACAATGAGGTCCCGCGAGAATGCATGAGCACACGCAAAGAATGCAAAGAAATAGAAAAGAACAAATTTTTAACTTCAAGGTTTTTACAAAGTTCAATGTCATCCGTTCGGAGGGCAAAACCCTTGAATGAATGGCTGACGGAAGCGACGGAGACTTTGCAGCCCTATCTGCACGCCGAAGTGAGCAATTTACACTGTGCATTTTGATCTTTAGGTGTCCGTGGTTTCGCTGATCGGCCGAGACACGTTCCTGGCGCGCAAGTCGAACGAGCTGAACAATGCTCTTGGCGCAAAGATCTTCGATTCATACGCAAGCGGAGGAGGATCATCGGTTTGCATTCTTGATCCAGTTACCCCTTGCCCAGATCGACGTGTACTTTTCACTCGACGAAGGCTCCATTTTCTTGGTGCTCAACGGCTTCAATGATTTACCAGACCTGCTACAAATGCTCGAAGGTGCGGCGGGAACGGTAATCCTGCAGTAGTGAAAATGATAATAAAGTTTTCAGCCGCTCTTCGAGACGATCGGCAATGCTGAGAAGCGATACCTGCAGTTGTTCACATTTATCAGCGTCGTCTCGCACCTGATTTTGTTCGTTGAACAAGGCTGTCGTTTCGATGTTTCCTTGGCAAGGACTTTGAAAAGTGTCAACAAAATGAGGTAGTACTAACAAGTTTTCACGACTTATCATTTGTAGAATTGCGACGACCAACTCTATCTTGAAGGTTTTACCCAAGAACCTGCTGAAAGCCAACCCAGAATTAGATAAAGAAGGCCGTTTTGCCGTGCCACGGTCAGTCGAAAAAGGCCTCATGTCGAAACGAAATTTTAGTTTTGCCTTCGCCTTCCATCGGAACAAAATTAGGCAAGACCTTGGCGCGACGAAGAAGGTAATATCGTTGAGTAAAATAGACCTATTTTTATAGAGAGAACTCTACGAGAAGCTCGAGGAAAACCTGGAGCAGCAGATCTACAACGTGTTTAAATTGTTGCGGCTTATCGAGAATAGCCATAGGTATGGGCCTTTTTCGAAGAAGAATGTTTTTGTAGGGACAACATGCTGGGATACCTGCCTGGCAAAGCTCCGTACGCTCAATTATTGCCGCCGGAGACGATAGACCACGTTACTGAGTCGCTGCTCATCCTCGCCGGCGATAGAAAGGAGACTGATGTTGAAGAGTCAGGTTGGGATTTATCCTCGCTGTCGATATGTTTTTAGAATTCCCATTTCTCCACTCATTGCTCGATGCTATCAGGGCGCCCGACGAAGAGCACATTTTTTTGGTAGTTATTGTAGTTTTTTCCCTAAAAGTTCGTAGCGGCCTCGCCTCGGGCAATTCATCTCCGTGGCCAAAGCCATCCTGCCGGTAATCCTGGACGATGATGCGATACAGAAACGAAAGCTCGATGGGCTTTTGAACCGGGAAGCTCGTTTTATTGATAGGTAAACGATTGTCTGGTACCAACCCCTTTTTCCAGCGCAGTCCTCTACCAATTTGGGCAAAAACCGGCGGGCGCTGGTCCCAGAAACGGGTCGGGGCGCTGGTCTAAGGGCTAGTAATATTGCATTTTTTTCGGCGCCTTCGGCGCCATTGTTGCCCCCTGATTAAAGAAGGCACCTACCTGATGTATTTTGGATGTGTTCTCCGTATTTTGAAATAAATATTTTTAATAAATTTTGTGTTGCATGTTATACGACGAAGCAGTCTAATTAAACTGAAGAGGATGATGACGAAAACCGAGCGGAGAAAGTACATGGACGACAATTCTCTAAAATTCATTCTTGCTAAACTTCCTATGTATTCCTACAGACTACAGACTACAGACCTATATATTCTTTCCACGTCAACGTCAGCTTCTGATTCATGCAAAATTTTATTCGACGCTTCCGACGGATGTAGCTCATCGTGACGTTCGCACTACAATTCTGGAATTAAGACGGTGGAATACTAAAAATCTTACATCATCCTGCCTAAACTTCTCAATTCTTGCACCTGGAATTAATTTCATCGCAAACTTCAACTGAATAAGCGGCAAAAATTTAGAAATCGTCTACTACTGCTGCTACTAAAGTTCAGAAAAAATTTGGAGCCGTTTCGAGTATCGTTTCGGAATTCCTAACCCCGGAACCTAACGAAAATCAGTTAAATCCCGTACTCGGCGCTCTTCTGGACGATCGCCCCCAAAGTCGTCCTCATGAATGTCCATGGTACCGTACACCTTAGGGTACAAAAATCTAAGCGATCCGATCAGTTTAAGGTACCCTCCGGGACCAGCGAATGTTTACCTTAAAAATCATCGACTTTGGGCATTGGACATGTTTTGGTCCCCGTTGACCCCCTTAACCTGAACCGATCAGGACCAAATTTGGCCTCATGATACTACAGAGTCTGCTTTGTCGGATCCCACAGCTATTTGCCCCATTAGTCTCATAACCTCGGAGCTTGGGACCAGCGAATTTCGAATCTTTTGGGCGGACCTTTCAGTTTTTCCCGCCTAAGTCTTACATTTCGGATTTTCCTTGCCTGTCCTCTCTCATCCATAGAAAGCTTTTATTTCTCTTTATTTTGATATATAAATCATAAAATTCGGCCCCGAGTACGCGGAGCTACGGACCGGCGACACTTTGGGCGGGGTCCCGTTTCACACTTTTATTAAGGGTTTGGCACCTAAAAATTCATAACTTTTCAGTTTCTGCATGGATCGTCCCCAAAGTCGTCCTCATGAATGTCCATGGTACCGTACACCTTAGGTAACAATATCTAAGCGATCGGATTGGTTTAAGGTACCCTCCGGGACCAGCGAATGTTTACCTTTCACACTTTTATTAAGGGTTGAGCCCCTAAAAAATCATATCGCTGCGGTCCTTGGCTTTATCGTCACCAAATTTATTAAGCATGATTAGCAGGCTATCGTATACAATGTGCAAAAGTTTCTAAACGTTCCGAGCTCTGTAAGCCACTCTTCGGGACGGTGAAAGGTAGGTGAAAGGAGCCAAACGGGTTATGCCCAAAGTATCAGCGGTCCCTAAGGGTACTTTAAATTGCTCCAACCGCTTAGATATTTTTAGACATTGTCTAATATGTCTTGATCATTATGCTGTGCAATTTTCAAAAATATCGGAACTATTACTGAAAAGTTATGATTTTTTAGGGGCTAAACCCTTAATAAAAGTGTGAAAGGTAAACATTCGCTGGTCCCCGAGGGTACCTTAAACCAATCCGATCGCTTAGATATTGTTACCTAAGGTGTACGGTACCATGGACATTCATGAGGACGACTTTGGGGACGATCCATGCAGAAACTGAAAAGTTATGAATTTTTAGGTGCCAAACCCTTAATAAAAGTGTGAAACGGGACCCCGCCCAAAGTGTCGCCGGTCCGTAGCTCCGCGTACTCGGGGCCGAATTTTATGATTTATATATCAAAATAAAGAGAAATAAAAGCTTTCTATGGATGAGAGAGGACAGGCAAGGAAAATCCGAAATGTAAGACTTAGGCGGGAAAAACTGAAAGGTCCGCCCAAAAGATTCGAAATTCGCTGGTCCCAAGCTCCGAGGTTATGAGACTAATGGGGCAAATAGCTGTGGGATCCGACAAAGCAGACTCTGTAGTATCATGAGGCCAAATTTGGTCCTGATCGGTTCAGGTTAAGGGGTCAACGGGGACCAAAACATGTCCAATGCCCAAAGTCGATGATTTTTAAGGTAAACATTCGCTGGTCCCGGAGGGTACCTTAAACTGATCGGATCGCTTAGATTTTTGTACCTAAGGTGTACGGTACCATGGACATTCATGAGGACGACTTTGGGGGCGATCGTCCAGAAGAGCGCCGAGTACGGGATTTAACTGATTTTCGTTAGGTTCCAGGGTTAGGAATTCCGAAACGATACTCGAAACGGCTCCAAATTTTTTCTGAACTTTAGTAGCAGCAGTAGTAGACGATTTCTAAATTTTTGCCGCTTATTCAGTTGAAGTTTGCGATGAAATTAATTCCAGGTGCAAGAATTGAGAAGTTTAGGCAGGATGATGTAAGATTTTTAGTATTCCACCGTCTTAATTCCAGAATTGTAGTGCGAACGTCACGATGAGCTACATCCGTCGGAAGCGTCGAATAAAATTTTGCATGAATCAGAAGCTGACGTTGACGTGGAAAGAATATATAGGTCTGTAGTCTGTAGTCTGTAGGAATACATAGGAAGTTTAGCAAGAATGAATTTTAGAGAATTGTCGTCCATGTACTTTCTCCGCTCGGTTTTCGTCATCATCCTCTTCAGTTTAATTAGACTGCTTCGTCGTATAACATGCAACACAGAATTTATTAAAAATATTTATTTCACAATACATACGATCAATGTTATCGGTAGGACAGAAAAAGTACGGGTTTACATGCCATAATGATACATTTTCCTCATTTTTCTCCGAATTCTGATCGCTTTTTCAAAAAAATCTGCGCCGCTGCCGCGGCGCTGGTCTAACCCCCAGTCAGCCGCCGCCTGGCGGCGGTCCATTTGGGCACTTTTGCAAATCTCTAGCACACTGTTCCAGCGTTTCCGAGAAGGCACTCGAAGAGGCAATTCGTGAATACGAAAAAGAAGAGGCTAATCCAAGGCATGCTCGCGCGAAATCGGCAACGGCCAGCGGGAAACTGTTCACAAAAGCCGAGCACGATAAAAGGGTGCGTTTGTTGCATACTAAAAAATTAAAAAATTGTTTTTAAATAGAATTATATCTTTTTCACTTAATTCTTTATTTATAGTTTGCCCGAGCGGTCAGCTACCTGAAAAGCGTGGCGCCAGGTGACGCGAAGCCGCTGATCGACAAGCTGCAAGATGAATGCGCGGGCCGCTGGCAAATGGGATGTGATGTCGTCTCCCTGACCGGTTTATCTTGCGAATTAACGGTATGATTTCGAGTATGTTCGTAAGGTATATTTGATGAAATCCCGGATTTGTTAAAGGTTAATAGAATCATTTTAGGCCCATCCGGCGGCCGGTGATCTTACTAAAGACCGCGACGAATGGACCCTGCACTACTCAGCGGCCCGACATCTCCACACATGCGGATGTGGGCTTCATCAGGCGCTGCGCAACGACCCATTTTCGCTGAAGGTTTGAGTTGGAAATCAGTTAAACTTTGTGTTCAGGACGCAAACTACGATTTCTATATGGAAAATGCGAACTTCAAATGCGCTTCCACGATGGACATGCACAAATTTAATGTGCTGGAAGAGAGGGACGCTGACGGGGAATTGGACACTGGCGAATGGACGGCGGCTAGGCCCGAGCCAAGGTTATTTTTGTGAAATTCCTAGGCGGGCGAGCATATCTTCGAAAATCAGCTCGAAAAAATGCTTTTCTGACAAGCGCCTTTTTTCGAAAAGTCTGCACTTTTAAAGCCAGAATTTTTAAGTGAATTTCTATTTCTGCCACTTGTAATTTTTTCCTGTCGGTAACTAGAAGCAAATTGCTCGAAATTCTTAATTTTGAAGAGGTGAATTGCGAAGAAAACTGATGAAAACTGCAAAATTGTTCCGAAAGAGTTAATTGCGAGAAATCGCTTTCGAAATGTGGTTTTTCGAAAATCCCCATGAAAATTCTCTGAAATTCTGGCTTCAGGCTGCTGATCGATTGTCGAGAAACACGCAGCGGATCCCAGGAGAACGCTTCGGAACCCGACGAGCTGGACAGCGTCGTCAACAGCGATTTTTCTGATCAGGTTCTGAGCGGCGGAAACCCGATTATTTGATCTTTTGTAGGAACCAAAAGCGCCCTCGTTGGATGAGGGGCAGGGTGCCGCCGAGGAAACCGTCGAACAACCCAGCGTTCGATGCGACGAAGAAGCGACCGTGTCTCGTGAAGACAAGAAGGGACCGCGTGCCTTGATATGCAGCTACGAGGAGCGGCGCAGCAATTTGAAAGCCAGAAATGTTGGTGGTTTCTGCGATATTAATTATAGATGTAGATCTTAGATTTAAGATACGTAATTTTAGGTGGAATTTTGCGACGGCGTACCCCACACACTGATGCCCGGGCTGCCGCTTTTCCCTTCTTGGCAGCTGACAGTCGTTGGAGCCAGCAATTCTTACTCGTGAGGAAAATTCTCGTTTTTTTTAAAATTTTTTTAGGCACTCGTATGGTCTGCGTGATATGCCTGGATTCCGACCGGGCACTGACTATCTTTTGCCCTATGACGTCTATTTGGAGGTAATTTTGTTGCGATAATTTTAAATGTCATTTTTGGTCGACTCGGCATGCTGGACCCGGGATCTGAACTACATGCAGCAGGGGAATTCGAGCGAAGCTGCCCGGCATAAAAGTCGACGGAGGGCCGGCGGGGCGTCGGTGGAGAAGGTAAAAAGCATAGCTTGGCCTGGAAACCATCTTTTAGGTGAAGCTCTTCATCGGCTTCGAGTACGAGTGCCCGAAAGGTCATCGCAATTTCCTGGGTGGTGACCTCGAGCCGGTCCCTTTGGCTAAGGTAAATTTTCAGCTTGCTTATGCTAGCCTTTTTTCACGCTTTGTTGATGTGCTTTCAAGCAGTTCAAACTTTGAAACTTTTCGATTTTGCGTGAAATTCATCATTTTAGGGTTTAAAAAATTGTATTTTGTATGTTAATAAAACAAACATAGTTTACCTAGCTTTCCTTCAGCGATAATATGAAACTACCCTGTTTTAAAACTCGTGATTCTAGGGTACCACGGCAAAAGAGATGATTCCAAAGGACGCGGCGGAACAATTGCTCTCCAAAGTGCTGCCAATCTGGAGGCCGTGCACTTGCCGGTGGATGGCTATTGATTTATTTTTGAAAGATTTTTGTAGGTCTACGGTAATTGGGCAATTGATGCGCGTCCACATTGTAACACCAAAAGCCCCGGTGCAGGTGACGATCGACCCGCACGTACAGGTGGAATTGTAGTATAGAAGTGGTATAATGTCTGATTTCTAGGTGGGCTCTCCAGAGGGTCACTTTTGCACTGGCGAAGGTCCGTTGGAGCTCGGTTGGGCAAAGTAAGTGAATTCACAATTTTTAAGAAATGTCTGGTATAGATATTACGTGCTTCGGCTACCGTACATCTACTCAGGACTCGATGGCCCAGTTCTTCCACCATCTGAGGTACGAGAAAATAGGATGTCGAAATTTACTACGCATCAATTTCCGGAGAACTCTCTGAATTCTATGCAAAAACAAATCGTGATTTAGACATTTCGGTATTAGGAGAATTCGGGATTACGAATGTCGGTATTATGAATTTCGACATCTGGTGGCTTGATTGCTAAATTCGGCATTTGGAATTCCGATTGAAATGAAATTTCCGATTCTGGCAATCGACATTATGAAATTTCGACAGTGTGAAATTATGGATTGTCGGCATTTTTTTATTCGCCCATTTTTAGGTGGGCTCGTTCGGGCGTTTCTTCGCCAACAGCATCAAGGTCACCTACACCCCGTTCTCCTGGATGTAATTAGTTTCCTTCCAGCGCTCCTTAATGTTGTGTTTGTTGAACATGTAGAAAATAAATTTTATTAATTATTAATGGCACCCTCCTCGAATGGGGCGTTTATTAGGGTGATGTACAGGGCGGCGAGGTTAGTACTTGTGGGGGACGATGTAGTCGATCATGCCGAGGAAGAACTCGGTGGATGGGGGTAGATGACCGGATGTTTCTGTTGCTGCCGTCTCGTCGTCGCCGATGAATATCCGCCTATATTAGTTTTGTACACAAAATTTTTGTTTGATGCTCATTTTTCAGTGAATTACCTGATGCGTTGATGAACATTATCAGCGAGATGTAGGAATGTGTGGGAAAGGGTGTTGGCCTAAATTTTTGAGGGTGCTTTTGCATGATCGGGGGTCGACGTCAACTTTTTATATAAATCGAGGACTTGTTTATCGTTTTTTTAGTAATGCTAAATTTAAAAACTCCAGTTTTTTGTTAAAACACAGATATTCGACGGAAATCTCGAATTTTAAAGTTTCTTTTTACTTGAAATACGTAATTTTTCTCATAAAATAGAGGAATCCTTGCTTTCTACCAAAAAAATATCGACTTTGAACAAAAATTTCAAATTTTAGAACATTTTTGTATGTTTTTTGGATAGTTTTTCGAAGTATATGACGAAATTGAATAAAAATCATTAAAATAATGCGTTTCTAGGCAGAGCTCGATCAAAAGACGCCCCCCCCCCCGATAATTCCAAAGAAATTTTTACAGGTTATCTTTCGGAATAGATTCCTATAGATCAATGTAAAATATGAATTTACCTTTACAACATTATGGCATGACGCGTAAATACCGTTGACGAAAATGTCACCGGAGCGCGTCATCGGCGCGTAGACGCCCTTCTCCTCGACGACTTCAAGGTGGACGATCCGAGTCGGGTGCACCGCTGATCAACGTTTTCCGCTTGATTTGCTATTAATCTACCTCGATCTGCCCCAATCGCATATACGCAGTCCCCGGTTTTCAGCATCTCGGCGAAAATCATCTCCGTGGCGAACGTCAGGCCCGAGCAGTCCACCTGAAGCTCAGAGGGTTTCAATGCAGATTTGCAAAGCTCAAGCTCACCCGGTAGATGAAGTGTTGGGGCGTCAACTTGAGCGTCTTTTCATCCTGGGTTCTCAGCTGCACAAAATAGGCCGTGGTGGAGGGCAGGCGATGCAGCCAGGAGTCGACGCGGGTGAAGGTTGTCTATTTTGAGAGATATCGATTTTACGCCAGGTTTTTACCGTATTTTGTTCAGCCGTCAGCACTTGTTCGCCTACTCGAAGCTCGTCCATTCTTTTGAAGCCGGAACTGGTTTCAACCTGAAGGGGTTCTATAGTACTTTCGCGTTATCGGGGGACCAATCCTTTTTAAATAAGTCCGGAACTTTCTAATTACCTAATAATAAAAACTTTAATCGGTTTTCTTAAAATTTAACGATATTGTAGGTGGAAAATCCATCTCAAAACTTAGAAAATTTGACATTTTGGCCGAAAATCGGCCATGTTTTGTCGGAAAATTGATATTTTTGTTTTGTTTATCAAAAAGTGTTTGGTATTTGCAGTAATTGCAAAAAAAGGATTAGAAACACTGTTCTATTGAGTTTAGAAAAATGTATCCAAAGGACCCCCCCCCCCCCCGATAATACCAAAGCACCTACTTACCAGGGTATCACCGGTGAAACAGGCCGGAATACCGGAGGATACCGGATAGTAGTATCCGGGCGATTGAACTGGTACAACCTGCTCGCCGACCTGAAAACGTTCAGACTTTCGTGCTAACCGGTGTTGCTCCTTTTTAAGTTTCAACTTAAACTTTTAACATAAAAAAATTCAATTCTAAGACCTTATTTGAAATGAGGAGAACATAACAACTATGGGCTATGCATGCAGTCATACTTGTTCCTCGGTCTCGCTCTCCATAAGGTGGGACGTTACTCTCAACGGCTTCCTCGGCTAAGCGGGTTTTAGGAACTGATAGTTTTTTTAAGAGAATTTAAAATAGATAAGCATCATTTTTAATTAGTTTTCAATCATTTAATAAATCACTATATCCGTTGGCGTATCTCGATAGAAAAAATGTGGTACCTGAACGTATTGATCCCGTTCTACGTACTGCTGTGGCTGCGGGGGTGGGGCAGCGTCGGCTGGGGGCGGCTGGGCGTAGGAGGCGCTCGGCGTTTGGTAGCTGGCCGGCGACTGCAAGGAGTTCAGGTTTTTAATCTTCAATTTAAGCCCGGATAAACTGAAAGCGCGAAACCGAGGTTGTGCTGTGAAAGGTGCGATTACTGGTACTGTACTGTGAACGGGGGGGGTGGATGAAAGATATACGGCCTTTTCAAACAACCTAAATTTTTTGCGTTTTGTACCGTATTTTATAGAGTTTTTGATCGCGAAAAAAGCGCAAAAACAACTTCTCGAAATTTCAGGAATTTTAAAATTTTCGGGAATTTCATATATTTTTACCAAAAATTCCACTACCCCCCCGCTAATAGACCAGCAGCCTATCTTGTGTAGTTTTCCGCGCACATGCTCTGATATTGGAAATTAAGTTAATTTTGGCGGTATTAGTAAAAAGTATAGAACAAAATGGACTCACTTTTCTTACCTGCGGCCCCTCATCCATCGCGGAGAATTCTTCGGTTGGCGCGCCGGCGGCCGAGGCTTCGGATACCTTATCGAGGATTCGGGAGATGTCGCTGGGCGCGATGTTGACTGAATTTTCGATAATTTTAAGTGACCTGTCCACTAACCGTCATTTTCGGATTCTGGCGGATCTGGGATGCAGTTCATCCGGGTAACCGTTAGCTCGTAGGCAATACTAAAGGCGTATTTGGTTATGTTTTTAGAAACAAAAATTACCAGACAAAAAGACGAACAAAAATAAAAATAAAAATTACCCTCCGTCATCCACATCGATTCGCTTAATGTTGGTGATCAGGTCGAAGCCCGTTTGACGACCATCTCGGATCACCTCGCCTAAACACGACGTTTTTCGCAAGGAGGATCTCACAAGGTGCTTTTTTGAGGGGATAATGGAATTTTTCGATGCTTTATAACTCCTTCGATAGAGCTGAAAATTCTGAACAAGACCCTTTTGAACTGACTGCGATCGAAAATTTCTCAAAGTTTCAATTTGTCGAAGACGGTTATCATTCAGCGGTTTTTAAAATGCGGAATTTGTTAAGAATTTCAAGCTCTATCTAATGTGCTATGTAACATCAGCAAAAGTGCCGTTCTGGCCTTAAAAATTTTTTGAAAACCCATTTTTACCTCCAGAATAAACCTCGGCGGGTCTGACGACCGGTCGGCCGACCTCAGCAGCAAATTTCAGGCCCTCATAACGGCAGCATTGAAGTGACAAGCTAAAATTAACGTCAAAATCTCCAATCAAAGTCTTACTCTCCGTTCGATTTGGCCAGGAAGCCTCCAACCCACGACAGCGACCCGGTGCACGAAGAAGAGCCATATCCGGTTGGGCACTCGGCTTGTTGCGCTTCAGCGTCCTAAAAAAGAGGCTAGGATCGAACCTCGAAGACTCACCCGATACCGCGAGCGGACCCTCGTCAAATCGCCCTCCCGCATGAAGCCATCCTCGCCCTCGGGACCGGGCTAAAAAGTTGTTTAGTTGTTCTGACGAGGTTTTGAAAAGGCGCTCTTCGCATGAGTGATCTCACACAGTGTGATAGATTTTTGAGAGTTATTAAAATTACAATTTTTCGATTAACAAATTTCGGCATACAGATTTGTGGGAAAGCGCATCCACATAACGGGAATTGTGCTACTTTTTCCAAGGGGAAAGCGCAATTACACACGAATTTGAGCGCGTTTTAGAGTCCGGAATTTGCCGAGAATGCCTTCTAAAAGCGCTGTAACTTTTCAGGGCTATTTTTAGCGGCAAACAATCGAAAGCAATTTCGGACCAGCGAATGATTGTGGATTTGATATTTTAGGCATTATTTCGATCTTTTTCTGCTGAGAAATCGCTCACATTAAATTGGGCATCGTGTAGAACGCGCGTGCCGCCCGCCTCAGCGCCGAAACATTGTGGTGCAGCACAGCCGAGGACGGGCTGGCCGGAGGGTAGCACCTAGAAAAAGTGTTATTCGAAGAATCCTCGGCATACCTCAAAACGGAATGGGACTCCCGAACCACCACAAGTCGCCGAAAGGGCGGCTCCACTGATTGCTGCTAACAGCAAGACGGTTCGCATTTCTAAATTAGTTTTTAGAAAACTTTTATGATGTGAAAAAGTTCATAGCAGAACAAGAGGGTTTTCAGTAGGAACACAGAAGCATACAAAACTCGTAATTACAAGTTACAAGTTGTAGCTCGTAATTATAACGAGACCGGGTTCAAATCTTGTTTTTGCGAAACTATTTTATTTTGCACTGTTTTGAGCTGTAATTATACAATTATCCATACACTTGCGAATCGCGTCGAAAAAACACCTGTAAAAATAGTGAAAATCTCGAAAGTTGGGGGCCAGAGCCCTGGGCTAGGGGTAAAGTAACCCTCTGCCCATTTTACTACCCCTTTTCAATTTTATTTAATGCAAAAAAGAAAGTGATTAGCAAAAGCGTCGGCCGTGCGAAAATGTTGGGTGGCGCGGGTCGGCGCGGGAAAGCATAATTTTGGCGACTAGAAGAAATCGGCTGCGGAGCGAAAAGCCGAGAGGAGGGGCAGGTTCTCGCAATATTCCTGATATTCGGGTCCGGCCCTTGTTTTCTCCTTTCGAAGAAGGGGGATGGCCGGATATCAGTGCCTTTCCCCTGGGTGGCTTCGATCTCAAACCGGAGCCGCTCGGCTTAGCGGAGAACCGATTGTTCAGACAGTTTTCTTAACCCCGGGGAAGGAAGGGCGAACGGCTTTCGGGTCGAGAATAACATCGGGCTTTGATCGTAGCTATACCAGCAGGGCGGGTACTTTTTCGTAAAAAAATGAATTGTACATACAAATAAAAATTTACGCGTGTAAAAATTTGCCAATCAGATTTACGCGCCTGTTTCTTCATCCACATGCTTTTTTCGCGTAAAAAAACGAAGCAAAAAGATTTCAATTGCCTGAAAACTTTAGGAACTTTAGGTAGCTGAAGGCAAAAAGACCAGAAAGGCGAACTTTCGACCAAAAAATTTGAATAAAGTCTGGGAAAGGTTTTTACCGTATTTTGGCTCATTCTGTAGCCTAGAGGTAATTTTTGACGACCAAATTTAGCTTTTTCCTAGGCTAAAAATGTAAAATCCGGATGTTGCATTGCACAGAACTGGATAACAATTCCTGCAAAATTTAAAAACACGACCTGGTTTATGCCAATTTATCTAAGCCTTCCGTGTCCCTTTAACTTTCAAATTATGCGGCATTTCGGTAAATTTTCAGCATTCGCGGCGTATTCCAGCGTACACCTTCAAGATGTCTTCAAAAACGATCAGCAACGCCGTCGATTTGTTCCATGAAGCTTGAGAATCCAGACAGACGCAACAATATCATTCTTCGACGTGCATTCAATATTCTCCCAGTCCATTTGGAGAGAGAGAGTAGGAGAGAGAGAGACAGCGAGGCAGAGAGAGAAGCGGAAAAACCATGGTCTGCCATATATGCGGTGTATTTGAAGGCAATGCATGCAACAACACATTCGAAAAACCATTTATTCGATAGCGCCAAGAAGACGTCTAGGGGTTGTACTCAATGGGGAGATTCTTGCGGCGGACCATGCCGTCACCTTGGAACCATTCGCGGCGGAACTGCTTGGCGGCACCGTCGGGGGTGTTCGTCCACTCGATCGTCACGCGGTCGTTGTTCGTGTCCTCGGCTCCGAATTGGAACGAGTCGCACGAGACGGCAACCTGCAAAATTGGAGATGATCAACGACACGGAGAAGGACGGACTGGCCATGAAGTTGTCAAATAACCGACCAAGACCTGCTCCTTGGGGTCAAGAACTCCGCACGGCGGGTCGACACCGAGGCGCTTCATGTTGGTGGTCTTGAAGGCCCATCCGATGCGACGACCGCCAGAGTTGATGACCTTGATGTGGTAGGTGTGCTTGTCATCGTAGGGGGCGTTGAAGACAATCTTCGTGCCGGGCTGGGTGGTGATGTCACCGGGAGCGACGGATTGGGCCATCTTCGAGAAGTTTGGATGTCGAAGCGGCGGCTGGGATTCTTTTTATACCTGCGAACGCATGGTAATTGGGTGATGGTGATGAGGGATTTCCGGAATTGAGAGTTACAGGATTGAGATTTATTGAAATTAGCCTTTTTCAAGAATGGCTTAGGCTTGGCTTAGGCTTGGGTAAGGCTTGGCTTGGCTTGGCTGAGGCTTGGCTGAGGCTGTTGTTAGGCTTGAGTTTGGCTTAGCTTAGGATTGGCTTCGGCTTGGCTCAGGATTGACTTGGCTTTGGACTTACGATTAAGCTTGGCTTAGTCTTGATAAGTAAATGAGGCTTTTCAAATATTTTAAAAGTATCTAAATCGCTTCTGCTAGGTCGTTAAGTTAATAGAAAATGGACAAAGAGGCCAGTTTTTACAAATTTCATTTTTTGGTAAGTTCACCATATTTTTTTACCGATTTTCCAGGTGATTCCGTTACACAAATCCCGCTATCGGTTTATTGGATAACTGGGAGTTTTCCAACCAACCCGTGGAGAAACAATGTGCTATCCGCGAGCTCCTAGAGGATCCTCGGGACATTGCTGGCTTTCGGACACGACGATTTGCGCGCAGCCTTCACCCGCTGACCTAAATATCCCTCTCTCCCTCTAGGCGTGGATCGGACCGGACACGCCAGGGGGCACAATTCAGTGTCAACCACAATCCCCCTTACCTTTCACTCCCGCGAACTGACCGTTTCGCTTCTCGCACGATCTTCTTTTGGTTTTTTAGGTTCTAGAAGTGGTAGTTTCAAGTTTAGCACTGGACAGCACAGTTTTAGCACTAACAAATTTCCGTGATCTGGCATTTCGCATCTCGCCAATGGTCTTCTAATCTCTTTTTATTTTTCTAGAAGTATTACTTTCACTTTTCGAGTAAAATATGGTCCGTATCTTATTTTCTAACCTTTTTTCAGGATGTTGAGGGTTGCGGCGGCGATTTTGCTGGCTGGGGCCGTGTACGCTGAGCCGATTCGCGGGACAAAGTGCGCCAAGAATCAGGTTGAGCTTTATTAAAAACTTGTTTTGAGTTTTGAGTTTCACTTTTTGCGTATTTTCGCTATAGACAAGCTGCCGAAGCTTTTTAGAAGCTTTTTTGTAGGCTTTTCCGCGGGCTATCAACGCCCATTTTGAAACTTTCTCCCGGTTTTAGTAAAAACTTACGTTCAAACTTAACATTCAAAACGCTTAAAACGAGTTTTTGGTGGGAAAAAGGCTTTAGAAAGCTTTTACAGTTTCCTAAGCGTTTTGTAGCATTTTTACGCCGACTTTCTGGGCGAAAACGTAGGCAAAAATGGCTTGGATGCTTTTTATAGATGAAAACTATCAAAAACAATGTATCAGCTTACAAAAATTAATTACCTTCCTGGTTATCTCTAAAAGCCTCATTTAATAAACCAACTCCAGGTCATCAACCGGCTAACGGTCTACGAGGATGGCGCCCTTGAAGCCGAGTGCGGTCCAGTGCCTTGCGGCATGAGTGCCATGCGGTAACCTTTCTTTTTCGGCTAATGTTCGCGTTTTTCAGATGTATCGAGGACCAAACGTCGTGCCGCGCCGACACCGACATTTTCTCCGGTATGCGATGGGCGGCGAATGGGCAGAGGTATGTGAAAAATTGTTCTAAACTGCGTAAGATACTTTTTAGCGTTCTGCTGCGTTGCTGCACGCTGAAGGTGGCCAACAAGATCTATGTGGGCACGGATCTAGTTTCTGCTGGTGAGTTTTGGGCTTTAAAAAGTGCAATCAAGGTTTAAAAACCTTGTGTATTCAACGTCGCCTGATAAATTTAATTTAAAAATCGTAAAAATCAATTCAGGATCGTACTACGTTGGTGGACCAGTAGCGGAGAAGGATCTCTATGGCCAGGGCGGGCCCGAATACGATTTTATCGCCAATGTACGCACCGAGCAGTAAGTTTTGAAAAGTTTTGCTATTAGATTTTAGGTATTAAAACTTAATTAAAAAGTATTTGGCTATATCGATAGTTTATGGTCTTTAAAAATAGACACTTTGAAGATTTTAAAACCTGTTCCAAGCAATTTAACTTTAAAAAATCCGGATCTTAGGGGAGGAGTGCGAGTCTGGGTGTACCGCATCATGTGCCCGAACGGAGCTGAGGAGGTCGAGACTCCAGCTGGCGAGGAGCAGGAGGAAGAGCAGGAGGTCGAGCAGGAGACCCCGGAAACGTAAGAAAACTGAGATTCAGCAGCAAAAAAATCGTTTTCTGGAGAAAATCGATACAAACCACAAAATATGGCTACTCCGCCTAGCGTCCATTGTGATAAAATATAGACTACTTTTATGGTATTTTTAGTAGCTTTGATTATCAAAATTTTTAAACATTTGAAAAATAAAAGATCAGGATTTTTCGCAATTTTTCTTGAATTTTTACCAAAAAATCTAAATTGTCGAGAATTTAAGTATTTTAGTGCCCCTGCTAACCCCCCGCTAATGCACCAGTACCCAAAATTTCAGCGAGGAGCGCCCGCAGACGCCCTTCGACAAGCGCCGCGAATACCTGATGAAGCGACTCGGCGCCAAGGCCCCCGTTGTCTCGGCAAATGAGGATGAGGTAGGGGAAAATTTGTTGTTTATTATGAATATTATTGATTAAATTATCAATTGAAAGAATTTTTCTAGGTTTTAAAAATTACGAAAACCCCAATTTAAACACATCAGACGCCCGAATCCGTGGCCGCCGACGAGGAGCCCGTCAACCCGCTGCGGTACCGACCACCCAACATGCGGATGCACTAATGGGAGGCTGCGAAAAGTCGGCATCTCTCCGTCTTCGCCAACATTCCATACATCACCACGATTCTCACCGCACGTAATAAAGGGCCAAATATTTGAGGGAATGGACGGGGGACGTGGCATACAAACTACACACTACAAATGGTCGAAATGGTGGCTGCTAGCTTGCCTTTCAAGGAAATGAAATGAATTGAAGAAAGAAAAATGTTCCGATTTTTCAAAAAGCCAGCAGTTGCTTTAAAAAATTAAACTCGTTGATTTGAGGGTAAAAATACAAAATACAGACTTTAAAAAACCGATCAGTGCATGATATTTTCCGAAATGTTCTCTGCTAGCTTGCCCTCAAAAAAAAACAAGATTTCAATTTCGTCGTCATTTAAAAAATTTACATTATTGAGTCAGAGAAAAAATAAGCTATGAAAGCGGCTACCTCGCAGAATTTTCCCGAATGTTCTCTGCTGGCTCGCCTTGGTCAGAAAATGAGGATTCCAATTATTAACCGGGTTTTAACATGAAGCTCGATCTTTAAAAATCAGAAGTAGTACAAGCAACAAAACAATCGATAAATTACGAGTAAATTCCCCAATAATCTTGGCTAGCTTGCCATTAATAGAAAACGAAAATTCTAATTAAACCGATACTACAAGATGAAAATAAAGATCTTTGTTTATTGCTTGAAAATTGAAGTTAAAGGCAGCATCGCAACAGACTCCGCGCGTACTTTGGCGCATTACGTCGTTTTTGCTGTTCGTTCTCCCGGTAACCTATTTGTGTTTGTTTCAAACGGTACGTCAAGAGTATCCATGCGGAATGACCCTGACCACGATTTCGAAATGTGTTTGGGTTTGACCTGTGTACTTTTAAAGGTATTTGGCGAGTCCCAGGTGTTGAGTCGTATAAAAATGGGAGAAATCTCTCTCAGGCCAACATCTCAGGATGATCTTCTCGAGGAGTGCTATCTTTTGTGTATTCTCGTTGTTGCTCCTCGCGACAGCCATTAATGCCGAGACCGATCCGGCTGCGGAGAAGAATGGACTGACAACGCCCGTTGAAGCTACGCAAGATCCGGCGGAAGTCGGTGAAGTGCGGACGAAGAGATGGGGAAGGCGGAGGGGGTGAGTTAAAGGGAAAGTGACGGGGTGGTTCTCACGCGTTGCTAGCGCCTTGCTTTCCGTTAAAGTACGAAAAATTTTCGGAATTTTTTAATTTCTAGGGAAGAATGTATGAAAAAAAGTTTTCTTTTGTGTTTTGTAGGTCAAAATTTTAGAATTTTCAAGATTAAAAAATATTTTTTTATATAACTTTTAGCGATGAAAAAACTAGTTAAAACCCGATGCAAACATTTTATGTTATCAGCCGGTAGGTATAGGCGGAAATACAAAAATTGGCCTACCTCTCGCTGACCCCTGCTAACAGTACAGTACCGTAGGGTAGAGAACGAAAGGCGCGCGGGCGCGTTGCGTATAGCGAGCAAGGGTGAAAAATGAGACACGCAACGCGACCGCGACGCGTCAATGCACAGATCAAGCTAGCAAGGGAGCCGAAAAGCGCTTCTTAAGCCGCGTTTTGCGGGTGCGCTACGTACACTACAAAACTATACAGGCAACGCGTCATTAACCCGTCGAGATGAGATCCCTTTCAATAGGTTTTTTCCAGTTTCCGCCGTGGCTTCAACCGCGGCTTCAACCGCGGCTTTAACCGCGGTTTCCGGCGAGGCCGTTTCGGAGGTGGCTTCGGGCGTCGTGGTTGGGGCGGTGGCTTCAGAAGACCGTTCGGCGGCTACGGCATGGGAATGTACCGGCCATACGGAATGGGATACGGTATGGGTATGCCGTACGGATACGGTGGCGGACTGTCCAGTCTCCTTGGAATGGGAATGATGGGCATGTATGGATAAGCCATTTTTTCGCGAATTTCTACGTTGTTTTTCTCCTTTTCTTTCACTCACGTTCTCTCACTCACTCTCTCTGGTTCTCACGTTCTCTCTCTCTCTCTCTCTCTCTCTCTCGCTTTCCCTGGCTCTCTCAATTGTCGTTCTGTGATATTTGCTTTGTATATTTTTTTGTCAGTCTGATCTCGATATTTTTGCCAATAAAGAGTTCAAATCCAGAGTTTTCAAAAAGTGCATCTAAAGGGAACGAATCGGGAAGGATGCGGCCAACGATAAATCGTAAGCTTTAGTCCAATCCTGCTAAAGACCAGCCATTTTTGAAAAAGGCTAATTTCAATAAATTTCAATCCTGTAACTCTCAATTCCGGAAATCCCTGATCACCATCACCCAATTACCATACGTTCCCCGGTATAAAAAGAATCCCAGCCACCGCTTGGGTATCCAAACTTCTCGAAGATGGCCCAATCCGTCGCTCCCGGTGACATCACCACCCAGCCCGGCACGAAGATTGTCTTCAACGCCCCCTACGATGACAAGCACACCTACCACATCAAGGTCATCAACTCTGGCGGTCGTCGCATCGGATGGGCCTTCAAGACCACCAACATGAAGCGCCTCGGTGTCGACCCGCCGTGCGGAGTTCTTGACCCCAAGGAGCAGGTCTTGGTCGGTTATTTTACAGCTTCATGGTCAGGCCGTCCTTCTCCGTGTCGTTGATCATCTCCAATTTTGCAGGTTGCCGTCTCGTGCGACTCGTTCCAATTCGGAGCCGAGGACACGAACAACGACCGCGTGACGATCGAGTGGACGAACACCCCCGACGGTGCCGCCAAGCAGTTCCGCCGCGAATGGTTCCAGGGTGACGGCATGGTCCGCCGCAAGAATCTCCCCATTGAGTACAACCCCTAGACGCCTACTTGGCGTGAAGGAATAAATGGCTTTTGGAATGTGTTGTTGCGTACATTGGCTTCAAATACACAGTATCTGACAGGCCATGGTTTTTCCGCTTCTCTCTCTCTCTGCCTCACTCTCTCTCTCTCTCTCTCTCTCTCTCTCTCTCTCGTTGTTGTTGAAACCCGTGCAGTGCAACTGCCACTTCTGATGGAATCCACGGAACGCTGGAGTTGAACTTTGTATTTTTCGAGACATCTTGGAGGCGTTCACGAGAATTCGTTCCTAAAATTCCGAATTATTTCGGATAGACAAAGCACTTGATTTTTACAATCAACCTTGTTTGCATGGCAAAATCGCTACTTTGTTTTCTGTTGTTTTACAAGCCAAGCTCTCACCACCCCGCAGAGGGTTCGATAACGATGCAAAAATCGTTTTATCGAGCTAACCAGGGTTGAAAAGCCGCTTCGCGACTTTTCAACCCTGGCCCTGTCCAACCCGATGATATCCCTCGCTTTGCATAAACCTGGCGCATTTTTCTGTCAAAAAAAAGGAAAGCGCGGCCTCTCCCCGATTATCTAGGCTACTCTCATTTCCGGTATATGCTAATTTTTCCTAATAAAGAGGTTGTCCTATTTTTAAGGAAAAACTTAATTTTGGTGTAGAAAACAATCGATTTTGAAAAATCTGATATGCGTGCAGTCATCTACAGGCCATTACGCATCTAATGACGTATCATACGCCCTCTTCATCCCTTCCCCTCCTGAGATATCCTCCGGACACGCTGACGGAAGTTGCATGCAAAGTGGCACACACACACACAGACACTATTTTTTTATATATAGTAGGATTTTGTACTTTCCATCCCAATTTTCATGTTATTCGGACGTCGCTTCGGCATGCGTAACATCTCTAGTCCAAAGTTGCCACCCCCCGCGTGTTGGAAGTAAGTTTTTGCATTGGGGTGGTTTTGGAGGGGAACGAAAAACGGATCATCCCCCCAGTTCTCGGCCGGGGGTCTGGGAACTTCCTGCCCCGGGACGCGGAGGGACCCTCTGCTTAGGGCCCAGTCTGGTGGGTCCTTAGGGAGGAAGGAGCGGAGGAGGAGTAGGAAAAGCAGTTTTCTGTGCCCACTTCACCCAGTTCGTGTCCAATTCCCGAAATAGACAAATGTTAACTGGGGTAGCGGATTTTCCGGGTTTGAGATCCGGTGGAATTGGATTGGAAAACAATTCTTCGGCCATTTCGGATGGATCAACGAGTAGTACGTGCCAGCGACGGAGAGGATTACGGTGTTAGATACCAATTGGAACTATTTCCGGTATTTTTTGGGGGGCATTTTCCCCTTTTTTTCATTTAGGTCGCTCGTGCTCATGCTTTCCAGCTCTCGTTCGTTCTCATGAGCTCTCACTCCTTCTCGCTCTCTCTAGCTAGCTTCGACCTTAAATCCACCTTTCTAAATTCGTCCCTTTTGACGCAGATCGTCAGGGATTGTCGGGCTTCTCCGACTACTCCTCGTGGCCAAAAACCAACCTCTTCAGCGGAACCCCATTATTTTTAGCTTGTCACCGCGGTGTCCGCTGGGTTCTTGAACTCTCCAGGGTGCTAGCAAAGATTATTTAAAAATTTTGAGGCGAACATTGTCCAGTTATCAGGTTAGTACTGTTTCGTAGGGATCGTAGAGTGTTTCGTTTCAAGCAGGGATTTTTTAGGAATTTTCAAATAGCCCTCGCTGCTTCTTGGAATGCCCTCGGATTTTTCCGGTTACGGTATATTGCTCAGATACGGTAGCATAATGTATTCACTCGGAAATAGGGAAAAGCTAGCAGAGATCCTTTAGGCATTCAGGGGAACATGTGTTTGATTAACGCACTTCCAAGTCATGGCATCCTAGCAAATATCCTTTCGAAAACCTGCAAAGTTCCGTTACACTCCTTTTCACAGTTGCACCCTTGGAAATCAGGATATCAGTGATCCGGGCGGTTTCCGGAAGGTGATGTGGGGTGTGTGGCTAAGTGGCGGTACTTGTTGAGTTGCTATCTCTTTCTCGCTCTCTCTCTCGCTCTCTCTCTCGCTTTTCCGGTTCCAACCGACCTTCCGGTCTCCTTCTCCCCCTCTTCTATGGCGTCTTCTCAGATGCGCCGAATCCAATTTAGAAAGACCGGGGCTGGGAGGGGGGTTTGGGGTCGACCCTCGAATTCCGCATACATACACACCCCGCTAGGGCCCACCCCCAAAACTGTCAATTAGGGAATGGGCACTTGTCGACTTTTCGACCCGACAACTTTCAGATCCCGACCGGCTGGATTTTAGTTTTCGGTTTGTACTATTGACGCTTGAAGCCTATCGTACTTCGGTGATTTGAAAACCTCTACCGTATCCAAAAGTGTACCGTATTTATCTACATCATATACATCCGCGACACGCAACGCGAGCTCTTTTTCTTTGCGTGATCCATTGCTACCGTGCTACTGCTGATCCAAGCAGCGCGAAGGAGCCCGCGACACGCGACGCGCGCACGAGTGAACGCGTTGCGTGTGGCGGGCGCGTCGAAATCCATAGGGCATCCATAACCCTTCAAGTTTGTTGCTGCCCCTTTAATTGCTCTCCATGCTCTCCTTGTTGTTTCCCGTCTTTCCTTCGCGCCCGCGCCCTCCATAGAAAAGCTGATCAAGTAGGTTCTCTTCCTGAAGGCGTGGAGGGCCACATCGACTTTCACTAATTAAATCGCGCCTGCCGCTCCTATTTTCTGAGATGCCCCCAGGGTAAGGGAGAGAGATAGAGAGACAGAGAGAGAGCGAGCATCCCTATGTCCATCTCCTCCTCCTCCTTCCAAAAGTTCACTCATCCGCGGCATTTTCCATATAAATAATTCCGGCGGGTTCCTTGTTGCGCGGCGGGAATTCGCAGAAAGTTTCTGCGGGGTTTTGACACGCCGCGATGCGCCTATCGACGACCTTTTGGGTTACGTGCCCCGCGCTACTTCAGACACAATGGGCAATTGTTTTTAGGGATCTTTCTTCTTTCAGGGGTTCTTGGAATTTTAAAGGGACCGGGAAGTGTTTGTTTTTAGGGGTAGAGCTATTAGGAGCTCGTTTCAGTTTCTGTCTCTCCATCTCGCGCTCTCTCTCGCTCTCTCACGCTCTCTCGCTCTCTCTTCCAGATTTTCACGATTCTTTAGGACCCTGCAGCTTTTAGACCCCATTTGACCCCTGGGAACTTAGGGACCCATTCAAAAATCACTCGCGCTGCGTTCAAAAAACATCGACTGGCCCGTTAGAAAAAGCGCGAAAAACGTATGGTTAGAGATGGCCGGGAGAACAATCGGATTGCATTTGTGTGGGACGCCATATTCGAGTGCCAGTGGGTTTTGGGGGCAAAGACGGGTTTGCGGGGGGCGTAGACAGCTGATTCGATTTATGGTTTGGCCCCTTGTGGATGGGGGGAGGCCAAGGATGGGTCCTTCCTAGAACCCGCGTTTTTTCGGGTCGGGTGGTTCGGATGGGACCTTTATAGTAACGTTCGTGGTAGTTGTAGTACTTTTCCCCCATTGTAAGAACTTCATTTCAATCTTGAAAACGCCGTTTTAATTCCTTTTATTTGAAATCTAAAAAATCACCTATTAATGCGGCAGGGACAATTCGAGAAATTAATATAATTAAGTTGAGCAGACGGTCGTTCACTTTCTCCTTATTTCTCTCATTCTCTCTCACTCTCTCTTCTCTTTCTCTCCCTCTCTCTCTCTCTCTCTCTCTCTCTCTCTCTCTCTCTAGTGCCCTGTCTCGTGCTCTCTCCCTTACGGTCTCTTACTATCTCGTACTCTTTCTCGCTGACTCTCTCGAGCTATCTCTCGTGCTCTATCTCTCGTGCTCTCTCTCCAGCCATCACTCGTGCCCTCTCGTGCTCTCTCTTCCTCTTTCTCACTTTCTATCACGCTCTATCTTTCTCGCTCTCTCTCTCGCTCGCTCTCGCGGTCTCATCTCTCTCTCGCTCTCTCTCGCTGTCTCATCTCTCTCTCGCTCTCGCTCTCCCTCGCTCTCTCTTGCCTGTCCAGATCAAACCCCATCAAATTGCATGTGATTGGGAACCAGTGCATAGTATCCGATCGGAATCCCCGTCCCCACCAGTCGATTCCATTTCTTTCCAAGCAACGACCCATGGGGCCCAGAGACAAGGATCCGCAAAAAATCTGTCGGCGCGGCCAGCCGGGATGCAACGCCCGCTCCTCAAAATTTTAGTGTCGATTTGGCAGGTTCTGAGAGTCAAAAATCGCGTTTTTTGGGGGAAATTTTTGACTTTCCGATCCCTTTAGGACGGATGGAAAGGAGTGGCGACCCATCACTATGGATTTTACGTGTGCGACAAGCAACGCGTCAGAATCGGTTATAACGTATTTTTGGTTGGGCTTATCTATAGATTTTTTGCAGGAGCCGCGACACGCAACGCGTCCGCCTGCTTTTGCATAGCGTAATGCATTACGACGTGGAATTGTGGTTGCGCACGCGTTGCGTGCTGCGAGGTGGTAACTAACGATTCATACTCTTGACTTTTTGACTGACTTTAAAGGACTTAGCAAGACACGGATTTTCTAGAGAATTTGCAGCGCACGCAACGCCAGCTCTCTGCTATGAAAATGTACGCGATGCGTTTCGCGGTTGCGGATCTTGATACGAATCCACGGCTAGGCCTTTTCTGACCCTTTAATGAAGCATTCGAATTCCAAAATTTCCAAGTTATTTTTCACCTTATTCCTGGGGTTGAGCCTGACCCTTCAGAAGCTTGGCACTCCTTGAAGGCGCCGTCGGGCGCTCATCTGAAGTGTGAGCGAGAGAGAGTGAGAGCGAGAGAGGCAGAGAGAGAGATGCCTAGAGAAAAAGAGAAGTGCGTAAATCCCGGCACCTGTCCCTCCTCCTCCGCTCCTTCTCGATCTCCTCTTCGCCTCGTCTGGGGCGTTCGAGATGGGCCATAACGGCCTATTTCGGGGCCCTCGGGCTTCTGGGTCTTTCCTTTTCAGA